ACATGACATGACATGACATGACATGACATGACATGACATGACATGACATGACATGACATGACATGACATGACATGATATGATATGACATGACATGACATGACATGACATGACATGACATGACATGACATGACATGACATGACATGACATGACATGATATGATATGATATGATATGATATGATATGATATGATATGATATGATATGATATGCATGGTATGGTATGGTATGGCATGGTATGAGATACCCCATTCACTATCTCACAGAGCACGCCCACAGGGGGCAGCCCCGCCAGCACTGAGAGGTCCACTACTGCCTCTGGAGCGCAGGGGAAGTCAGAGGGTTCACTCGAGTCGTCTGCCAGGCAGCGCCCACATGAGCTGTTCTGACTTGCTCAAGCCAGTGGTATATTCGGATAGACAACTCCTATCAGAGCACCGCACCTTCTCTGGAGCGCAGAGGGAAGATGTGGCCGGGCTTGCGGAAGTCTGAGGGTTCACTCGAGTAGTCTGCCATCGCCCGCACTGTCTTGGCTCGATCTGATGCTGATATGCCCGTTGTGGTTCCCAGCTTCAGGTCCTGAGAGGTGATAAGAGAGGGGTACGGAAGGGACGCACTGCCTGTGTAAAAAGAAATTTGTACGTCCACTCAAAACTGCCTCGAGTAGTCTGCCATGGCCCGCGCTGTCTTGGCTCAATCTGATGCTGATATGCCCGTTGTGGTTCCCAGCTTCAGGCCCTGAGAGGTGATAAGAGAGGGGTACGGAAGGGACGCACTGCCTGTGTAAATAGAAATTTGTACGTCCACTCAAAACTGCCTCGAGTAGTCTGCCATGGCCCACGCTGTCTTTGCTCGATCTGAAGCTGATATGCCCGTTGTAGTTCCCAGCTTCAGGTCCTGAGAGGTGATACGTGAGGGGTAAGGAAGGGGGCGCGGTGTTTGTGTAGATAGGAAGTTTTGAGACGGCTCACAACTCACTCGAGTAGTCTGCCATCGCCATCACTGCCTTAGCTCGGTCTAATGCCGATATGCCCGTTGTGGTTCCCAGCTTCAGGTCCTGAGAGGTGATAGGGGAAAGAGACGAGTCGCAACTTTGGAGCCAATAAACACACCGACTTGGCTCGGTTTTATGCATAAATGACCGTTGTGGTTCCCTGAGATCGAACCATCAGAGGCAGGTCCAGGCGGTCCAAGCCCTTGCTCACCCACACAATCAGCACACACATCCCCACATGCTCTCACCCACCACATACACATACTCCCCCACACACACACCCATGCACTCACCACAGAGAGAGTGAAAGCTGTCCTCAGCGCCTCATCGTTCTCCTGAGATTGGACCATGAGGGACAGTGAAAGCTGCCCCTCAGCTCCAGAGGATCCAAGACAGCCCCCGCCACTCCCACACACACATTCAGCATGCACGACCCCATGCGCTCTCACTCGCCACAGAGACAATAAAGGCAGTCCGTAACGCTTCGTCATTCTCCTGGGATCGGACCATCAGCGGCAGCTCCAGACGATCCAAGACAAGCCCCGCCACTCCCACACATACGAGCCCGCTGCAGTGCCTCAAAATGAAAACCAGCCATTCAATCCACACACAGAAACTCACCACTGACACAGTAAACGCAGTCCGTAACGCCTCGTCATTCTCCTGTGATCTAACCATCAGCGGCAGCTCGAGGCGATCCAGAACAGCCCCCGCCACGCCCACACACACGAGCCCGCTGCAGTGCCTGACGATGAAGGCCATGTCCGCCTCCGTTGTGAGCGCGCCCGCCATGATCAGATCGCCCTCGTTCTCCCTGTCCTCGTCGTCCACCACCACCACCATCTGAGGGAGAGGAGGAAGGGAAGAAGGCAAGGAGGGAGAGCAACGGAAGGGTGGCAGGGAAGAGGGGGTGAGGGGGGAACAAGGCATGATCAGATCGCCCTCGTTCTCGCGATCCTCGGCATCTACCCCCTCACACTGCTTCCCCTAACATAACCTCCCTCACTTCCCTCCCCTTCCCCTCCTTCCCTCCTTCCCCCCTCACTGACATTGCAACACCCTAACTGACCTCGCCCCGTCGGATGGCTTCAATGGCTTCCGCAATGGAGTTGAGCCCTCGAGATGGACGGTCAGGATCGTCGTCTGCCTCGCTGGCGAAGAACTCTTCCGAGTCCGAATCAGAGAGCACCTCCATCTCGACCGTGCTCATGCTGCCATGCGATGGGGGGGAAGGGGAGGGGGGAAAAGGGAGGTGAATGGGGACATGACGCGGGGATGGATGGAAAAGCCAGCTCCATCCGAGTCTGAATCAGAGAGGACCTCCATCTCGACCATTCTCATGCTTCCATGCGATCGGGGGAGAGGTGGGTGAAGGCATGAGGGGGAGGGATGGGGGTGGGGGGGGGAGGGAGACACGGTAGCGAATAAGGTGGGGAAGAGCGTGCTTCGATACGAGTACGAATCAAAGAGCACCTCCCATCTCGACCGTGCTCATGCTGCCATGGGGAGATGCATGAGCGCAAGAAAGAAGATCGAGAGCAATAGGTAGGTAGATCGATCAGAGACACTGGCATCGGTTCCATACCAACCCCCCCTCCCCTCCCCCCCCCCCCCCCCCCCTTCGCTCATTCCAACACAGTAACTGTTCTTGTTTTGTTTTCCTGCCTTTGTAACTCCCAGAAAGACTTCTGGCAGCAGTTCCATTCCAGCTCCCACAAGCTCATGCAGAACCCAAGGACGGTACGACAAGCATCATTCTAACATGTGAACGACAGCCGTATTCGCATGCTTACGGTCTCAAGGCGGTTCTCACATTCCTGAAATCACGACCACCTTTCCGAACGGATGACATGGTGATGTCGATTTCCTGGAATCATGCGGATCATGCTGCCACAACACATGGCCAGCACTTTCCTTCCGCTTCTCGTGTTTAACCCATATAATTGTTCAACTGCGGCCGAACGAGGCCATGCGAATTGTTCGGAGTCCGTTACATCGCGAGGTTTGGGGAATGAGGATGGCGTTCACATTTGTCTATGATGAGTGCGGACCAGAAGGAAATCTGTCGCTGAACTTCTGGCACCATTTTATAGGAAGAGTAAGGTTGAAGTGCAAAAAGTAACTCACCTTGGCGTCTCTGGACTGCTGGAAGCAACGCACCCCTTCGATTCGTCAGACTACTCAAGTCATGCCTATTATACAGAAAGCAACTGACCTTGGCATTTCGGGACTGCTGGCTGCACCGTTCCCTGTAACCGAAGCTTCCTCATCTCCCGACGAAGCAGCACAGCAACACAGCCGACTTCTTCTGTGAACGTCTTCTCGCTCCAACTCTCCCCTTCTCTCTGCATCTCTCCTTCGGCTACTCCCTGGTGCTGCTGCCTGCCGCTGCTGTAACTGCTGTCCCCAGAAACCCCGCCGCTGGTTTTCTAATCCGTTGCAGCTGTTTAATTTGGTGCTACAGACTCCAAGGTTCCGCACGGCTCTCTGATGGCAGATCGAGGAACGGCTGCGGATAGAGGTAATGTTAGAGCAACGTGATGTCGCAGTTCTGGACCCCCGTCGCTCTGCAATATTTGCAGGACCAGTTATTTGGTCTCTGTTTTGGTAGAGTGTGACGGGAACATGAAGGACAGAGTTGATAAAAAAATCATGGAGGAAAAGTAATGGATACTTGGCTACATTGCTATGCCGATCGCATAAGCGTGGTGAGGCTGGTGAGGTTCGTGTGATTATGCATTCTGGAACAACAGCTAGATCTCTACTAAAACAATCTATTATTCGAGGGTTCACAGAAAGAAGTGATCAGACACGAATGAGAAACGAGAAAAGGAGCACTTGAGAGAGTCTAAAGTGGATGAGGCAAACAAAGAACAAGTTTCTAAAATGTACCGAGACGCCCTCGCGCACTGAAGTAATCGCTGTACAAAGACATCAATGCTACAGAAATCCCTTACAGCGAGCTCCCCGCAGGAGGCCGAACTATCGATCCACACAACTCCATGGCTTGTCTTGCTGATCACGCGTTTGAGAGTCACTATCGGCTTCAGCCGCTACTCTCGATTCGGCTAAAAATCTTAGCAAGTGCCTCTCTGGATATGCGCGGGTAGTGTCAAGCCGACCTAGTGGAGCAGCGTAGATGACTACCACAGGGACTGAGGGAACGTTAAAAGCCCGAAACGGTAATCCGTAGGAACCTTGGGAATACTAGCAAAACCTATTAGACAGAGAAATGCTGTTTTGCATGAAAGGAAGATAGTATCCGAGTTCCGTAACAACGGAAAACGAGAGAGCGAACAAGGATCAACCATGAAACCTTCCTGTGGGTGAGAAAAAGTGAAGCAAGGAAGCCTGCTGACGACATACCTGAAGGAATCAGCGGGAAAACCGAGGCATAGAGCTTACCGAACCTTGTCAAGACCACCATTCAGAACCTGTTTCCGTCCAGCGAGACAAACTTCAAAGCTTCAACCTGGCCTGAGGCTGAGGTTCTGAAATTCGCTTTTTGGCTTGTTGGGCGGAGGCTCGGCTAATATATTCGTTCAGCAACCTGCACCTGGCGCCACGTCACAAACCTACACCAAAAAGGCCGCCGGTGAGTGTAGATGCTTTGCCACGTCATGCACAAGGGAAGTTGCTGACAGGCAGTGGGTCGGTGACGTGATGCGTGCGGCTCTGCTGGCAGAACCCGAGTGTCCTGATTTAACTACTCTTGATATGCGTTATAGCAGATTACCAGATATTTGATAAGTTTCTTAGTACACAATGCATGCGAAGTCTATCTTTCGAGAAAAGGCTTTTCACGAAGACCAGAATCCCGTTTTGTTCACACTTCTACTTGGATAGGAACTCCTTGTCTCCTGTCGCTCCCCCTTCCGCTTGTGCGCGCAATTCATTTTGCGCCAGTGCCCTCCCCCCCACCCCCGCCTCCTCCATCTCCTTCAGCTCCCTCCCTCGCTACCTCTTTTTCCTCCGCACCTCCTAATCTGTTTCTCCTTTTCTCCCACCATGGTACGCTTCCCTAAACGCCTCACCCTTGGTAGTCTTACTAGGTCGCGCCGCGTTTTTCCTCCACTGCAAGCTCTCTCGTTGCTAATTTTGCGCGCTTATTTCAGACTTATGACCGATTGGTTCCAGCTCCCTCCAATTGACGCCTATCGTCGTTCAGCGTTATTCAGTGATCTAGTACAAGCGGAGTCGAGTCTTATATTTTTTAGCAAAAATGAAGAGTTTTTTACTGAGTCATCCATGCTCTTCTCTCCCTGTCCGTCCTCCCCCGCCGTTGTCCCCGTTTCGTCACCTGACCGTACTCATGTCTCTCGTCAGGCTCCAAAGAAGGACGCAAAGGCCGATAAGGGTCAAGCCAAGCCCGCCAAATCCGGAGGCGGCAAGCAGAAGAAAAAGGTTCGTGCCATGAATTGTACTCTTCTCCCTGTTATCCACAGCATAAGCTGTTGAATCTCTGCGATTCTCATGCTTACCCGCTTCATCTCGTCGTCGCCATTTTCCGCTTTCTTAACTCTGCCTTCCTCTTCCTTCCTCCCCGTACCCGCTCCACGATCATCGGAAAGCGAAGGTAGTGAGAGTAACGACGGGTTGCATCAGGTCTGGAATGTTCTCATTAGGTCTCATGGATCGCCATTGACCTTACTTTCGTGATGTCACGGCCAGATTTTTGCGTTAAGCTTACTCCCGCCCTATATGCGTAGCTGGTGCAACTAATGGTGACGTTCGTGCGGCCCGGGAAGCTGAATCTGCTAGAGGGTGAGCCTTTTTCAGATTAGGGTTTCAGACGGCCTCGACCATGCAGCGGCAAAGGATCGCCTAGTTGTAGCGTGTTCCGGCAATGTCTCGCTATCGCGTAACGACTAGGAGCATTATCGGGTAGCCGGTTCCACACTATGGATGTGTGTCGCACTGACATCTAGTGTGTCAGGTACCTTGTTTCAAACAGTGCAGGGGATGGCTGGACTCTTAGTCTTCCCCCTTCTCATTCCAGCTGAACTAACACTCGCTTTTTTTCAATCGCTAAGGCGGTGGAGGTTCGCGTGGGCGTTCCTAGCAGCTTGTGTGAGGAGTGGCGCGTGTTTTATGGCTGCGAATCTGCCCTTGGAATTGCCAGGCAGTGGGCTGATTATTTCGTTTCTAAGCAGAAGCGGAGTAAGGGGAAGGAGAAGGTGAAGAACATGACGAATACAGTTTTGAATGATTTCGTGGTGCAGTTTCAACGAATTTATCTGCACGTGTTTGTCCCTTCCGTGAGCAGAAGTGGAGCAAGGGAAAGCAGAAGGAGAAGGTGAACAACATGGTGCTGTTCGACCAGGCCACGTACGACAAGATGCTCTCCGAAATCCCCAAGACGAAGCTCATCACCTCCTCCGTGCTTTGCGACCGCCTGCGCGTGAGTAGTTGACTTCTGCGTGCTCTGCCACCGCCTGCGCTTGAGTAGCTTGTTTTTTGAATCGTACTTGTTCTTCCCACTCGATGCTTGGTTTTCATTCCCATCTCTTTCTGGTTTAGCATGAGATATTGAACAGCACTCACCCAGCTTAATTCGTCCGACCCTCGTCTTCCCGCATATTAGTTCGTGGGGTTCACTCCATACCCAGAGCAGGAACCGTTTTGAGTGTGCTGGATTCCTGCTCGGCCTTAACTGTTGCAGGGTACTTATCAAAATAATGTTTTCTTTCATCTATTCCCCCCACTCCAGATCAACGGCTCCTTGGCTCGGCGGGCCATCAAGGACCTGTTGTCGCGAGGCAGCATCCGTGTTGTGTCCACGCACGCCACACAGTGCATCTACACCCGTGCCACCAACACGTAAAATTGTAGTTTACTGTCGATGGAGGCTTGGGATGGTGCATCTCCTTGACTAGCTCTGCATTAGCCTGTGATTTCCATTGGTGTACCTCACATTTGAGTGAAGTGCTAGCTGTTAGCAGCAGCTTCCCCCCTTGTTTGGAGAACGGATGGAAGTGGTGGCTTGTCCAAAGATGGCCAGGCTGATGGCTCCGTGAGATTGAACTTGCACCATTTATATGAGTTTGCAGAGAGATTTACAAGACCGGGGTTTGCAGTGGTGGGGCTTGCCCTGGTCTGAGCTCACAGCAGAACTGTGTGTATCGAGAATTGCCGTGAACGCCAATTGTGGATCGGTTTTCCAGGAATTGTGGCGCTCGGATTATCCAGCTTGGCAGGGGCGCAATCCATCATCCTCACGAAAAGCTTGAGCTAGTCAATTCGCAGAGTTCACGAGCCTTGAGCGTCAAGTCTGTGGTTACTGCCAATTGCGTCAGCCAACCAATCACAATCATTTCAGGGAGGAAATTCCATCTCATTCGTCGCCACCGTTGTGACAGCACATATCCACTAATTTGGCGACGGCCCATTCGATCGTTCGCATTGCCAGATGGCTGCAGGTTACCATCTGCGAACTCCCCGAGCTCTGTTTCGCAATCACGAGTATTCGTCGAGCTAGTTGGCTGGCATTCTGTTGTTGGCGTGCATGCGGCGGCCGTGGATGATAGGAGGAATCCTTATCTCGTCCAATCCCATCAAGCCATCACATTCTCTGTTCCATTCATGGCTCCTCCACATTCATTTCACCTCTCACCTCCTAGGGTCCTCCTGGCCCATCCCATGGCTTCATGGGAATGGCATGGTCAGTAAAACTGGTCTGCCTATCTTTCCTCTGGTCTTCTCTTCGTCCTCTCACTTTTCTGCAAGGTAACCCACAGCAAACAGGTATAGCCAACAGCGTACCACACCGTTTACAGTACCCAGGGTATGCGGTGTGCCGAACCTTTGAGATACGTGTACTGTGCAACGTCGCGTGGAGTTCCCTACAAATATACCCGTTACAGTCGGTTGTTCCGATATAGTGTGTGCACGGCGCGTATACAGTTGCTGGCTTGCATGGCCAAGTGGTAACCATAGTTGGTATCCGAAGAAGCGGTATATAAGTCAGCTAATCATCCGGACAAGTTCTTGAAAGGACTTCAAGCATCCTTTCAGGATTTCGAGTTGGTGTTTCAACATTCGCACACACCATGGGAAGGACCATTCCCGAGTCTGCGAAGAGCCCCGTGCGAGTTCCTGCGGGTAACCACCTCTCCCGCATCGCCGACCACTCGTCGCCATGCGACGGTCTTCCTGCGACTTCGCCAGTCGTCGCCGAGACGGATGCCTGTGATGGCGACTGCCGTGCTGCGAACATGTCCTCTCAAGCGATCGCGAATGCGAAGCAAGTGCAGGCGCAGAGGCTAAAAGACTTGCAGTCACAGAAACCGGTCTTGCAGTCGCTAAGACCAAGGGATTGGCAGGCGGACAGTACGAGAGATTCTCAGAAGGCACACGGGTCCCTACCAGCAGTTACGGCGTGCTTCCCGCCGCGTTCGTCGGCGGCTTCTGAAGCGGCTCCTTTCACAGGGCCGCCGTCGCGCGTCGCTCATCCGACGTGGCAGTCGCTGAGGTTTTCGCAGCAGGTGCGGCCGTCGCAAGCAGGAGAGCAGCAAGAGCAGGAGGAGGAGCACTTGTCGCATCGTTCGCATGTGTCGCACATGGGCTTGCGAGATTCGGCGACGACGCACGCTGCACAGCGAAGCGAGCACGGTTGCGACACGGAAGGGAAGGGAGCCGAAGAGGAGGAGGGGACCAAGGAGAAGGGGCATGACGATGAGGGGGAAATGGAAGAGGAGGAGGCGGAGGAGCGCGCTGCCACACCCACCTCCCCATCCGCCCTCTTGTTCTTCCCTCTCTCACCATCCTCCCCCTCTCCATCCCCCCTCTCTCCATTTCCCCTTTCGCCATCCCCCCTCTCCCGCCTCCCCCTCTCCCGGGGACTCGACCCGTCCTTTCTCCCCCCATCGCCCATTCCCCCAACTTCCCTTCCGCCAACTCCCTTTCCCCTATCCTCCGCCGCGAGTAGCTTCCGCCAGTCCGGCCGCACAGCATCGCCTCTCCCCACTTCGTGCGCGAGCTTTCCCCCTGCCTGCGGAAGCCCATCCCCGCGCCCGTCTCGCTTCAGGCCGTCGCCAGCAGAAGGTCTTTCGCGTCTGTTGGCTGCTTCTCCAGCTTCGGCCATTGCTACTCCTATTTCTTCTTCTTCTGCTGCTGCTGCTGCTGCTGCTGCTTCAACTGCAGCCGCTGCCCCTCATAAGCCAAGCGCCAGCGCCAATCGCGGCGGGTTGTCTGCTGCTCTGCAGCCGTTGCAGTTGCTGCCCGGGCCAGCTGCTGAGGTGGCAGCAGCTGCTGACCTGGCCACAGGTGCTGACGTGGCAACACGTGCTGAGCTGGCAGTGCCAAGTGAAACGCCAGGCGTGCACAGTGGCGTGCGCGACTGCCAGCCCAGCCTGTCACACCCAACCCTCGTCGGCACCTCTCATGGTTGCAAACTGTTTCACTACAGTAACACTCGTTACAAGCATCACTGCTACAGTCCCCTTGAATCCAGCCCTGCCTGTGACCATAGCGAGGAGCTGTCAGCGTCTTTTCACAGCTCCCCTCTCGTTAGTAGCACACCTTTGCGCGTCAGCTCGACTTTTGGAAAGAATTCCCGTTTTAGTGCTTTCAGCAATTATGGACCGTTGATTTCTGATCCGAGTGCTCAGAATCGTCGGATAGATGACACCTTGGTGCCTGCAGAATCTAGGGCACAGATTCGTCCGGGGTGTTCCATAGGTACTGTGTCTTTTTCAGGTTCGGCCGTGCCAGTTCCTTTCCCAGCCACTCCCTTCGAACGCCACGTCAGCAGCTGCCACATCAACTCCACGTCAGCATCCGCACCAACGGTCAACGATCTATTTTTCCACCGCTGGCTCGCTTCCAGGGCTGCAGGTTATTCCACGTCAGCAAGTGCCACGTCAGCTTGCAGCGGGGAGAGAATTCGCGAGCGGAAATCGCTGCTGAAACGGTCGCTGGTTGGTTCGTTTGAAGAGTCGCTGATGTGGCAGGCTGCTACTGGCCAGGAGGAGGGCAGTGGGGTAAAGGTGAGTGAAGCCTGTAATGTATTCAGGGAGGGGAGAAGGTGAGGGGAGGGGAGAAGGTGAGGGGAGGGGAGAAGGTGAGGGGAGGGGAGAAGGTGAGGGCAGGGGAGAAGGTGAGGGGAGGGGAGAAGGTGAGGGGAGGGGAGAAGGTGAGGGGAGGGGAGAAGGTGAGGGGAGGGGAGAAGGTGAGGGGAGGGGAGGAGAAGGTGAGGGGAGGGGAGAAGGTGAGGGGAGGGGAGAAGGTGAGGGAGGGGAGAAGGTGAGGGGAGGGGAGAAGGTGAGGGGAGGGGAGAAGGTGAGGGGAGGGGAGAAGGTGAGGGGAGGGGGAGAAGGTGAGGGGAGGGGAGAAGGTGAGGGGAGGGGAGAAGGTGAGGGGAGGGGAGAAGGTGAGGGGAGGGGAGAAGGTGAGGGGAGGGGAGAAGGTGAGGGCAGGGGAGAAGGTGAGGGGAGGGGAGAAGGTGAGGGGAGGGGAGAAGGGAGGGGAGGGGAGAAGAGAAGGTGAGGGGAGGGGAGAAGGTGAGGGGAGGGGAGAAGGTGAGGAGGGGAGGGGAGAAGGTGAGGGGAGGGGAGAAGGTGAGGGGAGGGGAGAAGGTGAGGGGAGGGGAGAAGGTGAGGGGGGAGGGGAGAAGGTGAGGGGAGGGGAGAAGGTGAGGGGAGGGGAGAAGAGAAGGTGAGGGGAGGGGAGAAGGTGAGGGGAGGGGAGAAGGTGAGGGGAGGGGAGAAGGTGAGGGGAGGGGAGAGGAGAGAGGTGAGAAGGTGGGGGAGGGGAGGTGGAGGGGAGGGGGAGAAGGTGAGGGGAGGGGAGAAGGTGAGGGGAGGGGAGAGAAGGTGAGGGGAGGGGAGGAGAGAAGGTGAGGGGAGGGGAGAAGGTGAGGGGAGGGGAGAAGTGTGAGGGGAGGGGAGAAGGTGAGGGGAGGGGAGAAGGTGAGGGGAGGGGAGAAGGTGAGGGGAGGGGAGGGAGAAGGTGAGGGGAGGGGAGAAGGTGAGGGGAGGGGAGAAGGTGAGGGGAGGGGAGAAGGTGAGGGGAGGGGAGAAGGTGAGGGGAGGGGAGAAGGTGAGGGAGGGGGAGGGGGGAGGGAGAGAGAAGGTGAGGGGAGGGGAGAAGGTGAGGGGAGGGGAGAAGGTGAGGGGAGGGGAGAAGGTGAGGGGAGGGGAGAAGGTGAGGGGAGGGGAGAAGGTGAGGGGGGGGAGGGGAGAAGGTGAGGGGAGGGGAGAAGGTGAGGGGAGGGGAGAAGGTGAGGGGAGGGGAGAAGGTGAGGGGAGGGGAGAAGGTGAGGGGAGGGGAGAAGGTGAGGGGAGGGGAGAGGTGAGGGGAGGGGAGAAGGTGAGGGGAGGGGAGAAGGTGAGGGGAGGGGAGAAGGTGAGGGGAGGGAGGAAGGTGAGGGGAGGGGAGAAGGTGAGGGGAGGGGAGAAGGTGAGGGGAGGGGAGAAGGTGAGGGGAGGGGAGAAGGTGAGGGGAGGGGAGAAGGTGAGGGGAGGGGGGGGAGAAGGTGAGGGAGGGGAGAAAGGTGAGGGGAGGGGAGAAGGTGAGGGGAGGGGAGAAGGTGAGGGGAGGGGAGAGAGGAGAAGGTGAGGGGAGGGGAGAAGGTGAGGGGAGGGGAGAAGGTGAGGGGAGGGGAGAAGGTGAGGGGAGGGGAGAAGGTGAGGGGAGGGGAGAAGGTGAGGGGAGGGGAGAAGGTGAGGGGAGGGGAGAAGGTGAGGGGAGGGGGAGGGAGAAGGTGAGGGGAGGGGAGAGGAGAAGGTGAGGGGAGGGGGAGAAGGTGAGGGGAGGGGAGAAGGTGAGGGGAGGGGAGAAGGTGAGGGGAGGGGAGAAGGTGAGGGGAGGGGAGAAGGTGAGGGGAGGGGAGAAGGTGAGGGGAGGGGGAGAAGGTGAGGGGAGGGGAGAAGGTGAGGGGAGGGGAGAAGGTGAGGGGAGGGGAGAAGGTGAGGGGAGGGGAGAAGGTGAGGGGAGGGGAGAAGGTGAGGGGAGGGGAGAAGGTGAGGGGAGGGGAGAAGGTGAGGGGAGGGGAGAAGGTGAGGGGAGGGGAGAAGGTGAGGGGAGGGGAGAGGTGAGGGGAGGGGAGAAGGGTGAGGGGAGGGGAGAGGGAAGGTGAGGGGAGGGGAGGGGGGGGGGGGAGAAGTGAGGGGAGGGGAGAAGGTGAGGGGAGGGGAGAGGTGAGGGGAGGGGAGAGAGAAGTGAGGGGAGGGGAGAAGGTGAGGGGAGGGGAGGAGAAGGTGAGGGGAGGGGAGAAGAAGGTGAGGGGAGGAGAAGAGAGAGGTGAGGGGAGGGGAGAAGGTGAGGGGAGGGGGAGAAGGTGAGGGGAGGGGAGAAGGTGAGGGGAGGGGAGAAGGTGAGGGGAGGGGAGAAGGTGAGGGGAGGGGAGAAGGTGAGGGGAGGGGAGAAGGTGAGGGCAGGGGAGAAGGTGAGGGGAGGGGAGAAGGTGAGGGGAGGGGAGAAGGTGAGGGGAGGGGAGAAGGTGAGGGGAGGGGAGAAGGTGAGGGGAGGGGAGAAGGTGAGGGGAGGGGAGAAGGTGAGGGGAGGGGAGAAGGTGAGGGGAGGGGAGAAGGTGAGGGGAGGGGAGAAGGTGAGGGGAGGGGAGAAGGTGAGGGGAGGGGAGAAGGTGAGGGGAGGGGAGAAGGTGAGGGGAGGGGAGAAGGTGAGGGGAGGGGAGAAGGTGAGGGGAGGGGAGAAGGTGAGGGGAGGGGAGAAGGTGAGGGGAGAAGGTGAGGGCAGGGGAGAGAGGTGAGGGGAGGGGAGAAGGTGAGGGGAGGGGAAAGCAGGGAAGAGGCATGGGGGTTAAAAGAGTTTCTCGATGTGTCTTGATACACTTCATCAGGGACGACTTTTAAGGCGCCTCAAAAGTTGTCTTGACAAGACTCTTCGCTGCATGTAACATTTCATCAGACGTGGGGAAAGGCGAGAAAAGTGCTGTCTGTGTTTCTCTCATTGCATCCATCCCTTGCATCCCCCTTATCCCTCCCAACACGGCAGTTCAAGGTGAGTTTTGAGTCGACTCAAAAGTCACCTCATTTCATCCATCCCTTGCATCCCCCTTATCCCCCCAACATGGCAGTACATCAGAGGGCTTAAAGCCATGCTAGCCGTGCTGTCACAGCAAGGGGAGTGGACAGCTTACCCTGTGCGAACCACCGTCTCAGCACAACCCCTCCTCCCTTCTTTTCCCTTCTCCTCCCTTCTCTCCTTGTACTTAACCGATGACAGTACGTCAGCGGGTTTAAAGCCATGCTAGCCGTGCTGTCACAGCAAGGGGAGTGGACAGCTGACCCTGTGCGAACGACCTTTTCAGCAGCCTTCCTCCCCTCCTCGCCGTCTCAGCTGTATGCTGCCAGCATTGCGGTTGGGGGACGACAGGGGGAGGGGGAGAGTGGAGGCAAAGGGAGGGGAGCAGTGGTGGGGCGGGAGCAACCAGGCACGAGCAAGCCGGCTGACTTTGCAGATCGTGATGCTCCCAGTGCTAACAGCCTCGGTTCTGATGGGTGCAGTGCGCCTATTCCAGTGGACAGAACAGTCGCGGGTAGGCGCAAGGAAACTCGCAGGGAGCTGCTGTTTGGAGTGGAAGGGGGCACGGGAGCGGAAGCGGCAGCAGCAGCAGCAGCAGCAGCAGTGGCAGCAGATGATGATCGGGTAGAAATGAGCTCGTTTGGGAACTTCCAAAAGGCAGAAACAGATGGGCGGAAACAGCAGCAGCAGCAGCAGAGGGCGAGAGTGCGGGTGCCCACGAAAGGGCGGATTCAGCTGCTGCTGTCGAACCCAGAAGGCACGCCCATCCACACCTTCTCCTGCTCCTATGATTTGTCTGATATGCCCCCCAACTCCAAGGTGAGAGGCATGGTGTGAGACATGGTAGGTGAGGTGAGGTGAGGTGAGGTGAGGTGAGGTGAGGTGAGGTGAGGTGTGTGCAATCCCCCATCCACACCTTCCCCTGCTCCTACGACCTCTCAGACATGCCCCCCAACTCTAAGGTGAGAGAGGAGAGATGAACGGTGAAGTGAGGTGAGGTGAGGTGGTGTGCGGTAAGGTGAGTGGATGGTCCCTCAAGTAGCAGTAGCAGCAGCAGAGGGCGAGAGTGCGGGTGCCCACAGAAGGGCGGATTCAGCTGCTGCTGTCAAACCCAGAAGGCACGCCCATCCACACCTTCTCCTGCTCCTATGATTTGTCTGATATGCCCCCCAACTCTAAGGTGAGAAATGAGAGGTGAGGTGAGGTGCGGTGAGGTGATGTGCGGTGAGGTGAGGTGATGTGCGGTGAGGTGAGTGGATGGTGCCACCACAAATAGCTGCAGCAGCAGCAGCAGCAGCAGCAGCAGCAGAGGGCGAGAGTTCGTGTGCCCACGAAAGGGCGGATTCAGCTGCTGCTGCTGTCGAACCCAAAGGCACGCCCATCCATACCTTCTCCTGCTCCTACGACCTCTCTGACATGCACCCCCAACTCCAAGGTGAGAGAGGAGAGATGAGAGAGTTGGGAGATGAGTCTTTGTATGGATGATGCATGCTGCTCTCCCCCATCCACACATTCAGCTGCTGCTGTCGAACCCGAAGGCACGCCCATCCATACCTTCTCCTGCTCCTACGACCTCTCTGACATGCACCCCCAACTCCAAGGTGGGGTCTACTGGTGCTGTTGCGGACATGTGTTGTGTCTTATGGTTGACTGTGATTATAACGGGTGAAGATGTGTTCCACCATCCGCACCTTCACCTGCTCTTACAACCTCTCAGACGTGCGTTGTGTCTTCATCTGCCCTTTTATTCGAAGGTGAATCTACCAGTGCCGCTGTCTGCCTCTTCCCCCAATCCGCCCGTTTTCCTCCTCCACCCATTTTCCTCCTCTTATTTCCCCCTCCGCCCCATCTGGGCAGACCTTCATTCGCCAGAGAACGCTGCTGGCGCCAAAGCAGCACGCTGCCGCTTCCTTCCCGGAAGCTTCGGGCTGCCCAACTCTTCAAAATCCTCCTCCTTTGCAGCAGCAGCAATCGAGTCAAGAGAACGCACAGGGGCAGCAAGAGGAGGTGCAGTCAGGTGCAACAAGTGCAGTGAGAGCAGTGATTCACCTGCAGTTTCAATGCCTGCCCAAGCCACGCTGTGCTGCTACTGCTGATGCTGCTGCTGCTGTTCCTGGTGGTGGTGGTGGTGGTGGTGGTGGTGGTGGTGGTGCTGCTGCTGCTGCTGGTGGTGACGGCGATGTTGGTGTTGATGCTGCTGGGAACGAGGCAAGGGAGGGTCAGGAGAGGAGTAGCGGAGGCAATGAAGGAGAGAGGCAAGGGGAGGGACGACAGGGCGGTTCAATGGGGTCGCGTAAACACAGGCGAGTTGGTGGTAGGGAGCGGAGAACTCGCCTGTTCCTGTGTGGCGATGTGCGCGTGGTCTTCCCGCTCTCCGCTCCTACGTCTGACAACCTCAAGGTGAGCCTCTCTTGCAGTGCTTCTTCTGAGGTCCCTCTCAGGAAAAGGGCTGTAGGGAACACAGGACTCGCCTGTTTCTTTGTGGCAACGTGCGGGTGGTCTTCCCTCTCTCCGCTCCTGCGTCTGACAATCTCAAGGTGAGAGCCCCTTGGGGACTGTAGTAGGGGGGGGGGAGTGTGACTCGCCTGTTCCTGTGTGGGGACGCGCGGGTGGTCTGGTCTTTCCTCTCTCCGCTCCTACCTCCGACAATCTCAAGGTGAGAACCAGTTGGGGGCTGCAGTAGGAAGAGAGTAAGTCGACTGTTCCTGTGTGGCGATGTGCGGGTGTTCTGGTCTTCCCTCTATCCGCACCTACCTCCGACAACCTCAAGGTGAGTGTGGCTCGCCCTTTCTGGTTTCCTGTGCTTCTGTTAAGGCCCCTCCAGCTTTCATTAAGTGCTGTAGACTGTAGTAGGGAGAAAAGAGGACCTGCATGTTCCTGTGTGGCGATGTGCGGCAGGCCTCACCCATTCTTCTTACTCTCTCTCTCTCTCTCTCTCTCTCCCTTCTTTCCCGCCTCCCCTGCAGACCGTTATAGAGTACCAGCTTCCATCCAACCCACGTTTCTTTCCCTGCTGCTGACACGCACACCAGTATCGGTCACAGATGCTTAAGCAAGGCCAGATGGAGGCACCTGATGTAATATACTAGAACCAGTCTAGGTTCAATGCATCTCGGCACAGAAAAGGTTGTTTGCCACCACCCGCTGCATACTCTGAACAGGTTTTTTAGGCGTGCATACCCGTCTGCAAGTTGCTTATTGGCAGAGCCTGTTAGGTATCACCGATTTTACCCCAGGGACATCCCCTTTGTAAGAAAATATGGATACTGTGTATTGTACCCAATGCAACTCCTGGAAATGTTATGGATGAACAGCATGTGTTAGCCCGATGTGCCTTGGTTGCGGTATGTTCTATCTCGTACTGTGCCTAGCATTGATAGCCCCCACAGCTGATTTTTGTTTTTTCAGACGTTCCACGGGCCAACAACATGCTATCAAGGATGACAATGGCGAAGTGAGGCTTGACATTTCAAGGGCTCATTCTTTCGGGAGTTTCAGAAGGCTCGGGCCAGCCTAGTTACGGAATGCAAGCTCCTCGAGCTCAGTGATACCTGCGTGAGATTGGAATGTCAGTGTCAGGCTGCGCGTATGTACGAGCCCTCAAGTTTCAAACTCTGAGTGACCTGCCGCATTTTGAAGCAATGCTGCATTGGCCGGCCAATTTCACGTGGCCCGTCTGCTGACCTGGCCTGCTTATTGGTAGCCACCACTTACAATCCGCTTACGTGTTCCCGTGTCATACGGTGGCGGAAGTGTCGGGGCAATGAAAGGGCCAGGTAGGCGGCGCTTACCCAATGAAGGGCTCTCCTGAAATCACGTGCTTTTTCCAAAAGCAAGAATCTCACGGGCATGTACACGTCAGTTGAGGATGAGGTGCATGGCTGTCGACAATCGCCTCGCCTGCCCAGATCTACCATTGGCTTCCATAACTCCGTTCCGCTTCCGCTACGGGCAGACCTCCGCACCAGGGGTCTGAGGCCTGACCTCCTGAAAAGGCAACCAGAAAAGTTGTGATCGCGTCGCTCATAACACCCAGACGAAGATCGGAACATCAGATCGTAACCCTCCTATACAAGCTTGGAGTTCCCGAAATCTCTTTCGTCCGTCCGATTCATCTCAACCTGTCAACATGATCCTCCTCGCTGACCAGTTACAGCACCTCAAGGTTCCTCCCCTCGTTGTCTTGGTACTGATTCCAGCGCTGCCGACCGTTCCCTAGGGTTTTACCCTAGGCTGGAGTTGCGGAGTTCCCAAGGCCGCCAAGTTTCAAGCTGGTGAGTTCTCCTCAAGGCTCGACAATTTGCAGGATAACCTGTGCTCTCTCCAAGGCAGGGCTTTTCTTCATCATCTCCTCCAGGATACTTGATGCTTGCTGTCTCCTCCTTGGCTTTAGTCGCGCAATATACTACGCTCATTCTACGCCAGGGTTTTGGATTATACTTGTGAAGTTACGAGAATATTCAGAGGTTTTGGTGGAGACTAACCGTATATACTCATCCCAAACGACTCAAGGATAGTACATTGTCGCTCAACAGCCAGACAGCTTTAGAGTACCTTGCATCATTCTTTCATCATGCAACACAGCTTAGTATTGTAGCTTCGTAGTGTGAAGAGGAGAATTCACCCCCTACATTCGGTTGCTCTGGCTAATATCACTTCCGTGTAAGGTGAAGTTTAGGTCCTCACATTTTCTTGCATTCGCCTGCTCCTGTTCATCTCACCGAGTAAACGCAAGCCCATCTGGTTCCGTTTTGCTCTAATCAGGCAGCAATCCTGGTAGAAAATCTGCTCACTGTGGTTTTTATGGTTTGTTTCAGGGCTTAATGAAGACATGATTCCGACGAAATGTTCGTTATAGCTAACGAGGGTGGTGGAGGTCCAGGTCTTGTAAATACGGGTCGGGTAGACGCGTGCCGTCAAGCGGCGCAACTGTCCGATTATCAGGTAATTAACTTCCCGTGTAGGCCGACATCTTGCTCGTGCTGCGTGCTGCTCCCGCGATCGCGCTTTTGCCTCCCGTATCAAACCCCCCATTTTGTTCGTTCGTTCTCTTTCCCACAGTCTGTTTCCCAATGCAGTCCTCGTCCGAAACTGCATTTTTGCGTCCTTATCTCTCCGCTCGTTCCGCAGGGACCGAGGCCACAGGAATTCGTCTCGTCTCCCGATCGTACTTTAGCAATGGCATCAGGGCAATCAAGAACACACGTAGACACTTTAGAAGACCAGCTTAGCGCTCTAGACCACCGCTCGTTCACCTCCGCATACCCCATGGGCGACGGAAGCCGAACTTGGCATGGCGGAAACCTCTTTTACACCCTCCAAGCTCAAAACGCTTTCCAGAGAGAAACCGCGCTCCAGGCTCGAACCTCTTGCCAGGCTCAGAATGTCGCGTCTAGAACGGTCTCGGTTGACGACATAGCTATTCCGGCTGCTGCGTATCGCAACCACCGCCAGCAGCAGGGCGGGGACATCGGAGGCCAAGTTTCGACCGCGCGTTTGGATGGCACTTTTGGCGGCCAGCAGAATCAGGCGGTGTTGTCGGGGCAAGCCGGGGGTTTCAACGGTGGATGGTCAGACGGGAAGGGCGGTGGCGATACGGTGACGACGACTTACGATAAAGCAACGGCTTCAGGGTTGATCGACAGTAGGCTCGAAGTTCCCCATTTGCTGCACAGCCGCAGGAACGGCGTCGGCTTGTCAAGGGTTTTTTCGACACGGGAAAGCCAGGCGTTTGCGATGCAGGGAGGCGGCGAAACCCCGATGGAAGGGGTGGAAAGGGCCTCCGCTGTCTCCTCCGCCCCCGCCTCCGCCGCCGCTGCTGCTGCCGCGGGGGGTGAATGGGACGGGCGAAGTCAGGGATTAGCTCAGGGTCAAACCGCCTCTAGACTCGCTTTTCAACAGCACGGATCGCTTGCGGCAGACGAGGGTCGGTACACGGACAGGGTCTCTCCAAACGCCTTGAATCACACTCTGCGATCGCCAGCGCAGCAAATTCCTGCAACGTACAGACTCTCTCCAAACGCCACGGACCATACGCTGCGATCGCCGTCGCAGCAAAAACTCCAGTTTCAGGGGCTGCAGATGCCCGGGCAGACTCAGCTCGCGGCCTTCCCTCACAGGTTATCCCCTCCCCCTGCCGCGTCTCCCCTCGGATCTCCGGGCTGGCAGCACCGCGTGAACGACAGCCCGTCGTCTGGTAACCAGTCCGCCGGTTATTCGTCCGGCAAGTCAGCGGCAGGATCCGGGAGCGCGGCGTGTGGTTCGCGATCGTCGCTGCCGCCGCGGCTGGACGACGCGGATCTTGCTAGCGTTCTGTGGGAGAGCCGGTCCAGGTGTAACGTATCTGGCGCTGGCGCTGCGAGTGCGTTGGGAGGGTTTCAAGGCGATGGGAGTGCGCATGGTGGTCAAGTGGGTCAATCAGACGGCAGCGTGCGAGGCGGTCAATTGTATCAACGAGAGGGTAGCATGCACGGCGGTCAATTTATTCAACGAGAGGGTAGCATTCACGGCGGTCCGATGGGTCAACTAGACGGTAGCACGCACGGCGGTCAATTTATTCAACGAGAGGGTAGCATGCACGGCGGTCAGATTAGTCAACGAGACGGCAGCGTGTACGGTGGTCAAATTTGTCAACTAGATGGTAGCATGCATGGCGGTCAAATTAGTCAACGCGACGGCAGCATGCACGGCGGTCAGGCGATTCTGAGGGAGGGAAGTGTGCATGGCGGTCAAATGAGTCAACTGGGCGGCAGCACGCATGGCGGTCAAATGAATAAGCTGGGCAGCAGCACTCATGGCGGTCAAACGAGTCAACAGGGCGGCAGCACTCATGGCGGTCGTCAACTGAGTCATTTAGGCGGCAGCGTGCATGGCGGTCAATTGTCTCAACTGGACGGCAGTGTGCACGGCGGTCAAGCAAGTCAACTGGATGGCAGCGTGCATGGAGGCGATTTACGGGGCAATAGTGTTCACGGCGGTCAACCAAGTCAACCAGGCGTGCATGGTGAATCCGTCCCTGCATACACCGACAATCAAACACGCAGCGGCCACTTAGCCCGCTTACACGCTAGCAGCAGCGTGCACGGCGGCGGCTTTTACGCCAGCGGCCTTGCCTCAGGCGGTCTCTATGGCAGCGCGCTGCATTTCCCCAAGTCCAGTGCACACAGCGCATGGGGCAGCGCAGGGGGCAGAGCACAAGGCAGCGCGCAAGGGAGTGCGCAAGGGAGTGCGCAAGGGAGTGCGCAAGGGAGTGCGCAAGGGAGCAATGAGGCCAGAACGAGCGTTTACGGTTTCGGCAGCGGCGGCCAGAGGGGTATGGCGCCCCGCGCTAGTACTGTACACGGTGGTAACCTGTACGAAGCGAGCTTGCACGCCTCGCACAGCCATGACGGCCGGGACCTGCGCGTTTACGCCCGTCAGCTGGGCCGTCAACAGAATGATCAGCAGAGCGGCCAGCAGGGAATATCGAACGCGACTGGGAACTTGTTTGGGAAAGTAGATTCAACGGATGAGAGATTCCAAGGGAAGGCGAACGTCTTGAGCGGCGTGCAGGCTGCAGGGTCAGGGTTTGGGAGTGTGTATCAGGCGGGTGGGAGCGTGCACCAAACGGGCGTGAGCGTGCACCAAACGGGCGGGAGCGTGCACCAAACGGGCGTGAGCGTGCACCAAACGGGCGGGAGCGTGCACCAAACGGGCGGGAGCGTGCACCAAACGGGCGTGAGCGTGCACCAAACGGGCGGGAGCGTGCACAAAGGGCTTGGGAGTGTGTTTCAACAGGACGGAGGCATGCATCCAACGGATGGGAGCGTGCATCAGGCTGATGGGAGCGTGCACAGCGTGGGCGTGGGCGCCAGTGCTAGCGTCCTCGCCAAGCTGCGCCTGGAAGGCGGGGATCGGTTGAATGCGGTGCCTGGGAGTTCGGAGGGTGCTGTGCGTGGTGGTGGCCTTTTTGGGAGTGTCTTTGGCCCGGGGTTTGGCCCTGGAGCGGGGTTCTCTGGGGGAGGTCTTTCTGGGGCGGGCGTTTCAGGGATGGGCGTTTCTGGGGTGGGGTCTTGCATGGCTAACGAGGGGTTTACGGGAAGTGGGTGGGAGCGAGGGTTTGGGGCTGCTGCTGCTGCTTCTGGTGTTGCTGGCGCTGCTGGAGCTGGTGGTTTCAACAACCAGTCGGATCCGGGAAAGGCGTTCTCGTCAATCCATGGGCATGGGCAAGAGCAAGCACGTGACAGGGGCCAAACAACAAACACGAGCTTAGTAGCTGCAAACAGCAACGTGAAGGCAGAGGCGCATGCGACCATTGGAGAGGACCCAGACTTGGATAGGACCAGGGGCATGGGGAAAGGTGGGGAAACGGAAGGGGCGAAGGGCATGGAAGGAATGGAGGGTGCAGCTGAGACGCTAACAGCGGACGCAGGAGCAGCAGACGCGATAACAGCAGATGCGGTAACAGCAGATGCGATAACAGCAGACGCGGTAACAGAAGATGCGGTAACAGCAGCGGCTGAGGATATGGGGTTTGACGCCCTGGCGGAGTATTTAAACTTCCCTGACGATGATCCCCCGTGGTCCAGCCTTCCAGGCTGGGACGAGCTGATGCTGGGGGGCAGTGGGGGGGCGGACGCAGGGGGGGGGTTGATTGGGGGCGGAGAGGCAGGCGCGGAAGGAGGATGGAGTGGGGGCGGAGGCGGAAACGGAGCAGGAGCAGGGGTAGGCACAAGGGACGGAGCGGGAGGAGGGGCAGGGGCAGGTCTGGAAGGAGGCTCGGCTTCTGATGCTGGAATGCTTGCTGGTTCGGCAGGACCAGGTACGGATATGGAGGGAACAGAGGATGACGTTATGTGTCGCGGGCACTTAGCACTGACTGCCGACGTGTGCGTGCGCGGCGGCATGCTCATGTCTCTACTGGCTGACGTCACAAGGCTTGGAGGAGGGACCAGTGGAGGAGAGGGAGGGGAGGGGCCGACCGGTGCAGGGGGGTTTGATACAGCCGGTTTGGATGGGGCGGGGTTCTTTGAAGGGGAAGGGGTTTCTGCTTCTGCAGACAGCAGCGGTGCTACAACCGGCAGTGCTGATGCGTCAGCGAGTGCCGGCGCTACAGCTAGTGCTGACGCGACGGCCAGCGGTGATGGGGACAGCGCTGACGTCAGCGCTGGGGATGAGGACAGGGGCGAAATCCACATGGGGGTTGGAAGGACGCATGGCGGTAGGGAGTCAGGGCATAACGACATGTACAGTCAGCAGCACGCCCAAAGCATCGCAAGCCAAAGGCACAACCACAGCCACAGTGACAGTCGCGGACACAGCCACAGGGAGACATATGGCACCAGTCAAATGCACATGGAGCAGGGGCGGAGAAAGCAGGATGTAGCAGCAGGAATCAGAGCGGGGTTAGAGGGATGTTTAGAGGAAGTTGCGCCTTCCAGTGAAGAGTTGCTGAGGGAGGGGTTTGGGTTTGACGCTGGAGCAATGGACTTCCTCGAACAGTCTGACCTCCTCTTGCTGCTTGAGCAACAGCAGCAGCAAGAGCAACAGAGGCAGCAGCAAACACAACTGTGGCTGCTGCAGCAACAGCAACAGCAACAGAAGCAGCAACAACAACAGCAACAGCAGCAGCAGCAGCAGCAGCAGCAGCAGCAGCAGCAGCAGCAGTGGCAGCAACAGCAACTGCAGCAGCAACAGCAACAGCAACTGCAGCAGCAGCGACAGCAACGGCAGCAGCAGCAACAACAACAACAGCAGCAGCAGCAGCAGCAGCAACAGCAACAACAACAGCAGCAGCAACAGCAGCAGCAACAGCAGCAACAGCAACAGCAACAGCAACAGCAGCAGGAAGAGCAACAGCAGAAGCAAGAGCGATCGGGTGTTGGGATCACTGGAGGGCAGATGGGGGGACAGATGGGGGGGCAGGTGGGAGGGCGGATGGGAGGGCAGATGGGGGGGCAGGTGAGATCCGCGCCCATGCTTCCATCCACTGTGCTTCTCCCTGCCAGCATGCAACGCAGGCCAGGCGCCACTGCCACCGCAAATGCTAATGCCACTGCCGCTCCCGCTGCCGTTGCCGTTGCCACTGCCACTGCCACTGTCCATGCTAATGCTAATGCGCCTTTCTCCCCGTCCTCCACCAATCAATCACAAGCAGCCTCTCCGTCTTGCTTCTCTCCTTCCTCTGCTACATCCGCTGCTGCCCGTGCTACAACCCAGGAACCTGGTATAACCGCCCCTACAGCCAGAACCAAGGAACCCAGTATAACCGCCCCTACTGCTAAAACCACCCCTTCTCACTCCCCCCAAAGTATTGCCCGTTCATCCAGTCTCCCCCCATCCGGGCCATTGCTCCACAACAACAGTAAAAAGGTAGCAGCAGCTACAGCTGCTACAGCAGCAACAGCAGCAGCAGCAGCAGCAACAGCAGCAGCAGCTGCAGCAGCAGGAGCAGCAGCAGAAGGGAGAACCGAGACAGTGCAGGGAGTGGGCGGAGGGGGAGGTAGGGGGAGCGGCGGAAACGGGGGGGTAGGAGACGAAGGAGGGGGAGGAGCAGGCGGAGGTGGAGGGGGAGGAGGGGGGTAGCAGCTGCAGCTCTGGCAAAAGCAGCCGAAAATCCAGCCCAGGCCTCCGCACAGGAAGCAAGAAGGCAACAGGAAAGGCAGCAGGAATGGGCTTGGGGGTGAATATGGGCATGGGGGCGGGCACAGGGATGAGTATGGGTGGTATAGCAAAGCCAGGTCCCTTCAATGGAGGGGCATCAGTCCACTCTAATCGTGGCTACTACTGCATGGGAGGGAGGGGCTGCTCCGGCGGCCCCTCCTGCCACCACAACCACGTGCCTCCCGCGCTTTTTATGATGGCTGCTGCAGCGGCAGCAGGCACGGGGATGATCCCTATGGGTGCTGTGGGTCCGTACAGGCAGCAGCTGCAGCTGCAGGGGAGACTGGTGAAGCGGGTAGAGCCTCCAGTGAAGAGGAAGCGGGGAAGGCAGAAGAAGGTACCTTCGAAGAATGGGCCGTGTGGGGCGACTACGAATCTAAGAGCGTTGGTTCCCAGGTCTATGTCCGGGGCAGGAGGGGCGGGAGGAGAGGGGGCAGGAGGAGGGGCAGGGGCAGCGGCAGGGGTAGGAGGGGTGGGAGGGGGGTTAGCGGCAGGTGTGGGTATGCAAGCAGGGAATGCTGGGGCGATAGCAGCAGCGCGGGCAGCGTCAGGAGCAGCGGCCCCGATGCAGATCATACAAACGTTCCCTCCCGGCCCGCCTGCCTTATTCCCACACCAGTTGATCCCTGCGCCTGCTCCTTCCCACCTGCCTTCCAGCTCATCAGGTGTATCCCCAGGTGCTGCAACAGTGCCCATGTTCTGGGGACCTGTGGCTTGGATACACCCCTCTGCTGCTTCTGCTGCCGCTGCCACTGGTGGTGGCCCCTCTCCTATGCTTGTGTCTGGTGGTCATGGCATGCCGATGCCTCTGCACGTGCAGCAGCCAGGAATGGGAGGTATGGGCGGGATGGGGATGGTGGGGGGCATGGGGGGTGCTGCCATGGGGTTGGTATGATGGTGCCGGCAGGGGGAGGGGAGCATGGGGTAGGGGAAGTGGTGAGTGGTGGAAGGGTGCATGGAGGGCTGACTGGAAGCGGAATGTCCCAACCGGATGGGGCAAGTTGATGGCTTTTGAGGCGCCTCAATAGGGGAAGTGGTTAGTGGTGGAAGGGTGCATGGAGGGCTGATTGGAAGCGGAATGTCCCAATCGGATGGGGCAACATGAGGCTGAGGTTTGTGAATCATGAGGTGCTGCCATGGGGGGTGGCAATGGCATGATGGCGCATGGAGGGCTGACTGCAAGTGGGATGTCCCAACCAGATGGGACGGCGTGATGCTGTGGTTCGTGAATCATGTGTAACGTTTTATTTATTGATTCTAACTAAATTGTACCAATTCTGATGGCTAATCCAAAATGTAGCACATGGTACGGTATGCATGAGTGCAATGGGATATTTGGGTGTACCGTACTCTCATCCAGGCACAGGTGCAGTCGAACAGTCCGAAGTTGTTTGTGCCTCATGGCACCGGTATGCTATTTGATGCTTGTCCATCTGTAAGGACGCGGTAAAAGTGCCTGATCGGGGGACATATTGATCCGCCACTGCAGTATAATCTCGCCTTTAACAAGAATTACCGAACCTATGACAGTACAACCGCGGCAGATAACGAACCTGAGGCAACTGATTTAACACATTTACCGCGTCCTAACGCAGATCCTCTCCTTTTTCTTGCTTCTGCAAGAGTCAGCCGAGCTCAATCAAGGCAGAGGGTGAGTAGATGAATCACAATGATCCAAGAGAGAAAAGCTAGTGTATTGGAAAGAAAATCAATGCAACACCTGTAGGCCACAGGTTATTTAACATAGTGCCCAGGAACAAGTGCATGTACAGTTGGTTGGAATACGGTACCAGAAACATACATCTGTTACTCTAGTTCAAAGCATACTTGATACACCACATGCAACTCAATAACGAGTCACAAAGAGGGCTTGGTTCCGTCAACCTCCCCATCGGAGAGGAGGTGCGCCATGTAGTGCTGGGAGATGGGAACAAACAGGGCATGCAGTGGGTGGGGGATGGTGGAGTGTGGAATGTGGGATAACGAGTCACACAACGCATGCGACTCAATAACGAGTCACAAGGAGGGCTTGGTTCCGTCAACCTCCCCATTGGAGAGGAGGTGCGCCATGTAGTGCTGGGAGAATAAAAAGGGCAGTTGGTGCGAGGGGGATGGTGGGGGTGGATGGTTGATGAATGGCTGATGGTGGATTTGACATGGTTACATGAGTGGTTGGAGGGGTTTGACATGGTTACATGAGTGGTTGGAGGGGTTTGACATGGTTACATGAGTGGTTGGAGGGGTTTGACATGGTTACATGAGTGGTTGGAGGGGTTTGACATGGTTACATGAGTGGTTGGAGGGAGAGGGAGACAAAAGGGGGTGGAGAAGTGGCGACGGCAAAAAAAACCCCTAGTTCTATGCTCAGATGAGGGTCAGTTATTCCAGGCAAACAGGAAAGACGAATGACAGGCATACGCTCGCCTTGTGCCCCACACCCATGATACTCACAGCGCCTTGTGCCCCACACCCATGATACTCACAGCGCCTTGTGCCCCACACCCATGATACTCACTGCATGGTAGGCGTATGCTCGCTGACTTTTGAGTCGACACAAAAGTCAAAGACGAATGACAGGCATACGCTCGCTTCGTGTCCCCACACCCAAGATACTCACTGCATGGTAGGCGTATGCTCGCTGCCCCTGCCTCTCGTAGTGCTTCGCCAGAATGGTAAACTCCAAAGGCCCCCAGTCAGACTCTTCAAACACGTTCCCCAGAGCTCGCTGGTATAGCTGCGAGTGGGAGAAAGAAGAGAGCAGGGAGAGGAGTGTTTTGAGTCGACTCAAAACACACCTGGATACAATGTCACGCGATGTGTTTTGAGTCGACTCAAAACACACCAGAGCTCGGTGGTATAGCTGCGAGTGGGAGAAAGAAGAGAGGAGGGAGAGGAGAGAATGACCAGAGGAGAGAACGAGGAGAGAAGGAAGTAGGAGGGATGTTGGATAATGAACGCCGAAACACGTTACTAATACACAGAACAAGTGCATGGTAGTGGTATGTACCTTGATGGTATCCACTTAAGACAGAGTAAAGAGAAGGCTCACCTTGGTAGTATCCACTAGGATTTCCGCGCCAGAAGCATACCCGCTGTAAGGCGTAGCTACCAGCGGCACGTGCGCTCGAATGCTGGAGAGAGAGAGAGAGGGGAGAAGAAAAGGGGGAGAAGAAAAGGGGGAGAGTTGTCGAGGGAAGCGAGAGCGAAAGGACGAGCGGAGGGCGGAAATGTCGAGGGCAGGGCATCGACGTACGCAATATTAGCGTATGTGTACGCGGCACAGGCAGACGCGATATAGATCCCCGTGTAGAAGCCTAACCGACGGAAGCGGCGAATCTGCCAGATCGAGCCTTTCGGAGGGAGGTCGCTTCCGCTTTGGTGCTGCTGACGTGGCAGCGCGCCAGTGGACATCGAATTTGAACGCAATACGAACGAAACCTCGTTTACAAGTTACGATTTGCTGAGAATCGCGATACGAAGACTAAGTTACTAAGCCTGCGAAGGCTGATAGTTTCCCAGGCGGCGGGAGGGGGAGCATTTAAACTGGCATACAGAGGGCCTCGTTTCAGGCGCGTCTGGAACAGTATAAAGATTTGAGAACGACTTCTGGAAGCTAATACAGACGAAATTGCTAATTGTTTTGTAATTACAAATTCCGCCCTGTGAACTGTGAACCCAAGGAGCTGGAAATCGCTCGCTTTTATCACGGAAGTCAGAATTTTATGCCTGGATCACAAATTTCCCGCAGCATGCATGCGATCCGACTGAACCGTCTAGCTCACGGAACAAGTGCCCCAATTTCAACCGAACTCGAAAATTTCGAGCCCACTGAACGCTAAACAGCGCTCTGTAACGCAAAAAGTTTCACCAAACCGTATCAGAGTAGACTCCAGTGCCACTCCCTGCGAATACAATTTCTCCCGCAACCTGTCATTCACCCACGACTTGGGGCCGGCCGTCAAGTGTGAGCTTAAAACGTCAAGCTAAGCGATGAGGGAGTTTCGCGAGCGAGCGAAGAACCAGTCGCGGCAGGTGGGTCGTATATGGGCCCACCAACCAACCTACCATTCCCCAGGTCCCACTGGCACCAGGTATTGGGATCATCCACCACAAACGATGGTTGACTTACTTCCAGAAGATCATTCGGAACCTTTGCAAAACGTTTGGCACCGTCTTGTACCATGCATTTAGGTACGTTTGAATGGATCTCCAGCTATGGCGTATTCAAGGTCCTCTGCTGTCTACGCTGCACTGCAGGCGCTGGGAATGCCGATCTCCATTCAGGCATTCTAAGAGCGTGTTACACCTGTCCTATTTTCAAGGATCACGTAGCTGAGATCACCAACACCACAACCTTAGGATTACGAGTGGCCAAACAACATGTTTTTGGGGCACATCACGAACCTTGTTGGTGTACCATCTGCAAATTTGCAATGGTGATCCTCTGCGACCAGGCGACGTCGCCTGAAACGACGCGACAGTCGCGATCATTGATATTTTCATTGACCATGCTGACTGCGTTACTGACCCGAAATCAACAGCCTCATTGGTTCGAAATCCATCAAAAAATGCTCCGATTAGTCGCGACTTTGTTACAGAAATTTGCGAGATTAAATTTTTCGTCGTCAAGGATCACCCTGTCTTTGGTACAAAGATGCAAGGATTGCCGAGAGATTGGCAGTCACCATGATCTCTCAGAAAACACCAAGATCGGGTAGCAAAAGGAACTCGTGATTTCGATCCTTCCTCTGTTGGTACATCACCTGACACAGTGAACACTGTAGAATGGTAGGTACGACACTGTTCCGTAAGGATCGCCTGCGTGATCCTCAAAATGCAGCAATCTTTGCTTGGGTGTAACACGCTCTAAGGACGCGGCACCTGTTTTCATTTTGCCAGGATCGGGGCCTCACATCGATCCTGACACATCGATCGGCACACCGATGTGCCCACACTGAAAATTTGCAGTTGGGTAGACACATCGAGCTATAGGTGCCAGGATCGAAATTGCAGGATCGGGCAGGCTGAATACACCAACACACTCAACGCACAGCCAATCAGGGAAGAGCGTGGCTGGTCGCCCAGCAATTTCATTCGCAACGACTCGAGAATTTTTTGCCTGCGACCGTGGGCGACGCCGATCGATCGCGGCTGTCACCTGTGGCTCGATGTGCTCTACCGCCAAACTAAAAGCACGATCGATGTGTGCACCGCGGCACATCGAACGTGCGAGCTGCAGGTGCCACCAATTTGGGTACCCGTGTACTGTACATTTTCGAAGTCATGCGAAGAACGGATACCATGCATCGACGATGTCGCCAATGCACTGTATAAGCGGCACATCGATCCCCTCCTACGATCGATCCTGGAAAAATGAAAAACAGGTGCCGCGTCCTTAGAACCACGAGAGAGTGGTTGAGGTATTTGCCGTTCCGTGACGACTGCTGGCATAAGGCTTCATCCTACGGTAGCTAGTTAGGCTTATCAGGATTGACCGGATCCAGTGCGTCGGCTCCAATGCATGACGGCTAGCAGTGTTGTGATCTGACAACCGTCTGGATACTTATTCTCCTGGGAAAACTACTCAGATTGCACAATTGTGGTCGTTTTCCCTCGAGAACCACGATGGTGAGGCCTTTAGTAGATCTTAGGGGTCCTTTAATTTCTTTTGGGTTATTTGTCATTAAGGTTGCTGTTTTAACAAATGAACGTTCTCCGTTTCCTCGTTGGCTCGTTCTCTTTTTTCTCGTTGGCTGTCAGGCGAAGCGTACTCAACTGATCGCGATCTTCCTTCTCTTCCTATTGGCCACGACCGCTACAACGGTCAGCGCCAAGAAGAAAAAAGCCGAGGTGGTAGACGAATCTGCTGAGGATGCATCTCCAGCTTCAGACGAAACACCAGCAGCTTCGGAGGAAAAAACGCCAGACGCTGCAGAAGCAGCGGATTCCGGCGGTGACGGGGAAACCGTGGCGGATGCTAAGGCTTCCACCGACGATGCTTCCGCCGACGAAGGGGAGAAGGCAGAAGGCGGAGAGGAAAAATCAGCTCCCGCAGCAGAGCAAACGGCGAAGGAGGAGAATGAGGGAGAAGGGGAGGATACTACCGGAGCTGACGCTGCTGCTGCTGGGGCTGGGGAGGACCCTCCTCCAGGAAGCCAGTTGGAACAAGATATTATCAAGGCGGAAAAGAAAGCAGGAGACATCTTCCCTGCAGGTAGGGATATGGCAACGTTAAAAAGCTTTACGTTTGTCCGTATGAAGAGACGTTATAATTTTCAGTGATGTAGAATTTCGTGATCAGATCAGGGGGACAGATACTCCTAAGGCGGTTCGTGAATAGGTCTCGTGGCTTGTTCTCTCTGACGTTGGTCCGATCGTTTACCCGACGGCTGCATTTTGTTTCGCGTGTGCCAACAGCGGCCACCAGGCGTAGAATTCTGACGGACCGTCAATTCTGGAACAACTCGTCGTTTTCCGTGCTTCAAATCTCCGACCGCAATATGTCAGAACGTCGCGTTGACCTCCTGATTGCGTGGTTTACGCGCGTCGTATTGCCCAGTCGTGTCCGATTAATTACGTTTCAAGTCCATAATCTGACGCAGGAGCGTGCGCAGCGCAACCATTACTCAGGCCAGGCAGTGGATAAGGTTTGATCAAGTGTATGCGAGCAGGGGTGTGCAAGGGGGAGTCGCCCTGCGAGGGCGTGGGTCCGAGCAGCAGGTGTTGAAGTGGCTCATTATGAGCTGGGCGTGTGACTTTTTCGAATGTGTAGTGTGCTGTATCTGCGGCGCTTGATCGATTGGGGGTGTGCGTGCAAGCGCGTGAGCAGCAGGTGTTAAGCCGCCTCGATATAACCTGGGTGCGTTTCTCACAAATTCACCGTGACTGCTGTGCGTGATTGCGTGTGGGTACGCAGGGGTGCAAGAAGGAAATCAAATCGTTCTGCGAGGGCGTGGACGTGAGCAACAGAAGTTGAGATGCCTCAATATGAGCTGAATGCTGTACCTGCTGTGGTTATGTGGTTGTGTGCGTGCAGGGGCGTGCAAGAAGGAGATCAAATCGTTCTGCGAGGGCGTGGACGTGGGCAACAGGAGTCTGGAGCGCTGCCTCTCTGACAGCTTCAAGCTCACCAAGGCCGCCGACGGTGAGCAGTTAGGGGCTGACGGTGAGCAGTTAGGGGCTGACGGTGAGCAGTTAGGGGCTGACGGTGAGCAGTTAGGGGCTGACGGTGAGCAGTGAGGGGCTGACGGTGAGCAGTGAGGGGCTGAGGGTGCGCAGTGAGGGGCTGACGGTGAGCAGTGAGGGGCTGACGGTGAGTAGTGAGACCGCTGACGGTGAGCAGTGAGGGGCTGACAGTGGGCACTTTGAGGAAACGTGAATTTGACCAGAGAGGAAACACGATTTTAATCAAATGAGAGGAGTACGCTTCGGTGCTGGTGACCCATCCGTGGCATTGGGATGTGTCAATGCAACAGGTCAACCTTCTCCCTTACCCCGTTTCCCCTGGCCTGCAATCCCTCAGCTGCTTATCCTGGGAAGAAGCTTGACAAGAAGTGTTTTTGGGACGGTTCAAGATTAGACATTTCCCTTGCCTTGCCCCTTTCCCTTCTGGCCTCCATCCTCTCAGCTGCCACTGCCGACAAGAAGTTTGGCAAGAAGTGTCTTAAGGCCATCCGGCGGTTCAAGATTGAGGTGTACAAGGACATTTCGATCGACAAGGAGATGAGTAAGTGCTGTGAATGAAGAACATGGCTGTTGAGGCACCTCAAAACTGCCTCAAGGCCATCCGCCTGTTAAAGATTGAGGTGTACAACGATGTTTCGATCGACAAGGAGATTAGTGAGTGATGCTTAGCACATGGCATTTATATTTGAAAAGGAAGGAAGAACGAAAGAAAGAAAAAGAGCTGACTGAAGTTTTGAAATGTGCAGAACTTGGGTCTTGCACGAGATGTCAGTGAATACTTGTGTGCAATTTCAATATTTTTTATCGTTTCTGGCAGTGCCAGTCCCGCTGGTGCTGATAATTTTTTCTCCTTCAAGCTTGTTCATGTTTTTCCGTGTGAATGTGTGTTTTTTTGGGGGGATGGGTGGGGAGATTTTTTAATGTGTGCGTGTATTTTTGTGTTTGCTTGTGAGTGAGTGAGTGTGTTTGAGTGTGTGTGTGCACATGCATGCATGTGTGTGTGTGTGTGTGTGTGCACATGCGTACATGCGTGTGTGTGTGTGCACATGCGTGCATGCGCGCGTGTGTGTGTGCACATGCGTGCATGCGCGCGTGTGTGTGTGCACATGCGTGCTTGCGCGCGTGTGTGTATCACACATGCGTGCTTGCGTGTGTGTGTCTGCACATGCACATGCATGCTTGCGCCTCTGTATGTGTGAAATGCAGTGGAGATGTGCAAGGACGACATCTCATCGCTCTGTGACGACGACTTCCTCTACCCTGAAGTCGGCAGCGTCCTCGCCTGCCTCAGGTGCGTGCCATTCACCACCTCCCTCCCCTCTCAAATCCACTCTAAAACCCTCTCAAACCCCCTCTCAAAGTCACGCCCCTGCGGCGGAAATGGGGGGCAATGGCAATGCAGTGGACGTCTGCAAGGACGACATCTCATCGCTCTCTGACGACGACTTCCTCTACCCTGAATTTGGCAGCGTCCTCGCCTGTCGCAGGTATGCTTCCTATTCCGCCCACCTACTTAACTCCCAAACCCCCAACCCCCTTTCATCTTCCCCCGCCCACGGTCGTTGCTACCAGGGAGGCCAAGTCGGGAGGCAAGATATCACAAGCGTGTGGGCAGAAGGCGTTTGAAGCGCAGCAGGACACAGCCAACGACTTTGCCTTGGACCCACAGCTGAAGCCATCCCACTCGTTTCCCAACCCCCACCCTCTTCCCACTCGTTGCTACCAGGGAGGCCAAGTCAGGAGGCAAGATATCCGAGGCGTGTGGGCAGAAGGTGTTTGAGGCGCAGCAGGAGTTGCAAGTTGCATTCCCTCACTGGCCCCATGCTCTCCCAACTGCGCACCATCCATTCCCCCTGTCAGGGAGGCCAAGTCAGGAGGCAAGATATCCGAGGCGTGTGGGCAGAAGGTGTTTGAGGCGCAGCAGGAGTTGCAAGTTGCATTCCCTCACTGGCCCCATGCTCTCCCAACTGCGCACCATCCATTCCCCCTGTCAGGGAGGCCAAGTCAGGAGGCAAGATATCCGAGGCGTGTGGGCAGAAGGTGTTTGAGGCGCAGCAGGAGTTGCAAGTTGCATTCCCTCACTGGCCCCATGCTCTCCCAACTGCGCACCCTCCTTTCCCCCTGTCAGGGAGGCCAAGTCAGGAGGCAAGATATCCGAGGCGTGTGGGCAGAAGGTGTTTGAGGCGCAGCAGGAGTTGCAAGTTGCATTCCCTCACTGGCCCCATGCTCTCCCAACTGCGCACCCTCCTTTCCCCCTGTCAGGGAGGCCAAGTCAGGAGGCAAGATATCCGAGGCGTGTGGGCAGAAGGTGTTTGAGGCGCAGCAGGAGTTGCAAGTTGCATTCCCTCACTGGCGCCATGCTCTCCCAACTGCGCACCCTCCTTTCCCCCTGTCAGGGAGGCCAAGTCAGGAGGCAAGATATCCGAGGCGTGTGGGCAGAAGGTGTTTGAGGCGCAGCAGGAGTTGCAAGTTGCATTCCCTCACTGGCCCCATGCTCTCCCAACTGCGCACCCTCCTTTCCCCCTGTCAGGGAGGCCAAGTCAGGAGGCAAGTTATCCGAGGCGTGTGGGCAGAAGGTGTTTGAGGCGCAGCAGGAGTTGCAAGTTGCATTCCCTCACTGGCGCCATGCTCTCCCAACTGCGCACCCTCCTTTCCCCCTGTCAGGGAGGCCAAGTCAGGAGGCAAGATATCCGAGGCGTGTGGGCAGAAGGTGTTTGAGGCGCAGCAGGAGTTGCAAGTTGCATTCCCTCACTGGCCCCATGCTCTCCCAACTGCGCACCCTCCTTTCCCCCTGTCAGGGAGGCCAAGTCAGGAGGCAAGATATCCGAGGCGTGTGGGCAGAAGGTGTTTGAGGCGCAGCAGGAGTTGCAAGTTGCATTCCCTCACTGGCCCCATGCTCTCCCAACTGCGCACCCTCCTTTCCCCCTGTCAGGGAGGCCAAGTCAGGAGGCAAGATATCCGAGGCGTGTGGGCAGAAGGTGTTTGAGGCGCAGCAGGAGTTGCAAGTTGCATTCCCTCACTGGCGCCATGCTCTCCCAACTGCGCACCCTCCTTTCCCCCTGTCAGGGAGGCCAAGTCAGGAGGCAAGATATCCGAGGCGTGTGGGCAGAAGGTGTTTGAGGCGCAGCAGGAGTTGCAAGTTGCATTCCCTCACTGGCGCCATGCTCTCCCAACTGCGCACCCTCCTTTCCCCCTGTCAGGGAGGCCAAGTCAGGAGGCAAGATATCCGAGGCGTGTGGGCAGAAGGTGTTTGAGGCGCAGCAGGAGTTGCAAGTTGCATTCCCTCACTGGCGCCATGCTCTCCCAACTGCGCACCCTCCTTTCCCCCTGTCAGGGAGGCCAAGTCAGGAGGCAAGATATCCGAGGCGTGTGGGCAGAAGGTGTTTGAGGCGCAGCAGGAGTTGCAAGTTGCATTCCCTCACTGGCCCCATGCTCTCCCAACTGCGCACCCTCCTTTCCCCCTGTCAGGGAGGCCAAGTCAGGAGGCAAGATATCCGAGGCGTGTGGGCAGAAGGTGTTTGAGGCGCAGCAGGAGTTGCAAGTTGCATTCCCTCACTGGCCCCATGCTCTCCCAACTGCGCACCCTCCTTTCCCCCTGTCAGGGAGGCCAAGTCAGGAGGCAAGATATCCGAGGCGTGTGGGCAGAAGGTGTTTGAGGCGCAGCAGGAGTTGCAAGTTGCATTCCCTCACTGGCCCCATGCTCTCCCAACTGCGCACCCTCCTTTCCCCCTGTCAGGGAGGCCAAGTCAGGAGGCAAGATATCCGAGGCGTGTGGGCAGAAGGTGTTTGAGGCTCAGCAGGACGCGGCCAACGACTTTGCGCTGGACCCTCAGCTGAACGAAACGTGTTCTGGAGACGTGCAGCGGCTGTGTGCTGACGTGCCCACTGGGGAGGGGCGTGTGCAGGACTGCCTGGTGGGTTGTTTGAGTGTCTGGGGGGAGGAGGGGAATATGGGTGGCAGGAGGTTAAGGGCGTGGGGGGGTTGTGTGCCTAAGTGCGAGCGAATCTGTTCTGGATCCTCAGTTGAACGAGACGTGCTCTGGGAACGTGCAGCGGCTGTGCGCTGACGTGCCCACTGAGGGGGTTGCGCAACTGACTTTGCCTCCCCCCCCCCCCACCCCCTCCCTCCCTCCCTTCCTCCCTCCCTTCCTTCCTCCCTCCCTCCCTCTCCCTTCCTCCCTCCCTTCCTTCCTCCCTCCCTCCCTCCCTCCCTCCCTCCCTCCCTCCTCCCTCCCTCCCTCCCTCCCTCCCTCCCTCCCTCCCATCCACATTTCCTCCCTACCTCCCTCTCTCCCTCCTTCCCTCCCTTCCTTCTTGCCTGCGTCTCCACGCCACCAGAGGGACCACAGGAACAGCCTCAACTGGGAGTGTTTGGCAGAGCTGTTCCGCCAGGAGATAGAGAGCTCAGAGGACATTCGCCTCAACACGCGCCTCTTCAAAGGTGAGCATTAGTGCTGTGAAGAGAAGAGATTCGCAAGTGGAGAGATTGAAAGCCCCTTTCCTTTTCTTCCCATCCCGTTTTTCTTCTCCTCCCCTCTCTTCCCATCCTTTCCTGTTTGTTATTTCTCCTCCACTCTTCCCATCCTGTCGTTCTTTCCTCTCTCTCTCTCTCACCCTCCTCCCCAGCTTGCCTGTAAGACAAGCGGCGCTTCTGCCTTGACGTGCTGCCATAGGGTGCGAGAGTGAGGGAATTCATTAAGCTGCCCCTTTCCCTCTTCTTCCATCCCATCTCTCCAGCTTGCCTCGAGGACAAGCGCCGCTTCTGCCCGGACGTGCTGCCAGGGGACGCGCGAGTGAAGGAATTCATTGAGGCCCCCTTTCCCCTCTCTTCCTATCCAATCTCATCCCTCTGTTCCTCCCCTCCCAGCTTGCCTCGAGGACAAGCGCCGCTTCTGCCCCGATGTGCTGTCGGTTCAGGGTTATGGGCTTATGATTAAGAAATGAGTCCCATTTCTTCCCATCCTGTCTTTCCCCTCCCTCTGCCCCTCCTCCTTCCAGCCTGCCTGGAGGACAAGCGCCGCTTCTGCCCTGATGTGCTGCCAGGGGATGCACGGGTGAAGGACTGCCTGGAGTCGCACCTGCAGGACTCGGACTTCTCCAAGACCTGGTGAGTGTGTTTCACGTGGAGAGATGGCAGTTGGAGGAGTGGGTTATGGGGTCTCAACAGGAGGTGAGGTGGCGGTGGTGCTGCCAGGGGATGCGCGAGTGAAGGACTGCCTGGAGTCGCACCTGCAGGACTCGGACTTCTCCAAGACCTGGTGAGTGTGTTTCACGTGGAGAGATGGCAGTTGGAGGAGTGGGTTATGGGGTCTCAACAGGAGGTGAGGTGGCGGTGGTGCTGCCAGGGGATGCGCGAGTGAAGGACTGCCTGGAGTCGCACCTGCAGGACTCGGACTTCTCCAAGACCTGGTGAGAAGAAGGGAAGGTGGGTGGGTGAGAGGCGGCAGGGGCAGGGCTTTGACCTTGGGGGTTTGGGAGTGGGTGACCGGTAAGATGTGCTGCCAGGGGATGCCCGAGTGAAGGACTGCCTGGAGTCCCACCTGCAGGACTCGGACTTCTCCAAGACCTGGTGAGAAGAGCGGAGTGTGAGGGGACAGGGTTTTGGGGTTGGCATGGGTGAGATGAGGCAGCGGCCTGCCTGGAGTGGCACCTGCACGACTCTGACTTCTGCAGGATGTGATGTGAAGAGAGGAGTGGGGGGAGGTTGGATGAGGGGCAGGGGAGACAGGATTTGGGGTCTAGGTTCGTTTTGGGGGTTTTGGGGTAATGGGTGAGATGCGCTACTAGCCAGGGGATTCTCGAGTAATGGACTGCCTGAAGTCGCACCTGCCTGAATTGTCCAAGAAGTCGCACCTGCCTGAATTGTCCAAGTAGTCGCACCTTCACGGCAGCAAGGTGGAGTTTGAGCGCATGATGGAGTGTACGGCAACACTCACGTTACCTCTCCCGTTCCCCCTCTCTCCCTTCCGCTCCCCTTCTCCGTCCCCTCCCCATCCCCATGGCAGCAAGATGGAGTTTGAGCATATGACAGAGCGCAGGGCAACACTCATGTGGTTCGAGACGTCTCAAAACAGAGCGCAGGGCAACACTCATGCGGTCCTCTTTCCTCCCCTCCTCCCCTCCCCACCCTCTGCCTTTCCCCCTCCCCTCCCATTCTCCACTTATCCCTCAACAGCAAGGTGGAGTTTGAGCGCATGATGGAGCGCAGGGCGTCTGACTTCCGCCTGGACTACAACCTCCGCAAGTACTGCGCTGAGGATATAACCACGGTGAGTGGCAGAAGCACCGTGTCTAGGTTGGGGCAAGGTGGGATGATTATGTGTGAATTGGACTTCCGCCTGGACTACAACCTCTGCAAGTACTGCGCTGAGGATATCACCACAGTGAGTGGGATCAGCGAGGTGAGCGGGTGGCAGCACAGCGAGCACTAGTGTGTGGGTGGGAATGAAGGATGGTGAAGTGGTATGAGCATGGTGAGTGCCTGCGAGACTACTGAGGCGAGCACCACCCTCAACACCACCACCACCCCTACCCATTCCCTCGCCTCTGCCCTTTTGCGTCACTTCTCAGACGTGCTACCAAGATGCGGAGGATGTAGTAGACGTGGCCAACAGGGATGCCAAGGTGATCGAGTGCCTGCAGGACTCAGTCTTCATTCACCCTCCACCCCCACCACAACCCCATCCCCTTAACCCTCAGACGTGCTACCAAGACGCGGAGGACGTGGTGGATGTGGCCAACAGGGATGCCAAGGTGATCGAGTGCCTGCAAGACTACCGTGGGGAGCTCAAGGACCCGCGGTGCCGGCAGCAGGTGCACCAGCTCACCAAGCGGGCGTCTGAAGATATCCGGTTCAACCGCCCCCTCGCTCAGGCGTGCAAGGGTGAGTGTGTGGCTGTGTGCATGTGAGCGCGTGCGCATGTATCCATGCGCCTTCTGCCCCGCGGGGAGCTCAAGGACCCGCGGTGCCGGCAGCAGGTGCACCAGCTGACTAAGAGGGCTTCAGAGGACATTAGATTCAACAGGCCGCTCGCCCAGGCATGCAAGCAAGGGTAAGTGCCAGGGTGTGCGCATGTGGGCAACCCTAAACCCCCCAAACCCTGGGCATGCGCATGTACACTCATGTATTTTTGCGCCCGTGCCTTGTGGGAGGGGGAAGCTCAAGGACCCGCAATGCCAGCATCAGATGCACCAACTCTCTAAGCGGGCGTCAGAGGACATTTGGTTCAATAGGCCTCTGGCCCAGGCGTGCAAGGGTGAGTGTCTGGGTGTGCGCATGTGCATGTGCACCGAATGTTTTTTGAGAATTCTCAAAAAGCACTCGTGTGATGGTTCGCTCACGTGTCTGTCGCCCCTCTTATCCAAATAACACAAACCCCCACCTCCTTTCCTCGCACCCACCCCCTCTCTTCTGCTCACCCTCGCCCACACCCCCATCTGTAGACGTTTCCGCCTAGCTGTGCAAGGACGTGCCGCCCGGCTATTCCCATGTCCGGCCACACCACCTCACTCCTCTCAACCACGTCATCCCTCCCACCCACCCCAACCCCCCCTCTGCAGACGATTCCGCCAAGCTGTGCAAGGACGTGCCGCCCGGCCATGCGCGCGTGCTGCTGTGCCTGCAGGTGCACTGACTTGGTTTGAGAATCCCCCTTACCAACCCCGCCCACGCCATCCCTCCTACCTACTCCACCCCCCCCCCTCTCTCCCAGACGACTCTGCCAAGCTGTGCAAGGACGTGCCACGGGGCCATGCCCGCAAGGTTTGAGATTCCCCTACCATCCCCAACCCCGCCTCCTACTATCTATTCCGCCCACCCACTCCCCTCTCTCCCAGACGACTCCGCCAAGCTGTGCAAGGACGTGCCGCCAGGCCATGCGTTGGTGGCCTGAGATTCCCCCTTACCACCTGCCCGCCCTCCCTTCCCCGCCGCGCCTTCCGCCCCCCCCTCTGCAGACGACTCCGCCAAGCTGTGCAAGGACGTGCCGCCCGGCCATGCGCGCGTGCTGCTGTGCCTGCAGGAGCACCGCAAGGGCCTCACAGCCAACTGCAAGGAGGCGCTTTTCCAGGAGGTGAGGCGCTCTAACAAGAGGTGAGGCGCTTCCTCACGAGGCGGAAGGTCAACCATTGTTGAGTGCAATCAGGTGTGTAGGCAAGGCAAGTGTGCATTCAGGTGTGGATTCAGGTGTGGATTCAGGTGTGGGTTCAGGTGACTGTGACTCCATTCCTCCTTCCCCCCTTTCCGTTTCCTCGTCCAGTTCTCCCACTTTCTCTCTCCCGTCCCACCTACTGTTTGTTTCCTCTCCTACTGTCTAGCGCAGAGCCTCTTTCGCAAAGGACATTGGCTTCAAGTCTTTCTGTGATCTCAAACCTTTCCACGCTCCTTCTCACCTTCCTTCCCGCCCTCTCTCCTCCCTCTCGTTCAACCACGCAGGAGGTGCGGTTTGCAGAGGACATTGACTTCAAGTTCCCGCTCAGGCAGGCATGCACTGATGAGATGAAGATCCTGTGCAAAGGTGAGACTCTCTATGCTGTTTGTACTGCCCCTTGTGCCCCTCCTGCCGCTCCTGTCCTTCCTGCCCCTCCTGTTCCTCCTCCCTCCCCTGTCTCTCCCCTCCCACTGTGTCTCTGTCTCCATGTCTAAGTGCGTGCGTGAGTGCATGCGTACATGCGTACACGTGTGTGTGTGTGTGTGTGTGTGCGCGCGCGCGCGCGCGTGCGTGCGTGCGTGCGTGCGTGTGCGTGCGTGCGTGCGTGCGTGCGTGTGTGTGTGCGTGTGTGCGCGCGCACGCGAGTGTGTGTGTGTGTGTGTGTGTGTGTGTGTGTGTGTGTGTGTGTGTGTGTGTGTGTGCAATGAACGTGTGCCTTACCTTCGCAAGTGCTCACATGTGTGTGTTGAACCTGCACTTTCCCCCTCTGTATATCTGTGCTCATGCCCACAGACCAGCCGGACGTGATCAAGTGTCTGCAAGACAAGGTGGAAGATGCGGACATGGGCGTATTGTGCAAGGAGGAGGTGAAGAAAGATATGAAGCGCGCAGCAGAGGGTGAGTGGGTTCTAGGCGGCTCAAATAGGGGCAGCGGGCGGGGTAGGGGACGAGGGAGAGGCAGGTACGACCCTAGCATGCAGGGGACGCGGATATGGGCGTATTGTGCAAGGAGGAGGTGAAGGAAATGAAGCGTGCAGCATAGGGTGAGTGTGCATGTTGTAACTCTGCGTGCCTTAGGGGGGTGGGGAGGGGGGTTGGCAAGGTATACTCTATTCTGCCTGCCTAACATGTGGGGGACGAGGACATGGGCAGTTTGTGGGGGTGGGTGCTCCCCCACCCATCTTCCCTTTCACCCTCCCATCTTTCCATTCACCCACTCACTCACACCCAGACTACCGTCTCAACTTCCATGTGCCTCACATGTGCTGTCTCAACCTCTGACCTGTTACCTTTCATGTTGGTTTTTGAGAATTCTCAAAAACCAACTGACCTGTTACCTTACATGCACTAACCCCTTCCAGACTAACGCCTGAACTTCCGCCTCAACAAGGAGTGCTTCGTTGATGTGTAGTGTCTGTACCTGCACTCGTGCGACACTGGGTCTAACTCTTTGCTCATCCACCCACCCACCCATGCACCCTTCCACTACCAGACTACTGTCTAAATTTCCGTTTGAACAAGTAGTGCTTCGTGGATGTGGAGTGTCTCTGCCTGCACTCGCGCGACGCTGATTGTGGCCCCCTTTGCTCTCCCACACACCCCAACCCACACCCCTTTGCTTTAATTAACAGACTACCGTCTGAATTTCCGTCTGAACAAGGAGTGCTTCGTGGATGTGGAGCGTCTGTGCCTGCACTTGTGTGCTTCTTAGTCTGGCCTTACACTCATCCTCCCACCCATACACCTCATACACCCCATACACCCCATACACCCCATACACCCCATACACCCCATACACCCCATACACCCCATACACCCCATACACCCCATACACCCCATACACCCCTCCATCCCCAGACTACCGCCTCAACTTCCGCCTGAACAAGGAGTGCTTTGTCGATGTGGAGCGTCTGTGCCTGCACTTGTGCGACACTGCTCTGGAGAGTGGTGGCACGGAGACCGGGGTGACTTGTTCTCCTCCTGCTCACCTGCTTTCCTGCGCCTCCCTCCCCTCCCTCACAGATTATCGCCTGAATTTCCGTCTGAACAAGGAGTGCTTCGTGGATGTGGAGCGTCTGTGCCTGCACTCGTGCGACGCGGCTCTGGAGAGTGGCGGCACGGAGACCGGGGTGACGTGTGGGGGGGCGACGCTCAAGTGTCTGACGGAAAACGAGAAGAAGCTGTCGTCCAAGACGTGCCGGCAGGAGCTGTTCTACTTCAAGAAAAGGATGGTCGCTGATATCTCGCTCGATATCCCCCTTCAGGTAAGCCGGGAGGGGGCAACAATGCGTGCACCAAGTGGTGCACTGCGGTGGTATGGGGTGGGGGCGTAGGGGAATGGTTGATGGCTGGCAGGGGGGGAACGGGGTTGACGTGTGGGGGGGCGACGCTCAAGTGTCTGACGGAGAACAAGAGGAAGCTGTCGTCGAAAACTTGCCGGCAGGAGCTGTTCTAATTCAAGAAGCGGCTGGTTGCTGACATTTCGCTTGATATCCTGCTGCAGGTAAGGGGAGGGGGAGGGGGGGTGGACGGGGGCAACAAGGAACATGACAATGGGTGCAGTGAGGGTGTATGTGTCGGCAGGAGCTGTTCTACGTCAAGAAGCGCATGGTCGCTGACATTTCGCTGGATATCCCGCTGCAGGTAAGGACAAGGGGGGAAAAGGGGATGGGTAGTAAAAGACACACCACAACAAGGGGTGCAGTGCGGTGGTATGGGTAGGGGGGTATGTGTCGGCAGGAGCTGCTCTACTTCAAGAAGCGGATGGTCGCTGTCATCTCGCTGGATATCCCCCTGCAGGTAAAAGAAAGGGGCGGGAACAAGGTGCACTACAAGGGGTGCAGTGCGGTGGTATGGGGAAGGGAGGAGCTGTTTTACATCAAGTAGATGCTAGTTGCTGGCATATCGCTGGATATCCCTCTGCAGGTATAAGGGGGGGAAGTGGGGGGATGTTTTGAGTTGAGACGTCTCAAAACACGTGTTTTACATCAATGAAGATGCTAGTTGCTGGCATATCGCTGGATTGGATATCCCTCTGCAGGTAAATGGGGGGGAAGTGGGGGGGGGGGGGGGGGGGGTGCCGTGCCGCTTGAAGGCAACGACGGAGGTTGCTCGCTGCTCCAGATGGCGTGCAAGCGGGATATGGAGAAGAAGCAGGGATTTTTTTTAGAATTCTAAAAAAATCCCTGCGGGATGTGGAGAAGAAGTGTGGCAGCGAGAGATGACTTTTGAGTCGACTAAAAAATGCTCCAGATGGTGTGCAAGCGGGATATGGAGAAGTGTGGCAGTGAGAGGGACCACTCTTGTGTAAGAAGTGAATTTTTTGAGACGTCTCAAAAATTCACTTCTTACACTTGGCGAATTGGGAGGGTGTTTGGTTAGCTCTCTCTCCTCATGCACTCCCTTCTCTTCCTACTCCCCCTGCCTGCCCGACCTGAGACGATTTTTGAGGCGCGCCAAAAATCGGCTCCAAACCTGAGATACGACCTTGAATGCTTTTCGTTGGAGGAGGAAGCCGAACCACTCTTAGGCGAATTGGGAGGGTGTGTGATGGCTCTCTCTCCTCATGTACTCCCTTCCCTTCCTACTCCCCCTGTGATGAGTCGATTTTTGAGTCGACTCAAAAATTCACTTCTTACACGTGGCGAATCGGGAGGGTGTGTGATGGCTCTCTCTCCTCATGCACTCCCTTCCCTTCCTACTCCGCCTGTGATGAGTCGATTTTTTAGTCGACTCAAAAATTCACTTCTTACACGTGGCGAATCGGGAGGGTGGTTGATGGCTCTCTCTCCTCATTGCACTCCCTTCCCTTCCTACTCCGCCTGTGATGAGTCGATTTTTTAGTCGACTCAAAAATTCACTTCTTACACGTGGCGAATCGGGAGGGTGGTTGATGGCTCTCTCTCCTCATGCACTCCCTTCCCTTCCCACTCCCCCTGTCTGCCCGACCTGTCCACTCCCCTTTCCTTCCCCTGCCTCTCCAGAGCAGGTGGCGTGTAAGAATGACGTGGAGAAGAAGTGTGGCAGCGAGAGGGACCACTCTAAGCTGGAAGGAGAGGTGGTCTGATGTGTGACTCTGTCTTGATGTGAAGAACGTGTTTCCGTACGCCTCTTCCCTCGTACCCCCCTCCAGATGGCGTGTAACACGGACGTGGAGAAGAAGTGTGGTGGCGAGAGGGACCAGAAGAAGGCGCATGAACAGTGTGTTTTGATGCTCTTCCCTCCCTCGTGCACCCCTGTCGTACTCCCCCCTGCCTTATCCCCCTACCCCTCCAGATGGCGTGCAAGAATGACGTGGAGAAGAAGTGTGGTGGCGAGAGGGACCACTCCAAGGCGCTGGCTTGCCTGCGGGCCAAGAGGGACGAGCTGACAGAGGAGTGCAAGGAGGAGGAGCTGCGGTTGAGTGAGATGGAGGTGGGTTTGGGTTGGTTGGGTGGGCAGGGGGGCCGTGGAGAAGAGGGACGAGCTGACAGAGGAGTGCAAGGAGGAGGAGCTGCGGTTGAGTGAGATGGAGGTGGGTGTGGGATGGTGACTGTGATGCAGGGGAGGTGAGGTGTGACTGACGCAGGGGAGGGGAGGCGTGACTGATGCAGGGGAGGGGAGGCGTGACTACGCAGGGGAGGGGAGGCGTGACTACGCAGGGGAGGTGAGGAGTGAAAGCGTGCTTGTTGGGAGCTCAACCGTTCCTCTTCTCACCCTGTACTCTTATTCTGGGCGTCCCCTTACACTCCCCTCCTCGCAAGCGTCGGACATCCGCCTGACCTCAACCCTCATGAACGCTTGTGGCTTGGAACTCAAACCATTTCTGCCTCCATCTCAACCCCCCCTTACGCCTCCTTCTGTTTCACTGTTTCACTCCCCTCCTCACAGGCGTCTGATATCCGCCTGACCCCCACCCTCATGAACGCATGCGGTTTGGAGCTCAACCACTTCTGCCGTGGCGTGCAGCCCACAGCCGGGCTTGCCTTCCGTTGCCTGCAGATGAGCATCAACGAGGTGAGATGGGTGGTGGAAATGTTACAGGGTAACCATGTTTCAAGCAGGGAGGTAGGCTTGATGCAGTGCGGTTGGGGTAATGGTGGCAAAAACATGTGCAGCCCACAGCCGGGCTGGCCTTCCGCTGCCTACAGATGAGCATTAATGAGGTAAGGTCAGCGGGGTTACACGGTAACAGTGTTATAGGGGGTGGACGTCCTATGCATGTGCAGCCCACAGCCGGGCTGGCCTTCCGCTGCCTACAGATGAGCATTAATGAGGTAAGGTCAGCGGGGTTACACGGTAACGGTGTTTAGGGGGTGGATGTGCTATGCATGTGCAGCCCACAGTCGGGCTGGCCTTCCGCTGCCTACAGATGAGCATTAATGAGGTAAGGTCAGCGGGGTTACACGGTAACGGTGTTTAGGGGGTGGACGTGCTATGCATGTGCAGCCCACAGCCGGGCTGGCCTTCTGCTGCCTACAGATGAGCACTAACGAAGTGAGTCAGACGGATTGTTACAGGGTAACCTGGAAGCAGGCTTGATGCAGTGTGGTTGGGGTAATAGAGGAACAAGCACGTCCACCCCACAGCTGGGCGGGTTTTCCGCTGCCTGCAGATGAGGCACACTCCCTCGTGCTGCAGCTGGGCGGGCCTTCCGCTCTCCCTCGTGCTGTAGCGCCTCGAGAACACCAGGGAAACCTTCCCCCGTTTGTAAAATGCCCGTTCGCACTCCCTTCCCCCACCCGCCCGCCCCCGCTCTCCCTCATGCTGCAGTGCCTGGTGGAACACCAAGGGAACCTCTTAAGATATTGCCTGACTCCCCTCTTTTTTCTCCCTCCCTCCCCCCACCAGTTGGGCATGTCAGTGGGCTGCAAGGCAGAGGTCGATTTACAGACCTTCCGCCACGCCTCTTACAACGAGCTCCACTCAGTACTAGCAGAGCAGTGCGAGGGGGACGTGGACTCATACTGCAAGGGCGTGGACGAGGGCAAGGAGGCGCACTCCCTCGTGCTGCAGTGCCTGCAGTGTCTTGTGGGCCACCAGGGGAACTTCTCTGGAAGATGCCTGACTGACTCCCCTCTCCTTCCCCGTTCCTCCTTCCACCAGGTGGGCATGTCTGTGGCTTGCAAAGCAGAGGTGGATCTGCAAACCTTCCGCCACGCCTCTTACTACAAGCTCGACTCAGCGCTGGCAGAGCAGTGCGAGGGGGACGTGGACTCGCTCTGCAAGGGCGTGGACGAGGGCAAGGAGGCCCACTCCCTCGTGCTGCAGTGCCTGGTGGGCCACCAGGGGAACCTCTCAGGCAAATGCCTCACTGAGACGGCCTACGCCGTGCGGATGGCCCTTTGGATGTATCACAAAGATGCTGATCTTGTCAAGCCGTGCAATCCTGTGGTGGAGGAGTTGTGTGGGAATCGAACAGGGGTGGTTGCGGGCGAGGGAGCGGGGAAGGCGGCAGCGGCGGCGGTGGGGGTGGTGGGGCAGTGTTTGCTGGAGCAGCCGAGGGAGAAGCTGGGGGAGGAGTGTGGGCGGCTGGTGGGGCTGATTGGGCAGCCGGGCGGGCATGTGGGCGGCGTGATTGACACGAGCCAGCTGGAAGAGACCCTCGCGCGACTGGCACAGGTACAGGTGGGTGCAGAGCGGTGAAAGGGGTTGGGAGAGGGATAAGCTGGGGGAGGAGTGTGGGCGGCTGGTGGGGCTGATTGGGCAGCCGGGCGGGCATGTGGGCGGGGTGATTGACACGAGCCAGCTGGAAGAGACCCTCGCGCGACTGGCACAGGTACAGGTACAGGTGGGTGCAGAGCGGTGGGGAGGGGCGTGGAAAGGCCGAGGTAGGTACAGTTGGGTGCCACGCTAGAGGGAGTTCGATTTCTTTTGGTGGTTACCACTCTCACCGCGGTGCTACTGGGTGATTTGGTCACCCCCCCTCTTCTGCCCAGGTGCCTCAGTCTGTCTTTGATGAGTCCGGATTCGCATGTCATGGATTATCCTGCATTTTCACTTACCCTCTCCCCCACTCCCCCCCGACCCTCTCAACCCCACACACCGCACCCCTTCCCCCTCCTAGTTGAAGCATGAGGTTGACGCAGAGACCGAGGGCGAGGGAGGGGGAGGAGGGAAGCTGGTGTTGACAGGCGCTACAGCCTTTGCGGCCGTTACCGCCCTCACTGCGGTGCTGCTGGGTGCTGCTTACCTGGTGTATCGCAAGTGCTTCGACCCCACCAGGAACTACACTCTCATGGTCAAGGCCGGGGATGTTTGAAATGGTGATGCTTATGAGGACATCTTTGTTGGACAGGTGGTGGTTGGACAGAACTGTACTTTGATTTCGGAATGCATAAGCTGTCTCAGATTGACTGCTGCAGAAGTGTAGCAATTAGAGTGATATGGCGGCTCAAACGTCGTGGAGGGTTTGGGGTGGATAGGAGATGCAAAGGCTTTCAAGCTGCCTCTCTTGCATATGCGTGTGAAGCAGCATGAGCGGCCATGTAGTGTAGTTCCCCTGTTGTAACGCCCTGTAGATTCTTTCTTTAACCCATTTGACCTGGATGCTGTGTAGTAAATAATTTACTGGCTGGTAGCAAAGCATTACTCTGCGCTGACAGCTTATGGCGATGGATCCTTCTCTAGCGGCGAGTGAAATGAGAATCTATCAGGAGGAAGTACCGTAAAAGATTGAGGAGAAGCAATTTGAGAGAGGCAAGCACTTGGTGACTGTCAGACTTGCACTGCTGTCTGCCACAGGGCTGTGTGTGGGCCTGCTGTGTGACAGGCATCAATGTCCTTTTACTGGTACTACCAGTATCAAGTACATAGAGGTGATTTTTGAGGCGCCAAAAAATCACCGCACTACAGAGTAGTGCACACAAGCCTGTGGTAAGCCTGCTGTGTGAGAGACATCATGCCCCCATTTCGGCCCATCTCCCCCCTCTCCCTTTTTCCTTCTGCCAAGGAAAGTCAATGCCCGGAAATGGCTCTTTGAAACAGGGGGAGTCGCACCAGAGAGAATAACGTAGGGAAATCAAACCAGGAAAGCCAAACGAAGAAGAATTGATTAGGGACTCTTGAGTCTGACTTCATAACTACCTGCTTGCCCACCCCCTCAGTCAGCCAGGAAAGAGCCACAATTTCAATACATTACCTCGTTAGACCAGGTGAGTTAAACCAGGGGAAATAATTTGGAAACAAAGCAGGGGAAACAAACCAGGGGGATCAAGCACCAGGAAGACCACGCAGGTATATTAAACAAGAATGTGAAAGGCGATGGAATGGCCCTGTGGATAAGATATCCCATCTGGATAAGATGGGATGGTCATGTGGATAAGATGGGATGGCCATGTGGATAAGATGGGATGGCCATGTGGATAAGATGGGATGGCCATGTGGATAAGATGGGATTGTCATGTGGATAAGATGGGATGGCCATGTGGATAAGATGGGATTGTCATGTGGATAAGATGGGATGGCCATGTGGATAAGATGGGATGGCCATGTGGAAAAGATGGGATTGTCATGTGGATAAGATGGGATGGCCATGTGGATAAGATGGGATGGCCATGTGGATAAGATGGGATGGCCATGTGGATAAGATGGGATGGCCATGTGGAAAAGATGGGATGGTCATGTGGATAAGATGGGATGGCCATGTGGAAAAGATGGGATGGTCATGTGGATAAGATGGGATGGCCATGTGGATGGATGGGATGGGATGGCCTCTGGTCGGTGCTGTTCCGATCAGCAGGAACGGAAGGGGAACGATCGCTCACTTATAGACGCCAGTCACACAAGCGTCCCTCGCGCACGAGCGTTGCTCACTAAAATGCGTTGCAGTCCTCGGAGTGACACGCGGCGCACCCTACGTGCACTTAAATTAGTAATTACAGCCATGCCGAGTAAAGCTGGTGGCTCTAGCAACATGGGAGTCACTGTTTAGCCGGTTGATCGTCGTCATGTTTCGTAAGGCGATAGCCATTTCGTGAGGCGCATCAACATCGGAACCGGTGGAACGACCAGAATCGCATGGTTTGACATTCACTCGATAATTACGCGGTTGTGCCTGCTGGAAAGGCTCGAGCACAATCTGTCGCAAATTTCGTTAATAATCGGTTCTTAGTCGTCGGATATTGATAACCAAGGTGCATAATCGTCCCTTAATAGGGTCTCGCTAGGTGCATAATCTCCTGCGAGAGAAACCACGTCAGAGTGACCAGGAGAAAACGAGAGACACACAGCAAATCGCTGTGCAACTGATTCTGTCGAAAGCGGGTGGAAGGAGGGGTCGCTTGGGTGTCCCGCTTGCACAACCGAGCGCAGTCATCAATACACGATTCAGAATGTGCCACGACAGCAGAGAGCTAGCTTCCATCCCACAAAGCGAACATTTACAGAAGCCGAGGCTGAAATAAACAGTGCAAACTGCAGAGGGTAAATTATCTTTGCGCTTGGGGCAATGACGCAGTTAATGAGGATTATCCGAGACGCGTCTATTGCTGGTTGAAAACTATTTCCAAACCCCCTCAGCGGCCCGGGAGGGCCACTGAGAATTTCTGGAAAGGCTGATTCGCTCGGCCTACAAAAACAAATCGAAACGGGATGGACATGTGAAACCTACCCCTTTAACGCCTGGAAAAAAATAGAGTGAAATGGTTGACAGTCGTCGTGCATGATTTCGCAATTTCACAACCACGCCCCTCTGTAATGGGTGTTGGCTAACAGCTCTAGTTCCCCAAGGCAGACAAGTGAACTGGGGGCATGCTGACAGGTGGACCAGAAACAAAATCTAGCCATACCGAATTCCAAACTCTACAGCTACCATCTATACAGAACCTTGTAGAATACACTTATACTTGGCCACAAACAAAAGTCCTAACTTAGTGAAGCTCGTCCCAATGCGCTGCTCTCAATAATATCATCAGCAGCAGCACCGCCATCATCTCCTGTCAACACCACACCCTCCACCAACTCGTACCCTGATGAAAAGCTCCTGCTAGACGGTGAAAACATCCCCTTGAGTGGCGAACACCCCCTAGATCCGAACCTAGGCGGGGAGGGTTGGCAGGAGCCGGGCCTTGGGGTAGGGGAAGCATGTCGGGAGGTTGGGCGAGAGGAGGGTCGGGAAGAGGGTTTGGGGTAGGTTCGGGAGGAGGTTCGGGGCGAGGTTTGGGAGGAGGAATGAGCGGTTCCCTGTGATGGTAGAAGGATGCTGTCTGGTATGGCAGCAGCTGTGCTTGCTGCTGCTGCCAGTGCTGCTGAAGCTGGTGTTATGGCCGGTACTGGTAACGATGGTGATGGTGATGCAGCTGCTGCTGCAGCTGCTGATGCTAATCTCGCTCTAGCTGCTGCTGCTGTTGCTTCCGCTGCTGCTGGTGCCATTGCTGCTGCTGCCTCCGTCATTGCGGGAGCACCCATAGCAGCAGCAGAACTATCTAAACCAGCCGAAGGGGAAGACTCCTCATCCTCCTTGTTCCCATCATTCCCATTTTTCTCACCATTCCCATCAGTCCCATCATTCTCACCACTCTTTTCACCCCGACCTCCTCCCACGTCCTCCCCACTTCTTCCACCCTCCTCTCCATCCCCCGCACCCTTCATACCCTCCCCATCCCTCACACCCTCCCCATCCCTCACGCCCTCCCCATCCCTCACACCCTCCCCATCCCTCACGCCCTCCCCATCCCTCACACCCTCCCCAGCTTCAACCTTCGCACCCCCCCCATCACCCCCACCCTCCCCTCCTTCCCCATTTCCCACCACCTCCTCCCCCTCCCCATGCAGGTGATATTGGGCCAGCAGGGCGGCATATGCTGCTTCAAAGGCTGATGAGGAGCTACCCACGTCGTCCCTCACTATTGCATCCCTGCGAATAGACCCACTGCCGGCTGTCCCACCACCAACAGCAGCAGCACTACCAGCAACAGCAGCAGCCGCAGTAGTAACTGCAGCGTTACCAGCAACAGCAGCAGCAGCAGCAGCAGCAGCAGCAGCAGCAGCAGCAGCAGCAGCAGCAGCAGCACCAACAGCAGCAGTACTGGCAGTGGTCCTGATAGTGTCTGTGGTGGTAACCGGTGTAACAGTAGCAGAGGCAGCACCAGCCCCTAAGGCAGCAACACCGGTAGCACCAGAAACACAACCAGGGGTTTGACTGGCGCTTCTGCTTGGAAGTCGATTTGGGAAGGCGGGATAGGGCTGCAGAGAATTTCCTGGAAGTTGCGCAGAATCCCGATGTCGTACGGGTTGTTCTTCCTCTTGTAGCGCATGCGGAAATTCTCGTACGTGGTCTGGAGGGAGGGAGGGGGTGGGGAGGGAGGGAGGGGGTCGGAGGGAAGGGGTTAACCCGAGGTGATGTTTAGAGGGGGTGTGCGGAATCCCGCGGTCGTACGGGTTCTTCTTCCGCTTGTAGCGCATGCGGAAGTTCTCGTACGTGGTCTGGTGGAAGGGAGGAAAAGGGGGAAGGGATAAACACAAGGTGATGTGTGGATGGAGGGAGGATTCCCATAAGTCCTCCTCTTGTAGCGCATGCGGAAATTCTCGTACGCGGTCTGGTGGAAGGGAGGAAAAGGGGGAAGGGATAAACACAAGGTGATGTGTGGATGGAGGGAGGATTCCCATAAGTCCTCCTCTTGTAACGCATGCGGAAATTCTCGTACGTGGTCTGGGTTTGGCGGGTGGTTGGTGAGTCATGCGGTTTGTCAAAGATATTCCGCTTGAAGCGCATGCGGAGGATCTCATACGTGGTCTGATGGGAGGGGGTGGAGGGAGGGAGTAGAGAGAAGCAGTGGTTGGTGAGCAACGCAATTTCTCAATGGAACGGTGGAAGGGTGGAAAATGGAGGGAAACACAGAAACGTGTAGACCCCACTGGATAACCACCGGTTGTATGAAGAAATGTTTTGAGAAACACAGAAACGCGTTCACTTCTTCAAACACAGAAACGTGTTCACCACCACTGAATCACCACCAGACACCGCCACTGAATCACCACCAGACAACGCCACTGAATCACCACCAGACACCGCCACTGAATCACCACCAGACACTGCCACTGAATCACCACCAGACACCGCCACTGAATCACCACCAGACACCGCCACTGAATCACCACCAGACACCGCCACTGAATCACCACCAGACACCGCCACTGAATCACCACCAGACACCGCCACTGAATCACCACCAGACACCGCCACTGAATCACCACCAGACACCGCCACTGAATCACCACCAGACACCGCCACTGAATCACCACCAGACACCGCCACTGAATCACCACCAGACACCGCCACTGAATCACCACCAGACACCGCCACTGGCGCCACTGCCACTGCAACCAAGTCTCTCAAGACTCACCTGATTGGTCGCCATAAGAAACGTGTGGAACACCATAAGCCCGCCCACAAACCACACGACTATGAACGTATGCGCCATGAGAGTCGAATCACTGCAGCCGGCGCCTTCCCCATGGCCTCCCACAGCGTTCTGGGCTGCCCTCCTGGCTCGTAAGAGTGTCTTTTGAGTCGACTCAAAAGTCACCTCGTTACAATGGCACACGACACGACACTTTCTTCCCCACGGCCTCCCACAGCGTTCCGTGCTGCCCTCCCGGCTCGTAAGAGTGACTTTTGAGTCGACTCAAAAGTCACCTCGTTACAATGGCACACGACACGACACTTTCTTCCCCATGGCCTCCCACAGCGTTTCGTGCTGCCCTCCCGGCTCGTAAGAGTGACTTTTGAGTCGACTCAGAAGTCACCTCGTTACAATGGCACACGACACGACACTTTCTTCCCCATGGCCTCCCACAGCGTTCCGTGCTGCCCTCCCGGCTCGTAAGAGTGACTTTTGAGTCGACTCAAAAGTCACCTCGTTACAATGGCACACGACACGACACTTTCTTCCCCATGGCCTCCCACAGCGTTCCGTGCTGCCCTCCCGGCTCGTAAGAGTGACTTTTGAGTCGACTCAAAAGTCACCTCGCTACAATGGCACACGACACGACACTTTCTTCCCCATGGCCTCCCACAGCGTTCCGTGCTGCCCTCCCGGCTCGTAAGAGTGACTTTTGAGTCGACTCAAAAGTCACCTCGTTACAATGGCACACGACACGACACTTTCTTCCGTGCTGCCCTCCCGGCTAATAAGAGTCACTCAATGTTCACCTGATTAGTCGCCATTAGGAAGGTGTGGAATGCGGTAAGGCCTCCAACAAACCACACCACTATGAAGGTGTATGCCATCAGAATCACTGCAACTGGCGCCTTCCCCATGGCCTCCCACAGGGTCCTCGGCTGGCCTCCCGGCTCGTAGGCGTTATTCATGATGAGGGCGAGGAGGAGCGCGCTGATGGCGAATACGAACAGGCAGAGGAGCGTTGTGGTGGTGGTGAACATGTAAAAGAACCGGTAGTTGCGCTGGAGGGAGGGGGAAGGGAGGGGGAAGGGATCGGGAAGGGGGTGGCGTAGGGCGGGAGGGCGGAGAGCGGAAACGGGGAAGGAGGGAGAGAGGAGTGGGGAAACCGGGGAATAAGGAAGGGACGGCTTTTGAGGCGCCTCAAAAGGGAGAGAGGAGGGGGGGAACGGGGCAATAAGGGGAAACGGACTGTGATGGAGTAGAGGGCCTTTGTCATGGCATCCAACAGCGTCCTAAAGTAGAGAGTGAATTTTTGAGACGTCTCAAAAATTCACTCAATACAAACGGCCTGTGATGGAGTAGAGGGGGCCTTTCTCATGGCATCCAACAGCGTCCTAAAGTGCCCTCCTCGCCCTCTCCTTGCCTGTGCACCGCCCCCACCCCACCCCCACCTTGCCTGTGCACCGCCCCCACCCCCGCCTTGCCTGTGCGTCGCCCCCACCCCACCCCCACCTTGCCTGTGCACCGCCCCCACCCCACCCACGCCTTGCCTGCATACTCCCCCTCTCCTCACCTTGCCTATGCACTGCCCCACCCACGGGCAGCGGTGGTCGAATCGCTCCACACAGTTGTTGCTGTCGATTTTTTCTTAACGCCTCAAAAACAACCTCAGCACCTACCCTGTACACTGCTCTTTTCTCACCTTCCCTCCCACTGCCCCTCTTCACCTTCCCTCCCACTGCCCCTCTCTCTCTCCCCCTCACCTTGCCTATGCACTGCCCCACCCACGGGCAGTGGTGGTCGAATCGCTCCACACAGTTGTTGCTGTCGATTTTTTCTTAACGCCTCAAAAACAACCTCAGCACCTACCCTGTACACTGCTCTTTTCTGACCTTCCCTCCCACTGCCCCTCTTCACCTTCCCTCCCACTGCCCCTTTTCTCACCTTCCCTCCCACTGCCCCTCTCTCTCTCCCCCTCACCTTGCCTATGCACTGCCCCACCCACGGGCAGTGGTGGTCGAATCGCTCCACACAGTTGTTGCACACACTGCAGTGGGAGCAGCGGGGGGGTCTGCAGGGAGAAAAAAGGGAGGGGGGGGGGGGGGGGGGGGGGGGGGGGGGGGGGGGGGGGGGGGTATGGAAAAAAGAGGGGGGGGTATGAAAAAAAGAGGGCGGGTGGTGAAGCAGACAGACGTCACAAATCTAGAAGCAATCCTGTCTAGAAGCTGTTGCACACGCTGCAGTACGAGCAGGGGGGGGAGGGGGTGGTTCTAGCACACACCACCCTGTCTGTCCAACCCACACACACCCACCTGTATTGCAGGCATGTGTTGTTTGAGTCGACTCAAAAGCCCGCATGTGTTGCAGTATTTAACCTTCACCCGGAACCCATTGATCTCCTCTCCACATCTTTAGTTCTTGGCAGGCTGAACCTTCCCCCCATAGCACCGCACACCACACCTTCCCATCCAGTCCTGCCTGCCTACCACAACACCCCTCGTCCCTCCCACCCGTGCAACCCCCCAAGCACCTGTACAGCAGGCACGTGTCACAGTATTTAACCTTCACCCTGAACCCATTAATCTCCATACCCTTGGTTCTGGACAGGCTGAACCTTTCCCCTCACGCCCCCGCAACACAACCCCCAACTGCAAACCTTTCCACGCCACCCCACAGCTTTCCACGCCACCCCACAGCTTTCCACGCCTTTCATCTGCACACGCCCAGCATCCCACGCACCTGTACAGCAGGCACGTGTCACAGTATTTACCATGGAGAATTCTCAAAAGTGATTCCCAAACAGCATCCCACGCACCTGTACAGCAGGCACGTGTCACAGTATTTACCATGGAGAATTCTAAAAAGTGATTCCCAAACAGCATCCCACGCACCTGTACAGTAGGCATGTGTCGCAGTATTTAACCTTCACCCTGAACCCATTAATCTCCACGTCTTTAGTTCTCGGTAAGCTTAACCTTCCCCCCGTGGCAAGCCCGCCGCCCTCCAGGCGCATGGCTTCTAGCATGTCCGGATCAGGGTCTGGCGGGACGAGGTTGCGAGGGACAATACCGGGATCCCTACATGCCGTGAAGACGAGAATGAAGAGGTTCTGAAGGGGGAAACACAGGGGTGCAGAGGGGTGCATGTCAGGATCAGGGAGGGGGGGGGACGAGGTTGCGCGGGACAATACCGGGATCCCTACATGCCGTGAAGACGAGAATGAACAAGTTCTGGAATGGGGAGGGACAGGGGGGAGGGAGGGATGCAGAAGAAACTGAGTGTGGTAAGGCTAGCCCTGACTGTTCCCAACACACCCTTCGCCTCCACAACACCACCGCCCTCCCTCTCCCGCCCTCCAGGCGCATGGCGTCTAGCATGTCTGGATCGGGGTCTGGCGGGACGAGGTTGCGCGGGACAATGCCGGGATCCCTACATGCCGTGAAGACGAGAATGAAGAGGTTCTGAAGGGGGAAACACAGGGGTGCAGAGGGGTGCATGTCAGGATCAGGAAGGGGGGGGGACGAGGTTGCGCGGGACAATACCGGGGTCTCTACATGCCGTGAAGACGAGAATGAACAAGTTCTGGAATGGGGAGGGACAGGGGGGAGGGAGGGATGCAGAAGAAACTGAGTGTGGTAAGGCTAGCCCTGACTGTTCCCAACACACCCTTCGCCTCAACAAACACCACCGCCCTCCCTCTCCCGCCCTCCAGGCGCATGGCGTCTAGCATGTCTGGATCGGGGTCTGGCGGGACGAGGTTGCGAGGGACGATGCCCGGATCCCTGCACGCTGTGAACACGAGGATGAGCTGAGCAGGTTCTGGAGGGAGGTACAAAGGGGTGCAGAGGGGTGTAAAGGGATGCAAAGGAAACTTGAACCTGGGAATGCTGCAATTCTCTGTCACCCCCTCTCCCCCTCCCCCCTGCAGGCGCATGCTCTCTAGCATGTCAGGATCTGGGTCAGGGGGGACGAGGTTGCGAGGGACTATGCCCGGATCCCTGCACGCTGTGAAGACCAGGATGAACAGGTTCTGAAAGGGGGAAACACAGGGGTGCATGTTGGGGTCGGGGTCAGGCGGGACAAGGTTGCGCGGGACGATGCCCGGGTCCCTGCACGCTGTGTGAACACGAGAATGAACAGGTTCTGGAGGGACGGGTAGGAGGGAGAAAGAAGGTGTACAAAGGGATGCAGAGGGGTGCAAAGGGAACTTGAACCTGGGGGGGAGCTCTACACGCTGTGAACACGAGGATGACAGGGTTCGGAAAGGGGAGATGGGGAGAGGGGGAAGGGAGGGAGGGTTGAGGAAAGGGTCAAGGACAGTGCATGTCCGGATCAGGGTCACAAGGAACGAGGTTATGAGGCATGATGTTTGGGTCCCTGCATGCTGTGAAGACGAGGATGAACAGGTTCTGCATGGGGTAGAAAGGGTCAAGGAGGGTGCGACTCCCCCATGCAACTCCCCCATGCAACTCCCTCCCCCATGCGACTCCCTCCCCCACGCGACTCCCTCCCCTATGCGACTCTCTCCCCCATGCGGCAAAACGCACCCATGCAATGTAACAGATGGTGACAGGAAGCACGACGATGCCTCCGGGAATCTTCCCAGTGAGCTGCACGGCGACGAAGACGCAGAAGAGCATCCCCGGTATAAGGATGAGCCATGCGATGCGACCCACCCGTGCGACCCATCCATGAGACTCCACCAAAACCACCCACCCATGCGACTCTCGCATGTGACTCAAACCACCCACCCATGCGACTCTCGCATGTGACTCAACCCGCCCTCTTATGCGACTCTCACATGCGACTCAACCCACCCACCCATGCGACTCTCGCATGTGACTCAGCCCACCCACTTATGCGACTCTCGCATGTGACTCAACCCACCCACCCACCCATGCGAGTCAACCCACCCACCCATGCGAGTCAACCCACCCACCCATGCGAGTCAACCCACCCACCCATGCGAGTCAACCCACCCGCCCATGCGAGTCAACCCACCCACCCATGCGATGTAGCAGATAGCAACTGGAAGCACGACGATGCCTCCGGGAATCTTCCCAGGAAGCTGCGCGGCGACGAAGACGCAGAAGAGTATCCCCGGTATAAGGATGAGCAGGAACGAGAGTACCAGCGAGCGGAAATCGGGACCCAATATGTACCGGCCGTAGCAGAGAAACACCTGAGGGGAGTGGAGGGGGGAGGAGCGGAGGGGAGGGGGAGCGGCGAGGGGGTTGGCGGGGAAGGGGGTGTATAAGGATGAGCAGGGACGAGAGCACCAGCGAGCGGAAATCGGGACCGAATATGTACCGGCCGAATATGTGTAGCAGAGAAACACCTGGAAGGGGGGGTTGTGGGGGGTGTGCGGGGAAGGGGGAGAGTGGGGGAGAGGGGGGGTGGGAAGGGGAGAGCGGGGGAGGGGGGGGGGTAAGGTAAGAGGGGAGTACGAGAGAAGATTGTGGAAGGCGGGTAGGGAAAGAGAGGGGGGAAGCGGGGGAGAGGGAATGAAGGGGAAGCTGCAAGGTGATTTACAGTAACGAGACGAGGAAGCTGCGAGGTGATTTACAGTAACGAGATGAGGAAGCCGGAAGGTGATTTTAGAGTTAGAAGTAATCTTATCGCGCTCAAATGCGACGAAATGCGACGAGAACCACGAAGTGCGTGATAGTTAGAATCCTCAGAATACGCCTACAATGAAATGCGACTCGGACTCACGTTGTCGCCCTTCCAGGCTTGGTACACCTTCGCCATGCCTGTCCGTCAGATGTCTCTTCTGTCTCTCAATCGTACGGCTACAGGTTGACGAAGAAACGTCGCGAGGAAATTTGACAACTCGTGGGTCAACGCCATCCTCGCTTTAAATTACAGGGAGTTGTCGCAGGCTCATTGCACACATGTGATTAAAGTAGAAGAAAGCATGTATATGCGTTCACATAGATAAGCTGATAAGCTTAAATTACTGAGGAAACTTGGTTCAGTGGCACCGTAACAATTACTGAGCAACAGTAACAATTCAGGGCACACACGGTTTGGCCAGGCGACGGTGCTTCTGTGGCGGACCACGGGAATGACCTACAGGCGACTCCTACACACAATAAGTAGTACTCAGTTGTAATCCAGCGAAGAAGCCATGCTCACATGGAACAGACTGGGTCTCTTGTCACTGGTTTCACCCGGAATAGGGACCACCAGCTAAGTACCACAATACTAGTAGCAGCAGTAATGGCCAGTCCCATCGACAATTATGACTCAACCAATCCCTGAGGACTGACCGCTAACTACTTCTAGGATGGTTCCTCAAGTTGACGTGGCCCTATGATAGGGTGCCGTGCTGTACGAGTGTATTTAGACTTCGCTCGCCGTAAAGATTGATGAGAGGGGAACAATCGTGCGGTCAGAATGTCGTCGTTAGAGTCGGTGGAATTTTCGCGATTGACGGGTTACGGAGATTCGTGGTGTGATGCACAAATGCTGTGTATCCTCGTCATGGTTGAATGCTGCCGAACGGAATCTCCAATAATAACATTACATATATACTGAGAGTTGTTTTAGAGCTTATGTTCCTCTTACACTGCTGTTGTTCCGTTTTTGAAAAGTATCACTCGTATATTTTCTATTTTGAAATCAGCACAAATTTGTAATGAAGTTGTTATTTTAACCCATCTGGTAAACAAATAACGGGGGCAGCTTCTCAGTCGACGGACGCTGTACACGTGACTTGACTGGCTGCCAAGCTGATGGTGTTGACGTGGTTTTGCAGTTGAAACAGCGCTTTTGGTTTTCTGTTGGGAAATCAGGAATATGTTTCCGTCTGCCCGAGTCTGGTTTGCTTCACAAGAAACCGTTGTAGTGCGCAAGAACGCCTGCCAGGGAGGGACACTTCAAAGGTTCTGTAGGTTTTTTTTTCAACACGATACTTTTACTGCACATATCAAAATCCTGAATTCCTTTAGTGCGTTTAGGCTCATTAGATCTCGGTTCTAAAGTCTGGACACCATCTGAAGTGTGGACACTTTGGTAGCAATGAACACGTCTGATTGGCTGCCATGCTCCAAGATTTCTCGCAACTTGTGTAATGACCTATGATCGGGTGTGTTTACACGTCACTGAGGGAAAATTTTGGTTGATGGTGTCGTGACCTTCGCCAGAACGATGCCGAAAGCCTCATCGGAACTCGGTCGTCGGACCCGTTTTGCCAGTGTCGACGGGAGGGGTCGTCGGAGGAGGGCCTGACGAGGCGGGCGACTGACGCGCGTGCGGGCCCGCCAGCCTGGCCCAGGGCTGGGCCGAGCGCACGACCGCCGCCCTCCGAAATTGAACAGCGACCCACGTTACCGGGTGGGGTCGGCGAACTGGCGACCCCTCGCGCGAGGGAAAGTTACCCTCGCGCGAAGGCAGCCCACACGTGCTGCCTGCCCGCGAGGTCCTAGTAACCCATCGCGGCCTGCCCGGACGGGCAGGCGAGGGCCGTGCGAAAATACGGGCCCCCCTCGGGACACTCGACAATTTCGCGATTCGCAGCGGTGGCGCCACGTGTTCGCCCGTGGCTTCGCATCGGGCGCATGCGAAATTTTTGTCGAGGCGGAAATAAATTCTCTCCCATCGCATGCATTCTATCGTCGCGAACCGCTACGAAATCGACACGTGTCGATTGTAGCGTCGCTCCGCGCGCAGGAGGATTCGTGCGTCCCCTCGCCGACCTGGGCCAATGGACGCGAAGTCGACGCTCTACCAAGGCGGAGACGGACCACCTGTGCCACTTGCGCATCCGCCCTCCGAGCACTGCCGAGCCAGGCCCTGCACCTTTGGGCGATGCTGAACGGGCCTGGGGGGGGGGCACCACCTCCTTTTCTCTGTGGAAGGTGGCCTCGCTCCGCATTTTCGGCATCTCTTTCGGATTTTCAAATTTTGACAGCTCTGCGCCTCCCCTCTCTCCTACCAGAGCCGTCCGCCTCTTTTCTTAGTCGACAGATATGGAGCCGATCTCCGCCGCCGATAAGTCGGCGCCGACATCGGCCGACTTTCCCCTTCGGGTGCAAATGGGTCGCGGTCTCAGCTTCACCTTAGAGTGGAACGACTACGCCGTCCTTCGCGACCAAAAGAAAGAGTTCACCGAGAGATGCTTTGGACTCGCCATCAGGTGGGACGCGGGTAGTCGCGGTAGTCGAATAGGGAAGATGTCGGTGCCGACCAACCCTAGTAGGGCGCACTGTCGCCGATTGTCTTCCGACGTACGTCGGCGGGCGCGTTTGACGAAGCACGTCGACATGGCAGCGTTTGCTTACCAGCCATGTTCTCATCCCTCGTGCTCACTCGTGCGCTCAGGTTCGCTTGGTTTGACATTGGGCGGGACGACCTGCGGTTGTGGGTGCTGGGGATCGGCCCGCTTCGATCGGCCATGAAAGCCGCCGACCATTCTTGCTTTGCTAAGGCTTTCGACGCCGACATCGCCGCTATCCCGCTGAAATCGACGTGAGCTGTTACCCCGTTGTCCAGTCATCGTTTTTCAGTGTCGGCCGCATCAACGCCTTATGCTGTGGTCGACGCCGTCGTTTATTGCGTGTGCAGCGGCGGCCCGCTTCCAGGGTCACACTGCAGCGTCATAGCCATCCTCTACCCAGGAGATGTGCTGAAGGCTGAGGGACAGGTCTGCAGGACATCGATCCGGCACATCGACCCGCACACCGGAAAGGGGAAGCACCGCGACGAGGCCGTCCGCGTCCTGAAGTAAGTTGTGAATAGTCGTCGCTGTCGAGTTTGTTAGTCGCCGACACAGGGAATCTCATGCTGACCTCCTCTCCACTACGTTGCTCCAGGCTATTCCGCACGGCTGCCCTGGCCGAGCTGGGGCGTCCCGGTAGGAAGTGGGACGGGGCGCCTCCATCACAAGCAGTGGTGGAGGAAAGGCTTGCCGACTGCGACGACCCTATCCGCGACGTGAGTTGCACGTTTAGGCTCCGCTACGGTCTGCGCGTATCTGTATGCACCGCTCATATTGTGCCGCGCTTGCCTGTGCTGTATGCAGAAAGTGCCGGGCACAGTGTCGGACGGGCATGTCGGCACCGGCATGCTTGCCGCGACGTCGTTCGGGTGGGTGGCCAAGCAGATCGGCCTGCTGACGGGCGACAAGGCTCGGAGCGCTGTGAGCATCGAGAACATCAAGGTCGCGGGTTTGAGGTCGCTCCGTGATAGCATGGTCGATTACATCTGCCATCGTGTCGCCGAAAACCGGATAGCGGCGCCGACTTCAGGCGCCGACGGACCCGCCGAGGGTGCGATTGATGACGACGGCGCGGAAAGTCAGACGGCGCCCCAAGCAGCAGCTGCCGCCCAGCGCCAGGAGGACTTGCCGGTGTCCGCGGAAGGAGGAACCGGTGGAGGACTAGGCGACGATGCGGCAGGCGCAGGGAGGAAGGAAGAGGAGTTGACGGACTCTGGCTCAGAGTCGGAGTCGGAGGGGGAGGAGGAGGACGAAGGGGAGAAGGAGAATGAGGACGAGGAGGATGACGAGGGCAAGGACGAGAACGATGAGGTGGTGGAGGTGGTGGCCGGGAAGGATGAGGCGGCGCACGAGGAAGGGGTGGAGGAGGAGGTGGAGTACGAGCTGGAGTACGCAGACGGCACGGTTGAGGCGGTGGGGTCGGCGGACGAGAAGAACGAGGAAGCGGAGGATGGCGATGCGGGTAATGCTACGGGGTCGGCAGGTGAGGGGAAGGAAAAGGATGAGGTCGGCGTGGAGGCAACGACGGAAACGGGCCAGGAGGAGGCGGCATGCGAAGGTGCGAAGGTGTCGGTCGACGCCGGCGAAGGTGCGAACATCGCGGGCGTGCAGGAGACGGGGGACGCATCTGGTCGGCAGGGCCCTGCAACGGACGACGTCGAGGAGCTGCGACGGGAGAACTTGCTGTTGAGGGCGGAGAACGCTCGGCTGCAGGGTTTGCTCGATGCGGAACGGGCTCGGCTGGACGCGTTTTTTGTTGGGCTACGTGGACTCGTCGACCACCTGAAGGAGTTGGCCGAGCAGGTCGACGACACCGAGAAGTATGCGGCGGAACAGCTGCGAAACGCGGCGGAGGCCATGTCGCAGACCATCACGGGCAACATCACCGGCAGCTTCGACGAGGCGTGGAAGACGATGAAGACCTTCGCGGAACAGGCGTCGGCGTGGCTGGAGGACTTCGACAACCCGGAGGGAAATGTGGCGTATCAACGCGCCTTAGCGGTCACCACCTTGGCCGACCACGTCGACAAGGTGGTGGGCGATGCGCAGGAGGATTTGCGGGAGCACATCACGAGCCAGTTGTCCGCCGCAGCTGTCAACATCGCCACAGCTGTGACCGGCAGGCTCCCCGTGCAGCCGCCGCCACCGCCTCAGCCCACGCCGCCCGCCCTCCCGGAAGAGCTCTTGAAGTCGTTCAAGGCCGACATCATGAAGACGGTGACGGAGGCCACCGAGCAGTCGTTCGTTGCGTCCGGGATGAAGATGTTGACCGAGATGATCGGCACGGTGGCGCCTGGTCGACGTGGGTCGTCGCCTTCGGCCAATGACGCCGACGCCGCGCAACAGAGGGCGGCCGACAAGCAAGGCCTGAAGAGGTCGGGCGACGGTGACGACAAGGAGAGCTCGAAGCGGAGCAAGGGATCGGACGGGAGCCGCGTCACGAAGCCTCCTGCGCGGAGCGTGGTCGACATGCTGAAGGCGAAGGGGTGGAAGGTGAGGGGAGGGTCGACCAGCAAGGGAAGCGGAAGCGGGGGATCGCGGCTAACGTCGATGCACCGCCTGGCCCGCCTTTGGACGCCGAGCAGACCCATCCTCAGGCGAGCGGTGGGAAGGACGCGGCCCCCACTGCCCAGGCGGCGAAAGTCGGAGGCGCCGGAACCACCCAGGGGCCGTCTGACGCGGTGCCGGCCAAGGGCAAGGCGATGTCTGCGTCTGCTACGGTCGCCGGAACCGGCACGGCGAAGGCTGCCTCTGCTTCAGTCCCCGGAACCGGCAAGTCGAAGGCTGCTTCTGCTACGGTCGCCGGAACCACCAAGTCGAAGGCTGCTTCTGGTACGGTCGCCGGAACCACCAAGTCGACACCATGTAACCCGCCTGCGGCAACCACCGGGCCCGCCGGCCAGTCAGGTGCGGGGAAGCATGGGGAGGCCCGTGCGGCCCCTCCAGCTCCAGCAGCCCCTACTGCCGCCAAGGTCGACGCGAAGGCTGCTTCGGCACAGGGGCCACCCGGGAGTAACGCGCTTAGGGTGTTGCTCCACCGCATGGAGTCCCACCGCCCGGGCGCGCAGCAGCATCCTGTGGTCGACGCCGGCCTCGCAGAAATAGCACGTCGCTCCGTCACTCCGCACGTTGCCGGCAAACCGTCCGATGCCCAATCTGCCGCGCGGCCGGTCGCCGCCCCACCGCCTGCGGACCCCAAGTCCGCGTTTCTTCGCGCCCATATAGGCGCACGCAAAGCGGCAGCTCCACCAGTCACTCAGCCGGAACCCGGCACAAGCGCGACGCCGACGGCTGTAAATGCGACCGCACCCTCCCCAGGAGCAGCTGTGGTCGATCTGGCGGCGGAGAGGGGAGTCAGTGCAGCGCTAGCCACCGGCGGCCGCGCCGACAGGCATGCCGCCCTCGAATCCGTCCTGGCCCAGTTTGAGGCAGCAAAACGGCCCGAGCATGCCCCGGCACTGGCCATCGTGGACACGGCGCATGCGGAGCCGTCGGCGACCAACACAGGGGGTTCGGCGGAGCCGACGGCCGCAACGGGTGTTGTCGCCGAGGGAAATGCGGGACGGAAGGGTAAGGACGACACCGGGAAAGGGAAGGCGGTGTCGGCGGGGAAGGAGATGGCGGAAGACAAAGGGAAGAAGCCGGCACGGAAGACGGGCGGCAAGGGTAAGTCGGCAAAGAAGAAGGAGGAGGAGGAGAAGGAGGAGGAGGAGGAGGAGGAGGAGGAGGTGGGGGAGGGGGAAGAGCATGGACGCCGGGGTCATGGCATCCGCCGAGACAGGTCTGGCGACGGGCAGGGGTGGGTGGGCGAGATGAAGTTCAAGAACCAGAATCGGTACATCGGCAAGTCCCGCGACAAGATGGAGCTGGCCTACGAGCACGCGATTGCGTACTTCGTCTACGACGGCTACGTGAGCAAGGTGCTCATGAAGGAGCTCACCGCCTTGAAGCCGGGAGAGTTGGATGAATGGAAGGCGGTGTGGGAGGAGGTCAAAATCCTGCCGACCGGGATGTGGACGGTGATGTGGGCCAGAGGCTTGTGCCATCCGAGAGCAAGGTAAGTCGGTTACCGACATGCCGTGTTTTGACGACCAAGTCGGTGTCATTAATTCTATGTGTACGTGTTCGCTCGGCAGGTTCGACGACATACTCGGCAGGTTCCGTGGGTACGCAGGTTCGGGTGATGCGCTTCATGGCGTGCTCTGGCCGGCGATGTGGTTCCCCATCATCGAGGACACGGAGGAAGGCAGGGCGGAGACAAATGCCAACATGTCGGCGATGGTGAATCGCGTGTCGATGTGCGCGGCGTATGGAAAGGTCGCGGCGAGAGTCGCGTATGGGAAGGTCGACGGGAGCGCGGAGGCGACCGCGGGAGAGACGACGGATATGGAAGGCGCGGACAGGAAGGCGGACGAGAAGGTGCAGATGGGGGCCCAGGCGTTAGCGGCCTCTGCATGCGCCCTCTGGTGCTACATGTCGACGCCGGCGTCGGTGCTCGGTGCTGTGGGCGAAGGTAAGGCGGCCGCGATTCTGGCAGGTGCGGGGAAGGAGAGGGGCGAGCACTTCGCGATGGTCATGCACGTGGTTATCGAACACGCACGCACTCGGCAGGCTCCCGCGGGGGAGGTTGCACATAACGTCGCGCCAGAGCTGCAGCGCTATGGAGTGGCCAGGGCCTTCGAGGCGGGCATTGAGGAAGACGAGGCCGACATGATCGCAAGAGCGACGGTCGAGACCTTGGCGTTCTGGGGAATGTGCCCCCTCGACGGGCCCAAGCTCAAAGCGGAGGGCATCGATGTGCCGTGTGACGCGAAGATGGAGTACGACTTGGATCACAGGGGGAGGAAGGGGGAGAAGGTCAAGCAGGCCAAGGGCAGCAAGAGGAAGAGGTAGTACGGATGCGTAGTCGGCGGAATGATGTTTGCTAGGTTGCTAGGGTGTGTACTATATTGGTATGGACGGCGCCGATTTTGGCGTAGATTTGTTAAATGTGGCCTTTTTTTGTTCAAGTGCTGTTCGTTTCAATATTGGGCTAACAACTCTGTGTCCCTGTATAACCATGCTAGCCGAATATCACCCGATGAGCCAAGTCGGCGCATATGTCGACATGATATGCACATGATACGTCGGCGATAAGCAGTGCAGAAACATGGTTGTCGGCATGACGTCGACAGTGATTTTTAGCCACACCTACTGTACTGGGCGACAAACAACCAACATCGGCAACATCGGTTCGCATGGACATTGATGTGGGATGTTTACAAACTACCAGAAACATCAGTCGGATGGGGCGGGGGGGGGGGGGGGGGGGGGGGGCTGTTGAAGTCTGCCAAAATCTACGCAGACGCATATCCCATGAGGGACTTCATGCCGTCTTCTTGCGCTTGGTCGGAGGACGCTGCACGGGTGCGGTCGGCTTGGCCGGTGCTGTCGACTTGGCAGGTGCGGTCGGCTTCGCCAGGTCGGCCTTGGTCTTCGGCATCTGCTCCTCCCAGGTGTCTGGAAAGAGGGCTTCGAGCCATTCGGCCGGCTTCAGATTGAGCGCGACAAGCCCACAGGCGAGGCGAAGCTTAGAGACGACCTTGGGGCCCAGCCCCTTGACTCCCATGCCAGGCTCTTTCGACTTCATCGGTTCCGTTTTCGGGTTGAGCACCGTGAGGGCGTCACAGAAGGTCCCAATGCCCGGTGCCGCGATCCTGTTCAGTGCGTCGACCACGGCCTCGGTGTCGGCGTCGCCGTCGCTCGCGCGTAGCTGGCGCACCGCATCCATGGCCCTCATCATGCGTCGCACTTTCGTGTCGAGCCCACCCTGCGTCGCGCCCTTTCCTGTGAGGAGGGTGTGGCGGGCGACGAATCCCTTCTCGGCGACCCTGTCGCAAAGGCGACGGGTGTCATTGGCGGTGGCGGAATTCCATAGGCGCCAAGCGTCCCTCACAGTCTTTGCCTCCCGCCACGGTTGCACCACGTTGAGCTCGTAACTGGCCTCCTCGTCCGTCTGTGGGGGGGGCGGGGGTTTGTCATCCCCTTTCTTGGCTCCAGCCCCCGTGCTGGCCGACTCCGCCGATCCACCATCGCTGGGAGTCTGCGCGGGAGCCGACGGCGGGGCCACCGGCACTCTCCGTGCTTCCGACAAGCGGAGTGCCTCGGTGACACGGGCTAGCTCGGCGGTGAGCCCAGCGATGGTGTCGTCGCGCTTCTCGATCTCCTCTAGGAGATCAATCTTCTCGTTCGCGGCGCGCTCTTTCTCCTTCTGCATCTGGGCCATGAGGGACATGTTGTAGTACTCGGTGTCCATGCGCACCGAGATTTCCTGCAGCAGTAGGAGGAGAAAAACGTGAGGGCCGCGGTGGTTTGGTTTACACTCCCTACTGCACGTCGGCGACAGTATCGTCGACTTACCTCTGGCTGTATTTGGGTCGGGTCGCGACGCTTGTTGATCGTCTCGGTGTCGACGCTCTCCACCCGTTTCGCCCAGTGCTGGAAGAGGGGGATCCGGCAGAGCTTGGAACCTTGGACGTACGGGTGCCATGGTGTGCGGACTAGCTTCACCGCTAGGTCCTCGGCGACGATGCGGCGCAGCATCAGGAGAGTGCGCCAGAAGTGCACCGCGGCTTTGTCGGCGTCTGACCCCTCGACAGCCTTCCCTTCCGCCTGCCATTTGTCACGGGTACGGGGAGCTCAGAAAAGGTCGGCAACACGACTCGGCGGCAAGCTACGAGGGCGTCGACTAACATACCTCCTTCAGCATGTCGTCGACGCCGGGGAATATGTGCTCGGCGAGGAGCTTCAGGAGCTTCTCGGAGGGCGGCACCCTGCTCCGACCCAAGAAGTAGTCCTGCTTGTACCCCGAGTACCCGGCCTTCTTCATCACCACCCCCACCGGAATGGCGGTGATGTACGCTCGCGTCATCTTGTCGAGAGCCCAGTGTCCAAGCTCCGCGATCTCGGCGCGCGGCGTGCCGTCGATAGCCAGCTCCTGGGCCCCGCCCGCTCGAGCGGCGTGCACGTTCCTCTTGCAGATACCTTGTTGGTGTCCCACAACTACCGCGTCCAGCGTTGGTGGGTTGCCGCAGAGAGCTCACCCTGGTCGGTGTCGTTTTTGGCGAAGAACAGGTGTTTCTTGTACCAGCTAGCGCGTGTGCTGGTGTCGACCGGCGGAATGAGGCGGACGCCGTGAAACTGACCGATCTGATCGAGGACGAAGTGCAACCACAGGCCCGTCTCGCCGACGGCGCACAACTCCGCTTCGAGGTGCCGCGCGGCGTAGCTCTGCTGCAGACGAGCATCCTTGGACGTCTTCGAGTTCCGCGCTCCGATGACCATGACGACCGGCTGGTTCTCCGGGTTGATCGAGGAGGTGCTCGCCAGTCGGTACAAGAAGATGTCGGGGAGAGTGATCTCGCGGATGCTTGCACCGCGCAGGAGAGAGTGGTGGGAGAGTAGCGTGAGCACCTTCAAGAGAAGAAACCTCCACAGCGTCTGCGAAGGACCCGTACCCCGCGGGTTCCACGCCTTGGCCGCCCACGCCGGCAGCACCCTGAACATGATCTGGCGGAACTGTTCGGCGGTGTAGGTATCGCCGATGGTTCCGCGACGGCGATCGGCGCAGTTCCTGCCAACAATGCCATGGGCAAGGGGTATTTAGGGCGGCGTCGACAAAGATCATGACAGCAGGAGAGTGGTCGACGTAGGTTAAAACATAAACTCACTTGATGTCCCGCTCGTTCTTGGTGCGGATCATGTACCGCACCTCCGACCTGACCACCGATATCTCCCTCATGATGCTCAGTTCCGTCTCCCGGAAGAGCGTCGCCTCCACTCTCGCCGCCATCTGGCATGCCTTTATGCGCCCGAGGAGCGTGTGTACCGTTGTCGACTGCACCGGCTGTGTTCCTGTGGCGTTGTCGGCCCCCTTGCCGGACTCGGCATCGAGGTTCAACTCCCGAATCATGTACTTCACGTATGCGCGAAGCCGGTCCTTGGTGACCCTAGGGCCGTGCAGCCACACGTGAGACCGGGGGACATCGGCCTCTTGGTCCCAGTTTTTCTTCTTGTTCTCCCGGATGTAGTGCCCTATCTCGTCGACGTGCTTAAGCCTGTACTCCTGCGGAAGCTTGTTGCGAATTTGCTTCAACATCTTCGCCGCCCACCTCTTGTAGTGATAGATCCACGAGGTGTACTGCCTCAGCGTGCTGTTCCTCTCCACGGTTTGCAGGTGGCGAAGAGCGTCCATGACGAGCACGTCTACGCACGCGTAAACCATGTCCTCCTCGACGAAGTCTGCCGCTCTCCACTGTTCGCGCGGCACCGCCAAGTTCTCCTGGTCCTCGTCCTCGTCCTGGTCGAGCAGTATGTCGATGAATTGCAGTTCCCGCCTGAGTCGTTCGTCCAAGGTGCGCGGATTAGAGCTACGAGGTGGACGGTCGTCGTTTTCGTCATCGCTTTCCTCCTCCTCCTCCTCCTCCTCCTCCTCCTCCTCCTCCTCCTCCTCCTCCTCCTCCTCCCCCCCCTCCTCCTCCGCGTCCTCGTCATCGACCTGGTTTCCAGGGGCGGCCGGTGCCGACGAGGTACCTGGCCGACCATTTTGCGTAGGAGTCTGTTTTTTCTTCTTGTTGAACTTCCCTATCGGCGGTGGCGGAACGTCCGTGGTGAACACCCCTTCTGGGATCTGCGTCAGCTTGTCCAGATCGTAGAGTAACTGCAGGTTGTCTTCGTCGGTAGGTGTCGGACTGTGGTCGGTGGATGTCGGACTGCGGTCGGTGGTCGTCGGACCCTGGTCGGTGGATGGCCTAGCGTCGGACATGTCGACGTCGGCCATGTCGGTACACGTCTGCTGCTCTACCGTCGTCCGTGTGCGTTGGGGAGGTTGTTAAACCACTGCCGGTACTGAGTCACGGGTGCGGTGTACGCCCGAACAGTTGCGCGGCGGTCGTCCTCGAGATGTCCCTCAATAACGTCTATCTCGGCGTCGACCTCGAGATCGCGGGGGGTGGTAAACCAGAGACGGTACTGTGTGACGGGTGCGGCGAACGCGCGAAGCGTCAGGCGGTCTTCGTCTTCTTCGAATTCTCGCTCAAGCGCGTCTAACTCGGCTTCGAGTTCAAGCTGTTCCAGCTGCGCCTTGATGTCGGCGTCTACCGAGTCGGCGGGGGGTGGGATGGGTTGCGGCTGTTGGGCCCTCGGGCGACCTCTGGCCATGCGTCGCCGACTTGCTACGTCGACTCGCGACGTGGAACCTGTGCCGACTTGGACGAACAATCGGCTGTCGAGCAACCTACAGGCGCGATGACAGACTGGCAGCTGAAAATTCTAAGGGAACGAGAGAGCAGGAAGGAACGCAGGAACGGACAAGCGAATGAGCAGGCTCGCGGGGCAACGGACGGGTATGGTCCTGAGCGACTACGATGCTGCCGCGCGTCACGCACACCCCAATGCATCCGCCGCCGTGCATGTGTTCTCGTAAAGGCGGCGCACTGTCCGACGTGGCACGTGCCAGGCATGGCTAGCTGGGCGCCGCGCTGCACGGAAGGGGCGTAAGCCAGTGCCATTCCACGTCGGAATGGGCGTGCGTTACGCGGCTTGCGACCGCCATTGGCGCCCCAGTGCAGAAATTAAGGCAAGCAGACATGGATCTCCCGGAGGCCCGGGATGACTCAAGCACGGCGTGGCAACCATGCCGTGGGGGGCCTATGATCGGCGCCGACTTCCACTCGGCGCGCTTGGCAGAGAACGTGCCGTGTGGCCGGGTTTGTGTGCCTTGGGATGATCTGGTCGACACCGACTTCCCTGGCAACCCGCGATGCCACAAGACAGTGAAGATGTGGACGGTCCGATTTGCGCCGCGTGGGTTTGCACCGCTAGAGCGACGCGTGGCCACGACGCCCACGTCGTGGCAGCCTTGTAATCGGTGGGGCGGGTCTCGCACCTCCCTATTGGTCCGCGTGGAGGCATCCGCGGCTCGACGTGGCGAATTTTGTCCGCTGAGATTTCCTTCTCAGGAATCTCCCAGCGCAAACGGGTGTCGTCGGATTGTCGACAATCCCGAGGGCTCCCGAGGCCCCTGGGACGCCATTTGGGCCCGTCTGGGAGCTCGGAGGTCGTCGGGAGGTCGTCAATCCCGAGGGGGGGCCTTGTCCCTTTTGAACCGCGAAATCGGGCGGACTTTTTCGTCCGCTGAGGTATATCATCCCCAAAAGAACACCCAAGGTGTGGAGCATTTCCAAACTTCTTTGAAAGCAGACCTGCACCGCCACGCATAGGCATGTTTTCCAGAAAGGGGTAATCTTGGAACTGTTTGTGGGCATCCGAAATCTCGACCTTCTCGAGTGCAAAATGTGTGTGTGACTTGTGGAGAAACAGTGCTTTCCTTTCTTTTTGCCAGGCCATTGTACCCTTGTTTTCATCATACAGTACGGTTCAAATCCTGCGCTTTGCCTGCTGCGCTAGCGGGGCCCTTGAGAGCAGACGGAAACATATTCCGGAAACATATCCCCCTGTACTGTATCCCACACGATCCGGCCCAACAAGAGGCAGTGGTAAGAGCAGATCAGGGCAAAGCTGAGCTATGCAGTTCATTGCGGTTCATAGCGGTGGCGTTTGTTTCAGTGCAGTGCATAGAATAATCCTGCACTATTCGCAGTGGTGCAGAGGATCGCAGCATTCCTTCACAGCAGCATCAGCAGCAGCACAGCAAAACGGTAGCCAATCTTGCGAGCAAGCAGCCACCAGGCACCCCAGTTCAAACCAATCCAATCCTCCGTGCCACTGTAGCTTACCCACCCACCCAGTTTCTTCGTCGAGGAAGGACGGACGCTAGCCGTGCTTTTCCTCCAGCTTGTTTCGCCCGACCTATCCTTTCCCCTCCCTCGCGGTGGCCCTTCTTGGCCCTCCGTTCCGTCCATTCCCACCTCGAGCCCCGCTCCCGTTGGATAAACTCTCGACTGTCGCAGCGCGGCTCACTATGAGCTCGCCGAAATGTCCTCTCTTGAGCCCTCGGCGCGCCACAATGCCCCGCGGCGGCGCCTCGTTCCTTAACAGAGTTTATGGCTGCTTTTAGCGGACTGGCGCCGCCTCGGCTTCCGTCTCTCTAATCCCGTCTTTTATGTGACTATTATCAAGCTCTCGCTCTCTAATCTTTTCACTAAAAATAGCCCCTATTTCCACTAGAATAGAAACTCTAGCCGGAAACGCTGAAACTCCCCGCGCCCGTTTTACGTTCATACCCGTTATAGCCCTCCTCCTTACGGCGCATTGCTGCCATCATGGGTCAAGCGCTGTCCGCGCAACCAATACACGAGGAGCCGCAGCCGCAGCCGCAGCTTTGGCCTATCTGCCTCTCCCCCTCGGATCTTTTTTCCAACAACCCCCACCACTTCGGCCCCTACACGCCCGCCAATGGCGGCCTTATCCGCGCGCGCCAAATCATGGCGCAACTTCCGCCAGGAGACGCGCTCCCGGGGCTTCTTTCTATTTTCCTCGACCGCCTTTCCTCCCCGTCTCTCTCCCCGTCCTCCGAGTTTTCCGCCTATTCTCCCCGCTTGGCGCAAGCCTCCGCCCCCGTTTCTTCCGCCTCCTCGTCTTCCTCCTCCGCATCTTCCGCTTCTTCCTCCTTCTTCGTCTCCTCCCCTTCCCCGCGCACGCGCGCTCTCCCCCCGCCTTACTTCCCCCTCGTGCAACCGCAGCCGCTGACCCCGCGCTCGCGCTCGCTGCTGCTCCCCTTGGGCGGGGCAGATGACGTCATCCGCGCGGGCCTTCTGGACGTGCAGGCGCGCGCGGAAGCGGAGTATCAGCGCCTGGTAGAACGGATAGAGGAGGCGGCGGACCTCGGCGCGGAGCTCGGCGGGGGGGATGGCGCGGAGCTTGGCGAGAGAAGCGGGAGCGGAGGCGGAGGGGGGGGCGGAGTCCGCGGAGGCTATTTTAGCAGCGTGCGCTGCCCTGGCGGAGACGGGGTGTATGGCAGGGGGGAGTATGCCGGCGGCGCTGGCGGCAGCGCTGCAACGGCGGAGGGGCGCAACGCTACGCGGACGGAGAGCGGAGAGGCGGTGGAAAGCGGTGTTTATGTGAACGTGGAGAGGATGGAAGAGGCGCTTCTGGTGGGAATGGCTTTTTGGATGGAGTTTTGGGAACAATGGGGGGAAGACCCGAGCTCATCGCTAGAAGCGCCCAGGGCGCGGCGGAGATCCCTGGAATCTCCGCGCACAATGCTCTGGCGCGGCGGAGAGGTTGCGCCAGGCAGGGGGAAATGGGGCGCGGGCGCGGGCGGGGGGGGAGGCGCTGCGCCAATGCCTGTGATGGCGCTGACTAGGTCCGCGCAGGCGGAACGCGGTCCCCCCAAGGAGCGGAAGCAAGTGAGCATTGTATTGGCGGTAGGGGATGGTGAGGGGGAATGCGGAGAGGGGAAAGATAAGGGAGAGAGAAGAGGGCAGGGGAGGGGGAAAAAGGGAGAGGAGGAAAAGGAGGGGGGTCCTGGGAAAGTGGATCGCAGGATGGCTGAAAATGTGGAGGGGAATGAAGGGAAGAGAGGGGAGGCTGAAGTAGAGAAGGCGGAGCAGGAGGGTGGGAGTGTTATTGTGGCAGACCACATTGTTGAAGCACCTGAGGCACCTGAAGCACCTGAGGCACCTGAAGCACCTGAAGCATCTGGGGCAGCTGAAGCACCTGAAGCTCCTGATGGCGTGGATCCTTCAGGTGCGATGCCAGCAGCAGCAGAAGCTCCAGCGTCCCCAGTCCTTCCTTCACCAGCCATCCCTGTGACAGCAGCAGTCCCCCCTTCCCCAGTTCCCCCTTTCCCAGTTCCCCCTTCCCCAGTTCCCCCTTCCCCAATCCCCCCTTCCCCAGTTCCCCCCTCCCCAGCCCCCCAATCCTTAGCGCCTACCCCGGCCGCCGCTGGGGGGTGGTTCAGGGCGAGTCTGAGGGAGAGGGAGTACGAGCAGTGGCAGGATCTGTGTCGGGCGGCAGGGCGGGCGTGGGAGGAGAGGGAGGAGGCCGTGCAAGCCCGGGGGTTTCTCAGCCATAAGCGACGCGCCTCAGGTGTCTCTGCTGTTTCAGGTGCCTCAGGTGTTTCGGTGGCGTTAGGTGGTTCCTCTGCTACTGCTACTGCTGCTGCTGCTGCTGCCGCTGCTGCCGCTGCTGCTGCTGCTGCCTCTGCCGGTGCTGCTGCTGCTGGTGGTGCTGCTGCTGCTGGTGCTGCTGCCTCTGCCGGTGCTGCTGCTGGTGCTGCTGGCACCACCAATGTCACTACAAGCGGTTCAGTTCCTCCACAGCGCCGATCATCCCTGCCCTCTCGCAGCTTGAAAGAAGGCAGGAGAAGGAGCGGCAAGGAGGCTTCTTCTGCTGTGCAAGGAGGAGAGGGTGGTGCAGGGGAGGCCTCTTCGAGCTGGTTCCCTGTAGGCTTTGGTGCTGATAGCTTTCTCACCGCTGCACCAGCAGCATCAACAGCTGCAACTACACCAGCATTCAGCAGCATGACTGGCCTTAGTCTCACGTCTCCTCTGACTGGCATGGGAAGCAGCAGTTTCAGCACCATGCCATCCCCGTCCTCTTCGCTTCGGCCCCCTCGCAACCGCTCCCGATCCGCTGCTTCAACCGTCGACAGCAGCAGCACGAGCAGCTTGAGCGCGGTCAGCCTGCTGCCCACTGTTGACGTTACCAGCGTGGCGGGCAGCATGCTCCGGAGTTTTTCGGGCAGCTTGACGCTCTCGTCCCGCCCGAGCGAGGATGGGTCGGTTTCGGGGAGGAGCTTGAGGAGCAATGCGAGTGCGGTGGGGCATGGGAGGAGGAGGTGGAGGTCAACCACTAGAAACGGGCTGCAGCAGAAATTGGTGCAAGACGTGCTTTTACTGGATGGGACTGAAACGGATGTGCCGCCGAGCTATGCTGACGTGGCAAGGATGCTGGGGCTTGCGGGGTCGTTGGCCGACCGCCAGCCTGTCAGCATGGCGCTGTGTATTCTAAGGGTGCTGGACATGGTCGGCCAGACTCGGCCTTTTGTGCGCGTGGAAGAGGGGAGTGATGTGAGTGACTTGGGGAGTGAGGATGAAGGGGAGGGGGAGGAAGAGGAGGAAGGGGCTGTGGGGGAGGAGGGTGAGGAGGGAGAGGAAGGGGCAGGGGCGAGAGGCCCAGATGGGGAGTTTCGAGCGGAAGGTGGGCTGCAGCAGGAAGGGGAGTGTGTGTTGCGTTCCGATGGGGTTAGGGAGGGTCTTCACAATAACGAGTCCAGTCACCGTGCTTCAATAGGAGCTGGAAACCAGGAACGTGGCCGAGAGAAGAGGGAAGCGAGTGCAGGAGCGGAAGATGCACCAGCCGAACCAGAAACCCCTGCGAACGACCGCAGCAGCAGAACCAGGAACAGAAACAGGTTCGGGGACGGGAGGCACGGGGACGAGAGGTTCGGCGCGGGGAGGAGGGAGCTGGTGAACGTGGAGGAGGAGATGGAGAGGTACGCAGTGGACAAGGCATGCCGGCACTTTATAGTCTCGTGCCTGCTGGACCTGCTTCAGCTGCACGCTCATCACGCGTGTCGCCCCCAGCAGCCCTGCTTCAACCTCCCTCTCACTCCTGTCACGCCTGTGCCAACGGCACAGGGCGCTTCTGAGCAGGTGGTATCCAATCCGGTGGTTCCTGAGCAGGTCGTATCTGAGCAGGTTGTATCTGAGGCAGGAGCGCCTTACCGGCTGGGAGAGCTAGCAGAGGTGCTGCTGGTAGAATCAACAGTGGCAACTAACGGGATGAACCCCATCGAGTGCGCTCATCTGGACAGGCTGTATCTGACCCACGGCCCCGTCCAGGGGGGTTACATCTAGGCCCGGGTATTCTCGCCTTAGCTGTAGCTCTCGCCATGCAGTCCCTCCCGAGCCTGTGGCCTGATGATGTGGCGGAAGTGGCAGAGTATTTAGAGGAGATGGGGTGTGAGGAGGCGGGGTATCGGGCGCGCGTGCGGGTGCTGGGCAGCGTGTATGCTACTGAAGCGGACTGTAAAGAGGTCATAAGGAGGACGGTGCGGCCGAGAGGGGTTGAGCCGGTGAGGCGGAGGATTCAGAGAGTGGTGGGGGTGGCGGAGACAGCGCTAACCCATGCGCCGACTGAGGCGTCGCGATCGGCGTATGTGAGGAGGTTCTGTGATGCTCTAATGGATGAGTTGCTACAGGTGCTTCCCGAGGCTCTCCCGGAGGCTTGGCCCGAGCCTGCGCCCAAGCCTCCCCCGAGGAGTTTGAGTGGAGGGAGGGTAGGGAGCGGGGAGAGGGCTGGGACGGAGGTGTTTTCACCTCCGCCTCTCTCGTGCCCTGCTGCTTTGCCTGCCTGCGTGTCTCTTCCTAATGGCCTCACTGCTAGTTCACCAGCAGCAGCAGCAGCTGCTGCAGCAGCAGTTGCTGTTGTCGACGCCGAACAGACCTCACACTCGTGCCATGCCACCACCACCACCACCACCACCACCAACACACCCTTCAGCACCGACTCACACCCCTCAACACCTCCTGCAACCACCAAGCCTCCCAAACCAGCTGCCCGGCTTCCCAGCATCCTTCCCGTAATCCCGGACTCCGAAGCAGCCCCCATCATTCCTTGGGTGCGGGACCTAGCAGAGGCATACCTGCGGCTGAGCCGGCACCTGTCGCTGGACTCAGAGGGCGTGCGGCAGCAGCACGAGCGGCACACCGACGTGTGCGCGTGTATCATCCTGAGGTGCCTCGTGGCGGAGGTGGCGAGAGAGAGGGAGGAGGCGAGGGTGGCGGCTGCTGCGGCGGCTTCTCCTGGGTCGATTGATACTGCTGGGACGCCTGAAGGGGCTGGTTTGACTGGTTCGGCTGCTGCGGCTGAAGCTGCTGATGGTGGTGATCCGGCTGTTGGTTTGCCGGGACATTCAGTGGAGGCGGCGTTATTGGGAGGGAGGGGAGGGGAGGAAAGCAGCAGCACAGACGCACAGCAGGAGACGCAGGAGAGGAGGGAGAGGGAGGAGAGGGATGCGGCGATGGCGGCGCTGCTGGTGCATCTGGACAAGGCGCCGGGGGGCACGGGGTCACTGGCATGGAAGGCCATTGGTCGCATGCTGGAGCGCAGGAACCCGACACACCCTGTGCTGCCTGCGGTCTGGGTGCGAGCTGTGCTGAATACACACCTGGTGAGTGAGTCAGTGAGCGGGTGACAGTGAGAGATTGAGTGAGTGAGGGAGTGAGAGAGTGATTGAGTGTGGGTGAGTGAGGGGGTAATTGGCGTGTGTGTGGGAGTCATGGTGCGTTTGGTTGAAGGGAAAAGGCCCAGGGGGGAGAAGGCCCATGGGGGAGAAGGCCCAGGGGCCCAGGGAAAAGGCCCAGGGTCGCTGGCATAAAGGCCATTGGACACATACTGGGGCACCACCGCAAACCACCCATTCTGTGATGCCTGCCGTGTGGGTGCGGGTGGCTCTCAACACCCAACTGGTGAGAACCGTACCTGCTGCTCCAGGTAGAATCTGGTGAATGAGTGAGAGGGTGAGTGAGTGAGTGAGTGAGTGAGTGAGTGAGTGAGTGAATGGTGTGTTGTATGCCACCCTGCTGGTGCATCTGGACAAGGCGCCGGGGGGCACAGGGTCGCTGGCGTGGAAGGCCATCGGATCCATGCTGGAGTGCCAGAACCCCACCCCACGCGCCCGGTGCTGCTGGCTGCATGGGTTCGGGCTGTACTCAATACCCATCTGGTGAGTGAGTGCTGTGCGGGTGTGCTGAATACCCACCTAGTCTCTGTACATGCTGTGTTGCCCGTTGTGGTGTAGATGCAGGGAATGCTCAAAACACTTCCCCTCCCCCTTCCACCGATCCCCTGTGCTCCCCGTTTCCATCCCCCAGGCTGTGAACGAGGAGGGAACGGGCACGGACGTTGATGCTCTCGAGCTCTTTGACTGGTCACTCGAGTCTCTCCTCGTCACCCTCCCAGGGGGCCCCGAAGCTGCTGCATCCCTCCTGAAGGTCATCGACTCTGCCTCACAATGGGATTCCGCTGCAAGATTTGAGAATTCTACTTCACAATGGGAGAGCTCTGCTGCTGTCGGAGGTTGCTCTGGCGCAGTGCGGCTGTCCAATGCGACACGTGTCGACGTGCTACTGGCCATTGCTGCACGCGTGGCGTGCACTATATACTGGCGCTGGCCCAGGAGGAGGGACGCGCCGAGATTCGTGGCTCAAGTGCTGACCCTGGCGCATGGCACAGGTGAGACTGCTTGTGCCGCCGCTGGCACACGGCATAGATAAGTTGTTGTGACGACCTGTGCTGCTGGTGTATGGGCAGAGTGGGAAAGGGCACATGTGAGGCTTCTTATGTGACTGGTGGACACCCACGGTGGAGGATGGGGAAGGGTGCGAGTGAGATGGGAAAGAGAAGGGGATGGAAAAGGGTGGAGGATGGGGAAGGGTGTGAGTGAGATGGGAAAGGGAGGGGAATGGGAAAGGGTGCGTAGGGAGGGGGATGGGAAAGGGTGTGTGATGGGAAAGGGTGTGTGATGGGAAAGATCGGGAGATGAGAAAGTGCTCATCAAATTTATCTGTTCCTCCCACCACGCCCACACCAGTGGGTATGACCCCGGATCTACTGCAGCGGGCTCTCAAGATTGGGGAGCGCCTGTGGGGATGGGAAGATGGTGTTCATCATTGCATTCACCACAAGGAACGCACACCTTCAGATTTATCTGCCCCTTGTTCCGCCCGCCCACACCAGTGGGTATGACCCCGGATCAACTGCAGCGGGCGCTCAAGATTGGGGAGCGCCTGTGGGGATGGACCATGCCCAGCCCAGCCTCCCTGCAGCAGCGGTGTGAGGTGAGTCAATGCGAGTCAACACAAGTCAAATCGTTGGTGAGTCAATGCGAGTTGATCGGTGCGTCTGTGGGAATGGACCATGCTGAGTCAATGCGGTTCAGCACAGGTCAATGCGGGTCAACACCATGCTATGCTGCCTAGCACCCTCTTGCACCCCTCAACACTCCCTGCTTTCCTGTGTCAACAAACAGAGGCCAGAGGAGGCACGGGAGATAAGGGAAAGCTGCATTATATCAGCGTGACGCTCCTCTCATCTCATGCGCGAGAGCAGACAGTTTCTCACCATGCTATGCTTCCCCTGTGCCCACTGCACAGACGCCAGAGGAGGCACGGGAGATCAGGGAAAGCTGCATTATATCAGCGTGATGCTCCTCTCATGTGCGAGCGAGAGCAGACAGTTTCCCACCATGCTATGCTTCCCCTGTGCCCACTGCACAGACGCCAGAGGAGGCACGGGAGATCAGGGAAAGCTGCATTATATCAGCGTGATGCTCCTCTCATGCGCGAGCGAGAGCAGACAGTTTCTCACCATGCTCTGCTTCCCCTGTGCCCACTGCACAGACGCCAGAGGAGGCACGGGAGATCAGGGAAAGCTGCATTATATCAGCGTGATGCTCCTCTCATGTGCGAGCGAGAGCAGACAGTTTCTCACCATGCTATGCTTCCCCTGTGCCGCCGACACCACTCCTTCCATCCCCGTGCCCACTGCACAGACGCCAGAGGAGGCGCGGGAGATCAGGGAAAGCTGCATCATCTCAGCATGGTATTCCACATCGGCGTTCCGAGGGGAAGAGCCGATAGAGCTCATCGGCTCGCAATGGCCCTACAGGTAGATTTCATTGGCGCCTCAAAGGATGGCTCTAAGGCTCTCGAATCAAACATGGAGAGCTGCATCATATCAGCATGGTATTCCACATCCGCGTTCTGGGGGAAGGAGCCCATAGAGCTCATATTGGCTCAATGGCCCTACAGGTAGATTTCATTGGCGCCTCAAAGGATGGCTCTAAGGCTCTTCGAATCAAACATGGAGAGCTGCATCATATAAGCATGGTATTCGTCATTGGCGTTCTGGGGGGGGGGGGGAACCCGTGGAGCTCATTGGTTCACAGTGGTCATACAGATAGATTCCCTTGACGCTTCAAAGGGCAGGTCTCAGGCGCCGCGACTCATATCAGCATGGGCTGTATCATATCAGCGTGGTATTCGATGTTGGCATGTTGAGGAGGGACCTACAGCGCTCACTGGTTCACACTGGCTGTACAGAGTGCAACATGGTTACCAGGTTACAGCTGTGAACAGTGGCTCACTCCAGGTGATCCCAGATTCGAATTTTGTTTGATACTGGCCCTACAGGTAGCAATGTAGTCATACCATGTAACAGCTCGGTAAGGCGTTTACAAGGTAACAGCACGGTCACCAGGCAGCAGCAGGAAAGGCGGAGATGCAGCAAGAGGGACAAGGGCGTCTGTTCTGGTTGCGCAGGAGTTTTGAAGGCGTCTGAAAGCTACATCGTGACGGTACAGAAGCAGTTGGTGGTGGTGAAGAACAGCCATTTGTCTGAGGCTGGGTGGGTGGGCTGTTTTGAAGGCGTCTGAAAGCTACATCGTGACGGTACAGAAGCAGTTGGTGGTGGTGAAGAACAGCCCTTTGTCTGAGGCTGGGTGGGTGGCCTGTTTTGAAGGCGTCTGAACAGGCCTTCGTGTGAGGCTGGATTCATCTGAAGCTGGATGGGTCTCTGCGCCAACGCATGGCGCGCACAGACCTGAGGAGGGTCACAAGACTAACCTGACCTGATATTTGAAGCCGTGTACAGGATAGAGTTGTCAACGATCCGGTGATGCAGCGGTTGTGTGGAGGCACAGGAATTCTGGAGTGGAGAAAAAAGTGGAAGCAGTGGCAACAGCACAGCAGTAGTCGGACTTATGCAAGAGCGAATCGAACGTGCTGTGATGACTGGATTTCTGCAGGAGGCTTGCAGAGAATCAGAATGAGTTGACGGGTGGCAGGAAGGGGGATGCGGAGGGGGCTCAAGAGGAACGAGCCGATTGGAGCAGCCACAAGAACCCAAGCAAGCATGGCTTGAATGGTGGAGGCAAGCTGACAGGTTATGAGGGAAAAATGTTGCAGTGCAGTGACAACGTGCAGCGAAGCTGCTCATGAAAGGGGTGTCAATAAACGTAACTGGGAGGGTGTGGGGAAACCATGAGTGGTTTTTTGTGTTTTCTGCTGTTTGATTTGCTTAACCAATTACGTATATGCGTATATGCCTTTTGTTAAACCTATTTATGTCTAATGTTATACAAAAATGCTTATGGAGAGCTTGTCCATGCCTCGCTATCTTCGCCTTTGTTTCAACTTACTGCTGAAATGCCCTCCAAACTCAACCCCACCACCCTCTCAGCACTAGCCAACTTCTATCCTGCCTGGGATCTGTACATCAGTTCGAATCGTGGGATCAGCGACCCTGCAGGTTTTCCAAGCCTACCTTGAAAGATGCGGCGGCGTACTGGATAGTGTAGTGTGTTTCGCAAAGAGAGCAAGCAGCAACCGTCACAACCTTTTGAGAGGGAGCTCCTCTTACTACCACCCTCGGCACAAGCCCGCCTTCCCGGCTCCCTTTCTGCGTACCTTCGTTTTTCGTCTCTTTATCCTCGCTAAAGGGGCGGCCCGCGCTTTGCTCACTCCGCCCCGTCCGTCCTGCTGGTCAGCCGCTCTGGTTGCTGACAGCAGAGGTGGAAATTGCTGGTGATGTTGCTAAGATGAGGCCAAAGCCGTCTGTACGCATGCAGCAGCAGCAACATCAGCAACAGCAACAGCAGCAGCAACAGCAGCAGCAACAGCAACAACAACAGCAACAACAACAGCAGCAGCAGCAACACCAACAACAACAGGAGCATCATCAACTGCCACACCAACAGCAACAGCATGAGATATTACTGCAGCAGCAGCATCAGCAACATCTTAATCATCAGCAGCAAGAGAAGCAGCAGCAACACCAACAACAACAGGACCATCATCAACTGCCACACCAACAGCAACAGCATGAGATATTACTGCAGCAGCAGCATCAGCAACAGCTTAATCATCAGCAGCAAGAGAAGCAGCAACAACAGCGACTGCAATCTCACCATGATCATCAACAGGAGCAGCAGCAGCAGCCACCAGTGCAAGGGCAAGCAGGAAAAACGAGCCAAGCAGGGCAGAGGGCTACCCGGGTGCTCGGAGCTGCACCTGCATCGATGAAGAAAAAGCCCTCCCCAGTAGTCTCATCCTCGTTAAAGGGCATGGCGTTAGCAGCTAGGCAGCTCGCTGCGGTTTATGAGCAAGTGGAGCGTGCCAAGCTGGAGCGGCTGCTGGAAACGGAGAGAATGCGGATGGAGCTGAGCAAGGACATGGAAGCGCAGATGATGCAGATGCAAGTTGACATGGCGCGGGCAAGCGGTGACCCGAGGCACAGTCTAGGTGGTGCCGCCGCTGGTGCCGCTGGTGCGAGTGGTGGTCTCCCAGATGGGTTGGTTGGTGGTAACGATGAGGGTCGTATTGGTGGAGGTGATCAGAATGACAATCCTGGCACTGGGACGCAAGGGCTAGTTAGTGGCAGCAGGCTAGATGATACTGCTGGACGTGCAGCTGGTTTTGATGGCAGTACTGCCAATGGTGGTCAGGGCCTAAGTGGTTCAGGGCAAGACGAGCAGACCTTCAACTTCTCAACGCCTGCAGGGAACATGTTGAATCCATCAACTGTTGTGAGTGCACAGACAACAGCAACACCCAATCCAGTGTTTAATCTGTTCCGCACTCCTCCACGGCTTCGCCTTGCGGAGTGCATGAGTGCCCGCTTGGAGCTTCTCGTTGACCCGTTGGATAGCTTCGACTTATTGTCGCCTTCACTCATGTAGAATTTTGAGCTTCAGCGTGGAAAAAATGTGCCGTTACTCCCTTGAGCCAGTGGATGGATCATAGATCAGCTGATATGTATGGAAGAACCTTCGGGATTTCATTCTTGGTGTACTGTGAGGAGAAGTTTGCCTGCAAAGCACTAGAGTGGTTCAGCTCCTTGTGAAACAGAGCGCACATTGCCATCTAAGGACAGTACAAACAACATTCAAACAACAGTTCCGTTCCAGTCCCACCTATCCAAAATCATCTTGATCTGCGAAGGACACCACAGCACAGCTTTGTCCATGAACGTTATCACTGACACTACTGCAGTAAGGTGATTCCGCCTGCAAAATACCTGCACTGGGAACATCTTCAGCAATAAGAAAATCGAGGGAGAGTAAACGTGAAATGCAATTGCTTGACCAGCAGATTTCAGCGATGGAAAGCTTGAGCTTCAGAATCTGGTTGCTCCATCATCATAGGAAACATGCCAGCCAGATCTGCAAGGAGCACCCTTCTCATCATACACCCCACAGCATGTCCATCTCCTCTTCCAGTTTTTGTGTCCTGTATTTGGTCGGTCCTCCTTGTCGTTCCACACATAGACTATAACTCCGCTCTTTTCTGACCAGTCACCGTCGACGCCTTGATGAGGAGGTGCATACGCGAACAATCCTTTGTCTCCTGCTCATGAAAGTATTAGTTAGAGAGCGGAGCAGCAATGCAGGGAAGGCGGAAGGAGATGAACAGCAGAACGTGCCTGGAATGTTATGTCACAGTGAATATCGTAACAGAAGCAGGATGGACCATCGCTCTTGCGATAACGTCTCCCTTGACCAAGAATCTCTCAGAAGCCTGTCGTTAAAGCACTTAACCTGGCGTATGATCGTAGCGCACCTGGAGAAGCTAGACACTCGAAGGAAAAGAGGTATCTAACCTGTCATATGGCCATGATATTTGCAAGCTACGGGAGAGTTGTCATCCGGATTGTAAGGATTTCCGCAACGCAAGCAGGTCTGTAGGTTCTCTGCTCGAACGGATGCGGAAGATCCCACGTTGGCTCTAACAGAGTTGGTAGCAGACGATGCGGAGCAGACGCTAAGAAGCCTTACTTCATGGCGAAGCCTTTGCTGTACCATGGCGGCATTCTGAATGATACCGTTCATGGTCAGGGACGCCATGTTTCCGGGTCAACCTTGGGATTCTCCTCCCAGTCTTGCTGATGGTTGAGAGTTGAAGTCAGAACCAACACAAATCATAACGACAGATCAATCAAGCAATGTTTTCTGGCTTGGGGGAGCAGAAAACTTTATTGCATACCTTGCTGCTTTGCCTACGCGTACTAGCATTATCGGGTATATTCTGTATCGAAATAGTACAGTGGAGCTTCCTTCATTGGTTCCCTGCTGCCACGTGGAATCCCAGGCTGGAAAATGCTTAGCTGGGCAAATTTCTTCAAACGAAGCGTGTGTGGGACCACATTTCTCCAGCCTGGCACCACAAATTACGCTGAGGCAGATTTGCGAATTTGCCTATTGGTGCATTCCGTCGCCCTCAGCCGACCGACTCGAGGCAAGGTGTTTTTCCATGGATTATCGAACGGTCCCTGATCCATCCCAGACTTCTCGGCCCTGGCGCTGGCTGTGGTCCGTCTGGCCCAATAAACAAGTCCTAGAGGATGAGTTTTGAATCCTAATCTACAGATCTGGCTGCTGCTTGTTGGAATTCAGCCCTAGAAACTATTTTTTGGGATTCTGGTCGCTTTACCTTTGTTGGGGTCTCTGTCCAGTCGTTCCTCATCATCTTTCCAGGTGCTTGTTAGCTTGGCCGAATCCCAGACCAGCGTTTCATCATGGCTGCCCTCGAAGATTATTGCGATAGGGACCTTATGAGCGAGCTGTTGAGGCGAATGAAATGCGCCCCGAAGCCAGAGAAGAGAGTTATTCTGATCGGTGAGAATAAATTCCATGTTTCTTGACCATTTTTAATGTTTCTGATGGGCGAGGCTTTCGCATTCGTCCTGTCCTTGCCGTCCTCGTTTTGATAGCCGGTTGTTCTTTCTGAATCTGTTAAATTCCTGTTTCCAGGTCCTCCCGGTTGCGGAAAGGGTACACAGTCTCCCATCATCAAGGAGGAGAACTGCCTGTGCCATCTAGCGACCGGCGATATGCTCAGAGCAGCCGTCGCTCAGAAAACGCCCCTGGGCGTCAAGGCGAAAGAGACCATGGAAAAGGTGTGTTGCGTAAATGTGCGCGTCGATATGCACCCGGTCGTGTGAGCTGTAATATTCACGTATTCGCTTGTCCATTTGTGATGCGTTTCGACCCAACTCATCCCTCCATTATTCCGTGTATGCCCAGGGCGAGCTCGTGTCCGACGAACTGGTTGTGGGTATTATCGAGGAAGCAATCAACCGACCGTCCTGCAGCAAGGGTTTCATCCTTGACGGCTTTCCTCGCACGGTCGTGCAGGCGGAGAAGGTGAGCAAAGCCGACGACTCCTAACCGGTGTCATTTTGCCATTGGAATCGCCCTACATAGAGCGTACCTCCAATACAACATAAGACCGTGTATCTATCATACTTGTTCCCAACGACATGTATGGGGAAAAAGGGTCAGGAGGTGAATAAGGTGTTCCAACTTCTAGGTTCCTGGGTCTACCCTCAGAGGGGAGAATCACCGGCACGTGGGTACTTTTTTCAGACAACGTTTTTGTGTTCCTTACGGTTTCCAACAGCTTGACGCGATGCTGGAGAAGAAGGGTCAGAAGATCGATAAGGTGCTCAACTTCGACGTTCCTGACGCCGTCCTGGAGGAGAGGATCACAGGCAGGTGGATCCACCCTGCCAGCGGACGCTCCTACCACACCAAGTTCGCACCTCCGAAGGTTCCTGGCAAGGATGACGTAAGTAGTTTCCTTTACAAAACTGAAAGGATTAGATGAGAATGCTTGACCACAACAGTACGGAAACGATGTGGGTTGATTGGGTAGTGTCTTTCTCTCTCTCCCCTCACACACTCATGCACTCAGTCACATGTAACCACACTTCATCACACTCACCGATTCTCTCTTCCAATCGCTTACTCTTCCATTCGTCTTTTTTCGACCTCATCTTCCTCCAATTCCCTGTATTGCCGTCTTGACGGGCAGGTCACTGGCGAGCCTCTGGTGCAACGGAAGGATGACAATGCAGAGACTCTGAGGAGCCGATTGGCGGCATTTCACAAGCAGACCTCGCCAGTGAGTTGTCTGACACCCTATCCTCACGCTCACCAAGTATACATTTGGAAGTTAGAGATCTCCCACAGGCCTTCTGGCCTCTCAGATTCGCAGTTCTATACTGATTGAGGTGTGTTTGTGCAATTTTAGCACTGTTTATCAGCAGCACTCTTTTGTTGGTTCGCTTGGCTTTGCAGGTCATTGACTACTATGCTGCTAAGGGCAAGGTTGCTACTTTGCATGCCGATAAAAAGCAGCAGGAAGTTACTGCTGAGGTTCGCGCAGCCATGAAATGAGGCTAAGTGTTATGAAGTCAGCTGTTGCTTTGCACTACATTAGAGAAGCCATTATACTGAGGGCCCTACATTGTTCTGGTTTTCCTACCTGGTGGCATTTCTTAATTCAAATTTTCGGCACCATGTTCTCAATACCATTCTTATCTAGGCGACCACGGGAGGCTTGTTTGCACGATGTAATGTTGCAGATCTAATGTAATGATCAGAAAGATTTACTTGATAATCAATTGGCAAAATCAATCCAGCTGTCCCTTCTCGCCGCTCCTGGGAGCCACACGTGGCGCGACCGAACCTAGACTCAGTCATCCCAACCAACAGGAATGTCCCTTAGACCGCTGTTGTCGAACAACGGACGTAGCCGAAATGAAGGCACGATTTCGCAAAATTTTCAGTCACACCAGATCCAATTGCTCATGCCTAGCGTTAGAAACGCTCCCGCGGAGACGAACCGCGTTCTTGTTAAGGAAAATCGGAGGAGCGTAAACCCTTCGAGGGCCGCTGGTTTCCGCTACCGTGCCATCTCGTCTGCGCGTTGCAGGCAGAATGTCGCGAAATTCGTCCGCAATTTTTGCACTCTGTCGACGTCAGCCATGGAGGGAGCAAAAGTGGCGATTGATACGGTCTATGCGCGGTTTCAACCGGGTCAGATGTGCCTAAAATAAAGGATTCGGAAATATACGAGTCAGGCAAACATAAATGCGGCACGCCTCGTTCTTTATATGAGTCTGCGGAAGATATTTCTAGGGTTCTTCAGTACTAGGATCCTAGGAACCGGCGACATTGGAGGTGTTCCTCGTACCCTTGTTGGAGACGGACTGTTCTGGCAGAGGAGTGCATGATATTGAGGTATGCAGCTATTCCGGCCAAAACCGCTCTTGACCATGGCATTCAGCATGACACTCAGCATGAAACGGAGCATGACATTGAGCATGACATTGAGCATGGTTTTGAGCATGACATTGAGCATGGTTTTGAGCATGACATTGAGCATGACATTGAGCATGGTTTTGAGCATGACATTGAGCATGACATTGAGCATGACACTGAGCATGGTTTTGAGCATGACATTGAGCATGGGATTGAGCACGGCATTAAGGTATTCAGCAATTCATGTGGTTAGGATGACACTTGACTTGACTCCCAACATGCTCATCAAGATAAATTCTTCCAGGGAACGGTCATATCCATCAAATTTTCAGCTCTTTACTCTCATCATATTCCTCCCTCGTTTCATTTTTCGTTCCATCCATTTTTTCACTCTCATCTGTTGCACCATTCCCTTTGGTTTAAGCAGCATAAGCGCTGAAGAGGTAATTACATCGACATGAAAAGTTCATCCACAATTTCAAAGAACCAAACAGAGGTCATGGCTCGAGGTCAACAGCACTGTAAGCAGTTTGGTGTTCTCTCCCCCTGACAACAAGAGGCACTAAGGTCTGAGACTCTTCAGAAAGTGCATCATCTGCCGATTTCACTCAACGGACTTTCTGAAGTGGGCACAATGCAAGTGCTGCTAATGCATCCCTCGCTAATCCATCCAGTAAGTAATTGAAGTGCAGGTGCTAATACACTCCTCCCGGTCGTTTCTGCATCACAATCGTTTTTGCATCTCATTTATTGGATTTGTACAGCATACAGCGCACCCTATCTTCATCCTTCCCACCCAGCTACCTAACCCCAGCAGCGCTAACTGGTCTCCCTCTGCTGGCTAAACCAGCAGCTGGATTTTACGCACCATTACCGAGCACCACACATGAGCATTACTCGAGCATTATTCACTCCTGTAGCATCTGTCCTGGGGCATTATTCACTCCTGCAGCAGCTGTCCTAGGGCATTATTCACCCTGGGCCTTGTGGCGTTGCAGCATTGCCCCTGCTCGATCCAATCAAATTGAACCCACTGCCAGCTGCAAACAGCGACTGCTTGCTATCACACCCACTTTCCCCTCCCACCCCTTACTCTCGAAACAGCGCCTGAGCCTTCATTATTTCCACGCGAGCCAGGCCAATCATCCCCGCTGCTGCCTGCTCCTGCACCCACCCGCCCTGCACCTCCCCCCTCACCTCCTCCAAAGTCACCACACTGTTATCCAGCTGTTCCCGCACCAGCTCCCTCCTCCCCTCGTTAATCAGCACTTCCGCATCACCCAGAGCTGTCACCACTGCCCACAGAGCCTCCTTCTGAGCGTCATTGCCAGAAGGAAGGATGCTGTGTGCCTTGCGCACGAGAACTGCTGCACCTTTCAGGAGGATAATGATGAGTTTGTCCTTTTTGGATGGCTTGCGAGGTGGTGGGGGGGGAGGAGGAGAGGGAGATGGCGGCGGAGGGGATTTTTTCTCAGGGGGAGGAGGGGACTTTTTCTCGGGCGGAGGGGGCGACTTTTTCTCGGGGGGAGGAGGGGACTTGTGCTTGGGCGGAGGGGGCGACTTTTTCTCGGGGGGAGGAGGGGACTTGTGCTTGGGTGGAGGGGGTGATTTTTTCTTGGGAGGAGGGGGTGACTTGTGCTTGGGAGGGGGGGGCGACTTGTGCTCAGGCGGCGGGGGCGACTTCTTCTCGGGCGGAGGAGGAGACTTGTGTTTGGGTGGTGGGGGCGATTTGTGTTCGGGCGGAGGCGGCGACTTCTTTTCGGGGGGAGGGGGCGATTTGTGCTTGGGCGGAGGGGGGGACTTCTTTTCAGGCGGAGGGGGTGATTTATGCTCGGGGGGAGGGGGAGACTTGCGTTTGGGTGGTGGGGGCGACTTCTTTTCAGGCGGCGGAGGGGACTTGTGTTCGGGCGGCGGGGGCGATTTGTGCTCGGGGGGAGGGGGGGACTTTTTCTCAGGAGGAGGGGGCGACTTCTTGGGAGGGGGAGGGGATTTATTCTTGGGTGGAGGGGGAGAAGGAGGAGGAGGAGAAGGGGATGGAGGGGGAGGGGAGGGAGGAGGCGACTTATGGAACTTATTGAACTTGTCCTTGAAGGGGAAGGGCAGCTGGGGCAGGCGAGGCAAGGGGATGTTGATGTTTAAGAAGTTGAGGTAGGACTGTGCAGGGAACACGTTGAACGGGATGCCAGCGCCACCACCGTCACTGAGTGGGATGCAAGGGTGATGGGCAGAGCAAGGAGAAGCAAGGGAATAGGAATATTGGGCATCAGAGAGTGCAAGAGGATGTAAGAGCAGGGTGTGTGTATGGCGTTTCGAAACTTACACGCATCATTTATGTGGTGATGAGAATGCAGCACAGTGGTGGTGCTGGAATGAGTACAGTATGATGCTAGCAGATCTCCTCTGGTCCAATGGTTTCCCGCAAGTTGCTCTTGAATATTTGTGGCCTCACCTTAACTCCCTAGGAGTCCGCCTTGCATCCTTCCTACCAGGTGATGGCACATCACCTGGAAATAGCAGTCAAGGTTTATGGGGTGATAGGTGTGCATGCAGGGTCAATGAGTTGTTAATACCAACAATAACATGCACAGTGAGTAGACATCCTCTGAATTACCGTAGCCTGCAGCATTCAAGCAGCGAGTCTGGGTGAGAAAGGAGAACTTGCTATTGAGTGTGCTGGTAGATAGTGCAAATTGGAACCTCTCCATCTGGAATGCTAATTTGCAAATAACGTCTCTGTGTGGTCCTGGTGAACTTACCTGCCACACACGCGCTGAAGAGTCCAGTTGCAATGACCCACAGGAGGGTCAGCCTCTTCACATTTAGGCTACACACCGCCATGCTCTCACTCGTCGGCCAAACTGCCACTCCCAACTTTCAACTTGAAGTGACGTTGAGGCTGTCAAAGATGCAGGGCAGCAGCCTGAAGCGCAGAAGTCAGCTGCTCTGCAGGCAGGCTGGATGAAGCCTGAGGAAGACAGCCGCGACCAGCTGGGTGAACGCGAGGACGAATTGAAGCAGAGGCAAGGAGGAGGATGCGTTCTCGACCTCCAGGAACGGGTTTGTGGTGAGTTGACCTGACTTAGGAAGGAAGAAAGCGTTGCATTTGTAGCAATGCTGCTGTTGCTGGTGGTGGGTTAGTTGAGTGTGTGAAATTCGACAATCAGGGATTTGAGATTTGCGGTTCGGGAATGCTGTCGTTCGTGACTTGCCTTGGGATGACCCGCGTCGCGCTGTCGTGGTCAATCGGGTCGTCGTGTCCTTCGGGTCGTCGTGTCAGCTGACGTGGCGACGGTAGAGGCGTCGATTCGGTTCTGTGCACCTTGTCAATCGTTGCGATTCGCTTGGACCTGCGGTGCTGGAATGTCACTGTGGATGATCTAGTACACTAAGGATTTGCTGTACGTTTCCTCCCACCGTAAATTATATCCTGCATCAAAATTTGGCTACAAAATACAAATGTATTGTATCTGTAATAACATTCGCAAAGCTTACAATGTAAACATGTGAAAGATACGAAACTCAAAGATCATACATGGTTGTTTCCTAGTAGTGGGTCAGGTGAACGATACGATTCGGGAGTAGTAGATCTAAGTAAAGCCGAAGGGGACGGCACATGGGAGGGGGGTAGGTTTGAGTACACTGGTACAGGGTCAGCTGCGACCGGAGTGAACGGTGCTGGTGAGGGGTGCATGGCAGGCAGGCTATGGGTTGCTCCTGCCGGAGAGGGGTATGGTATGGGTTGCACCTGCTCACTTTGTGGATGCAAGGTAACCTCGAGAAAGCTCATCTCCATATTTGGTCCATCCCTCCTGCGCTGCCTCCTGTGCCCGTGCCTTCTCCCCCTCTCTCGGCCTCTTTCCTCCTCACTCCCTCTCTCTCTCACTCCCCCTCCCCCCCACCCACTCCACCACAGGCCCAACATGCGTTGCTGCCTCCCTTGGTGCGATCTTCCCTGCTCCCTCGGCTGCCCCGGTTGCTCTCGACTGTCTTCCCTTCCTACGCCCACTGCCACTCCCCCTCCCTCCTCTCTCCCTTGCCCATCCTCATTCCTCTCTTGCACCCCCTCCCTCTCCTCCTCCGCTCTCCTCGCTCTGTACCGCACTACAATCTCCTGGTACCACAGGTCACCGCTCACTCTAAATCTTGACACAGGTGTGTGCCTCAGCATGTCCGAGAAACTTCCAGGAAACAATCGCAACCGCTGGATTTTTTATCCAATGGTTGGGGAGGAGAGGAAGCGCATGGGGGTGGGGTGTTGGTGGGGAATGGGGTGAGAGAGGGAGGGAGGGAGTGGGAGGTGAGTAAAACGTCTGCAGGAAAATTCAGGAGGAATATTTACTGAGACAATTAGCAAAAACCAATTGCAATGGCTTATTAAGGAAAGGAAGGAGTGTTCTTATAAAGGCTTGGCAGCAGGCATGACTGATGAGAGGTGTTGCAATTTGAGAGGTGTTATCGCCACCTCCAAAGCAGCTCCGACATGCTTACGCGGCCCTATCATTATATAAGTTAACATGCTTACGTAAGGCCAGGTGTCGGTGCGAGGAGGGGGAGCAGATCGGCCAACAAGCCTTGCAAGTAAGCGACGCTCTGCAAGCTCCATCTGCAGAAAGAGAGGGTGCGGGGGCGGGGGGGGGGGGAGGGATGGCGGAAAGGAGGATGCTGGTGAATGGCGGAAAGGAGGATGCTGGTGAATGGCGGAAAGGAGGATGCTGGTGAATGGCGGAAAGGATGATGCTGGTGAATGGCGAGGAAGAGTCTGGAGTTTGAAAGAGTTGAGTTTATCGAGCTCTGGTGGTGTATTCGCTGGTAGGTAGTGGAAGTAGCAGGATGGGAAGGAGGTGCAAGGAAGTGCCTTGGAACGATTTATATTGAGTATGAAGTGTACTTACAGAAAGCATATGAAATCTGATGTGGATGGCGAGAAGGATTAGCAGGATGCAGAAGAGGAGGAACGGACGAACGGAATCGAGAACTGATATGATTGTTACTGTAGCCTGGATGAAGATGTACAGGGACATCATGCTCTGTAGTGAGGAAGGCAACAACGAGGATGAAAAGGTAGTGGTATATTACGATGTGAACAAAGTGAACATATGTATCATCGTTTATAAGGACTAGGTAAGGAAGGACGACACAAAGGAAGAAATCAGAAAAACAGCATAGGAACAGAGGAAAACGATGGCACGGATCGGGTATCAGAGGGCGAAATGCAGAGGGCGAAATGCAGAGGGCGAAATGCAGAGGGCGAAATGCAGAGGGCGAAATGCAGAGGGCGAAATGCAGAGGGCGAAATGCAGAGGGCGAAATGCAGAGGGCGAAATGCAGAGGGCGAAATGCAGAGGGCGAAATGCAGAGGGCGAAATGCAGAGGGCGAAATGCAGAGGGCAGGGCAGGGGTGAGGCAACAGCGGACAAGGTTGGTGTGGGGGAATGGGGGTGAACGTTGGGATTGGAAGGTAGAAGGAGTAGAAGCAAAAGATGCCAGGAGCAGGGAGTAGGAAGCAAAAGAAGCCAGGAGCAGGGAGTAGGAAGCATCAGCAACAGCAGCAGCAGCACATACCACGTTGTTGTAATGTGCACCAGCCAAGCCAAGGCTTGCAATCACCAGGTACAGAATGCTGGGGGTATGGGGACCCGGGAAGGGCGTGGGGGAACGGGGGAAGTTGCGAAGGGTTAGACCACAGGTTCGGCAACTCACAGGCTCGGCGAATCATATACACGGCAACTCAGAAGCTAGCCAGCTCACAAGTTCGGCAACTCATATGCATGGCAAGCCACTCAGAGGCTAGTCAACTCAAAGGTACGACATGGCGATTCAGAGGGTAGATGGGTGAGCATAGATGCTGCCAGGCCATCAAGCTGGGCTGCGATAGGGACACCATCATTCTTGCTGCTACCACAGGCTCGGCCACGCACAGGCTCGGCAACTCACAGGCTCGGCCGCTCACAGGTTCAGTTCGGCGACTCACAGGTTCGGCAACTCACAGGTAAGACACGGCGATCCAGAGGGTTTGAGAAGTGAGCATGGATGCTGCCATGCCATCTAGACGGGTGGGGATAAGAACAGCATCCCTGCTTCTACCATAGGCTCGGCAACTCACAGGTAAGACATGGCGATCCAGAGGGTTTGAGAAGTGAGCATGGATGCTGCCATGCCATCAAGAAGGGCAGCGATTGGCACATCAGTCCTGCTGCTACCACCATCACCACCACTGCCACTGCTACCATCACCAGTGGTGTTGCTGCTGCCCGAAATGTTACTACTGGAACTGCTGGTGCTGCTGGTACTGCTGCTGCCAGTGGTGCTGTCTGAAAGGTAGCTATACCCATAAAGCGACATGTCGGGATGATAACCGCCACCAACACTGCTGCTGCTGCTGCCGCTGGTGCTGCCGCTGGTGCTGCCGCTGGTGCTGCTGCTGCTGCTGCTGCTGCTGCTGCTGCTGCCGGTGGTGCTGCCGGTGCTGCCGGCGGTGCTGGTGATGTAAGTATGATCGGTAGGTGACATGTCGGGATAGTAATCGCTACCAGAACTGCTGCCAGCACCGCCACCGACAAGGCCGCTGATGCTGCTGCCACTGTCGCCACCGCTGCTGGCATGTGAAGGAAGGGCAGCAGCAGGGGGGTTGCCGAGGGATGTGTTTGCAGCAGCAGGCGCGCCAGTGGTGCTGTTGACAATGATGCCAGCTGGGAGGCACAGGGAGGTGCAATAGGAGAAGCAGGGGGAATGGCACAAGGGTAGGCAGATGCACACGCATTGGTGGTATTAGCAGCAGCAGCAGGGGCGCCAGTGGTGCTGCTGACAATGATGCCAGCTGGGAGGGAAGAGAGGAGTCCAGAGAGGGGCAGATGGGTGGTGAGAGGTGAAGAGGAGTTCACCAGGTGAACGGTATTTGAGTATTACTTTTCCACTCTTTTTTTTTTTTTGGGCATGTTCTATGTTTAGACATGTTGTCAGTTACGTTCCGAGGCACGTTACAAGGTACATTTTGAGGTATGTTGTTTTGAGGTGCGTTTTAAGGCACGTTCTGAGGTGCCACAATAATTTCCTGGAAACAACATGACCGGCAAAACCACACATTTCTGGTTGTGCACATATAGGGTGCTTATGCACTCACAGAGGAAGGCATATATGGGGCAGCGCTAAGAAGAAGGCACGTCTGGATTTGCATTGCACTCACAGAGAAAGGCACGTGCGGGATTGCACTTACAGAGAAAGGCGGCGATATTGAGGAGGCAGCCCAGCAGCGCTAAGCAGAAGGCATGTCTGGAATTGCATTGCACTCACAGAGAAAGGCGGCAATATAGAGGAGACAGCCCAGCAGCAGTAGGCACGCGAACACCCGCTTGGTGCCCTTAAAGCCCGCCTCCCACTTGGCGTCCAACAGAGGCTCCATGCCAGCTGTGCCGTTTGGCGCCTGTAGCGCGTCCAACGTGGCCTCAGAGGAGGACCGCGGGATGACAGGTGGCAGCACCAGGTGCACCGCCTCTATCCACGTGGAGACCTCTGATTCGCCCGATGCGGTCACTGGCAGACGCGGCGGAGGGTGGGGGAGGGGTTGGGGAAGACGTGGGGAAAGGTGGGATGGTGAGGGGGGGAGGGGGGGGCACACGTTTTTGAAGGCCATAGGCATAGGGGGGAATGCACTGAACGGATATCGGCTAGAAGGTTTTTAGAGGTTTTTAGAGGTTATGAACGAAGACAGTGAACTAGGATATGCAAAATTGGGTCAAGGTTATACTACTATTTCTGGCAATGCTACTATATGTGGCAATATTACTATCTTTTGCCAGTGATCTGATATCTTACCGAATTGGAAGTCTATCAGATCGCCACCGTCCCCTCCTCCGCTACCGCCGCGTTTCTTGCCGCCCTTGCCTCCCTCGTGGCTACAGCTGCTGTCGTCACTACAGTAACTGCTACAGTAGCTGCTACAGCTGCCGCTACAGCTGCCGTCACTCTCCTCCCCTCCCCTCGTGTAGCGGCCTTCTGCCGGGTCGTAATACTCGTTTATGGCAGCCCCGTTATGCGCCTCCGCGTGGCAGGAAACGCTGCAGGATTTCTCTAGTATAATACAATCCGGGGATGCTCCTGAATCCCCGTTACAAGCCCCTGTATCGGCATCAATCTTGTGCTTCTCCTTTAGCTCTTTAACAGGACTTTTACTCTTGCTACGTTCCCCTTCGCCCGCGTCCCGCACGTGGCCCCCATCCCCGTTATAAACAACCTGCGTTCCAACAAAGAACGACGACCCAGGCCCATGTATCACCACAGATAGCGGACGCTGATCGCTACTTTCACTCCCCCTCCGTTCCGCATCCCCATTCGTCCGCCCATTCCCCCGTTCCCCCTCATCGTCACCCTCATGCGCATTCGCGGATTCCGCCGCAGCTCTCCGCACGCCCCCCCTCGTCCTGCTCCTGCTCCTTCCCTGCGCCTCCCTTTCCCCCCCTTCCGCGCGACGCGCAACCCTCCTTGCGCCCCTCGCTGCGCGCGCGCCGAACCACATCCTCTGCGCCGACGCTCTGCCGCGCAATCTTTCCTCCGCGCTACCTCCTCCCGCGCTCTCCGTCGCGCCACCCCCGTCGGCAAACTCGGGGCCAAGCGCATTCTCGCCGCCGCGACTGCTGGTGACGTCATCGTCCGCGCGGCCCGGACTAGAGTTACTGGAGCTGCCGTTGCTGCCGCTGCCGCTGCTGCTGCTGCTGCTGCTGCTGCTGGCTGTGGAGTCGTTACTCGTACTGGAACCGAACCTGCTGTCGGAGCTGCTTGTAGCGGAGTCGTTATTAACGAAGCATTGCGTCAGTCGTGCGTTTGACCACGCTGCGCTCGCGCTCGTTATTGTCACGCCGAAGCATCCGCTGCTGCGGATGCTGCCGGATCTCTGCCCGATGGCGGCGTTGGCGCCGTCGGAACTCGGATCCTGGCCGTCGATCACGATCTCGACATGGTCGCTGCGCGCGAGCAGCAAGCGCCTGGCTTCCGCTTCCGCCTCGTCTTCCGCCTCCGCTCCTGCTTGCACTTCCGCTTCCGCTTCACGAGCGGGAGTAGAAGCGATAGCAGATGAAGGGACTAAAGGAGAATCGCTGGCAGAAGACGTGACTAAAGTAGAGCCGCTGCTACTGCTGCTGCCTCCGTCGGCGGCGGCGCATTCGCCGCAACCTGGGCTGCTGGTGTTCTGATGGAAGCACCTGCGGTCCGGGGGCTGATGCTCCATGCTAGTTAGTCCTGTTTGGATAGAGGTTGATACTTCTCACTAAACTCGCTATGGTGACTTCCGATTCGACTTAGTAGTCAACTCTGCCTGTATAAACCTTGACCCTCGCTATAGTAGTAGTTCTAGCTAGCCATAGCACGCCCAGCCGCTAAAATCGCAGCCACCGCTGCAAGCACATCGCGTTGCGTTACATGCACGGCGTTCATGAGCTCACGAACACACAGAAAATGTCGAAACTACTGACACCCAGAAGTGTTGAAATGCATGGCGAGTGCATGCACTCTGACAAATGCTTCAACTCGGAGATGTGTGCGCCAAGACAACTCTCGAAAGAACGATATTTCCCTTTAGCTTGTTCACTATTCAGTTCTGCATTTGTATTTTTTGAGCGTATTGCGCGGAGCTACTCGATAATACCACCCTCCAGCTTGGGCGCAGCAGAAGCCTTCCGCTGGAAAGGCAGAATACGCCGGTAGTTATCGCCAACTCTGGAAATGCCGACTAATGGTCCCCACGAATTCGAGGAAGCTTGACAGCTTCACAACCAGCTGGACACGCTGACTTGTTGAAACAACAAACGGCTGCTTGTCGAAGTTGGTCGGAGACTCGGAGGGGAAAGAAAGCAGCAGGGAAGAAACATCGCTTCACTTCGAAATTCACGCGAATTTCAGTTTCCCATCACCGTTGGGATGATGGTAGCGCGTGCGATACGTAAACCTCGACAAAAATGGACGGTTGAGATGTGACGGTGGGGTGCTACGATTCCGGGGGTATGCGCTGCCAATTGCTGCCGAGTTCGTGTTGCCCACTTGGGAAATGCGGAATTGGATTGGAATGGAAGGGAACACGCGGCCAATGTCACAGTTGGGAGAATGACGTCAGTCCGCGGGGTCTGTGGCGCGCAGTCGTAGAGATTTGGCATGCGCAGCTGCTTCTTGAGCGGTTGGGGAACAAAAGGGGCACTTGTGGGAGGTCTCCGCGGGAACGCTGGTTGGGTCGTTGGGCTGGTTGCATGTGGCGGTGATGTGATGTGTCAATCCAATGCGGCGGGCATGGAGGTTGTTTTGTGTTGTTTGTGACGGTATGATGATTGGGTTAATTGCAGGCAGCATTTGGAGATGCAACAGTAAAACCATCTGTCGTTCCAAGACTAGTTTTAGCGGGCTATTATGTACAAGACTGCAAGAATGAGGAGTTTGAACTCCCCTGCCTCGTTTTCCTCCACCTTGGTTAGTTCCAAGGAGATCAGTTGCGTGTGGGATTCCAACCGGACTAGACTACGGATGGGATGTGGTTTTGGCGTGAGCCAGAATTTTTTTTCGATACTGGACTGTAACCCACACATATTGCGCATCAATTTGTGCGACACGTCTAGTGATTTGGTGGGAAAATCAACGGTAAGCATTACGGTGACTGGGCTAGACGTTGGCGAATCAAACGTTTCCACGGAAAATCTGCCAGAATGATTCGACCGACCTCTGTAAGCAGGGTGACAGGTCGGATATTTTTAGGGCTACCAACCAGGAATCAAGACTTGGCAAATTCCCCACGATTTCGGAAGAGCCTTGTTTCTCGTTTGTCAATGCTGTCAAATTGCAACAACTAGCTGTGAAGGCCTGAGATGATTTGGTGGATCCACGAATATATCACATAACAGCCTTCCCGCCTTTATACTTCAACCGCTGATGTAATAGACAATTTCTTCAATGATCAGCAAATTACTGTAATTGGACATCAGAGACTTATGTGTGATTTAAGAATTTATCTTGTCATGAAATTGATAAAGTTATATTTAATTTTACAATTATATTAAATGTAATTTTTTTTGGATCAAATGCACCCGAGCTGGTTACCATGAGCCAAGAAGAAAATCTGTTGATGTCCTGCTATAATTTGGTTTCTCTTTTCGGAGTTATATTGTGACTTAATCAGCCTTTAGAGAAAAGAGCTCGCACCCAAACGCCAGGTTCTTTGCAGTTCAAAAGTTTGAACCAGCAGTGGACCCTTGGAAATCCAAAGTGTTTATCATTCCCTTTCTACACGCTGAGCCGTCGATAGTGACGATCTCGGTTCCGAGCATTTCCCAATCATCCTTCGTCTCGAGCCCTCCTCGATTGTTCCTTTGTTCACCACCACCCTACTTGCTTGTGCGCCCCGAGCCCGGCAAGCACTTCGTGATTACCGTACTGAACCAAGGGAGTAGATTGTGTTCCCAGCTTTTGCATCGTCTGTTCAGGGCATAACTAACCACTCTCTGCACGGGTAGTCACGGGAGCGCGGCTTCGTCAGCACGAATCAGCCATAGCGAAGTCTGTTGGAGGTTGAGTGTGGTTGAAGCAAGTGGTGGTGGGGTGGTTGTATGCCCCCAACCCACCGAATTTGTTGCAGGTTCCAAGAAGTTGGGATTGACTTCGGAAGAACCTGCACTTCGGTCCCACATGGCAGCACAAGAAGAATCGAGACTCAGGGAGAATTCGATTCGGTGAAATTCGAGAGTCGAATTCACCCCTTCGAAATGTTACTCGAACATTCGCGAGTGTACCGCGGTTCGAGGTTACATGTGCGATTCGACTTTTGCAGTTCATATAAATGTGTTTGCTTTGTATTGCATGGATTATAGTGAACATTGTGAATCACTTTGTGTGAAGTGCATTCAACTACAAATTCCAGAGAGCTCCTAGCCAACGTTCCAAGAGCACTAGCAAGCACATAAACGCCAAGAACTCCCTCGTTACTTGGGCGAATCGTGTGTTTGACGGCTCGTTGGAAAGCCAGCAGAGTGCTCTATTGTTTAGTGGAAATCCCAGTTCCTGCCAACTAGAGGAAACGCCTTTACAACAGTGGTATCAGAGCTGGTCGGAGGAGTCTACGCGCGCGACGAGAAGCAAGCATGCCGACTTCAAGCGAGGCCTCCCGCACTTCCTTGGATGGTGTCGTTGTAAATTCCGGCGAACCCTGGGCAGCCGCGACGATGTACGACACGTCGGCGGTACCGATTTTCACGGGACAAAACTACTCCGCGTGGAAGTTTAAGTTCCAAGTGCTCATGATGGAGCGGGGACTTTGGGGTCTCTTCGATGGGACGGAGAAGAAGCCGGACGACGAGAGCGACATCGCGGCTTGGAAGAAGAAGGACCAAAAGGCGTTCGCTACGCTAATCTCGCGGATCGGCATCAACCTCGTGAGCTCGGTGCGCACGTGCATCAAGCTCGAAGCGTCGGCGCATGAGGCGTGGAAGCGGCCGGAGACAATGCACGAGAACAAGACTCTCCACGGCAAGATCCTAGCCCGGAATGCGTTCTACACGGTGAAGTTGCGCGCGGGCGAATCGATGCACGAGTATGCGACTCGTGTGGAGGAACTCGGGGAAACATTCATGGACCTTGGTGGAACGGTCACCGAGGAGAACTGGATTCTCACCTTGCTTTGCGGCCTTCCAGAAGCGTGGTCGACGGTGATTACGACACTCGATAGCGTGCAAGGCACTTGGACGAAGGAAATGGTGGTCGGTCGGCTTCTCCATGAGGAATCGCGTCGCCGACAATTCGCTAATGAGAGCGTGGAGACCGCCATGTTCTCCGGAGTGCGTTCCGGAAAGAAGTCCAATTGGAGCAAGGGTGCGACGAATGAATCGTCCGGTGGGAGCGAGCATCGCGGCAAGTGTCACTATTGCCGCAAACCGGGACACTTTTGGCGTGAGTGTCGGAAGCGCCCGAGCGATTGGACTCCATCGAAGGCGCGGGACGAAGAGGGCAACGCGCACACGGCATCCGGCGAGGCCGATGATTCAAAGGAGTCGCTCGTGTTAGTGGCCGGCAACGGGAACGAAATTCCAAGCGACGCGTGGTTCCTCGATACCGGCGCAACGCAACACATGACGCACTCGGCGTCGCTCCTCAACAACATTGGCGCTCCGGGAGACGTCACGAGCATCGTGTTTGGAAACAACGAATCGCTACCGGTGGTTGGAGTTGGGAGTACGCGTCTCATCGTCGATAGTGGACCGGTGGACGTCATGAACGTGCTTCACGTCCCGGGGGTGAAGGTGAACCTTCTATCCGTCCCGCAACTTGCGAAGAAGGGCGTGATCGCCACCATCGACGGTGCGAAGATGAACCTCTTTTGGAAGGGGAAGCAATTCGCGCAAGGTGTTCTCAACGGAGATATCTACCAACTCAAGACGTACCCGAGAGCGGCTTCATCCAACATGGCTTCATCCATCGTGGCGCAAGGCTCCAAGGCGACTCTCAAGGCGTGGCATAATCGGCTTGCGCACGCCAACTACGACTCGGTCAAGGAGTTGGCCAAGAAAGGACTTGCGAAGGGAGTCGACGTGATCGCCGGCGACGACGAGAAGGGCGTGTGCGCGGCGTGTGTCGAAGGAAAAATGACTCGTAAGCCATTTGGTAGTCGTTCGTCACCCCTCGCTAAGGACCCGCTTGCGCTTGTTCACATGGACGTGTGTGGACCGATGCGGCACGCATCATAGGGAGGAGCGCGGTTCCTCTTGGTCATTCTCGACGACGCGACGCGGATGTGTTGGACCCGACTCTTGAAGGCTAAGGGAGATGCGGCCAAGACGATTCAAGAGTGGGCGCTCGAAGTTTGCGACGACGACAAGAAGCGGATCAAGGTTATTCGCACCGATGGTGGTGGCGGATTCGTGAACGCGGAGTTTGAGAAATGGATGAAGAGCAAGGGCATTAAGCACGACGTTACGACACCCTACACACCCCAACAAAATGGAGCGGCGGAGCGGCTTAATCGCACGTTGGTGGAAGCCGTTCGTTCACTACTTCAACACTCCAAGCTTGGGCACGAGTGGTGGGGAGAGGCGAGTGCGCTAGCGGCGTGGATTCGCAACCGTTTGCCGACGAAGGTGCTCCCGGGAACGACTCCGTTCGAAGCATGGACCGGAACGAAGCCGAACCTATCCCGCCTACGCACCTTTGGGTGCCTTTGCTATTATCATGTACCGGATCCTCTTCGCCACAAGTTGCAACCGAAGGCTCGTGCGGCGATATTCTTGGGAATTGCGGCGAACGAGCGTGCGTGGCGAGTGTGGGACTTGGCGGAAAGGCGCGTCGTCACATCTCGAGACGTGGTCTTTGATGAAGACAAGTTCCCGTCGAAGGAGAAACCTACTCAACAAGTCACCTTCATCCTTCCGGCACGAGAGGAGGTTGAAGAAAGTGAGGTTCCAACTCAAGTGGAGAAGGAAGCCGAAAATGGAGGGGGAGAAAACAACGAGGAGAGCGTTGACGATGTGGTGGAGGTGTCACCTACCGAGGCGGCAACTACCTCCACACCTTCCTCCCTACCATTGGCCTTAACCCGCGGGCGTCGTGAAGTGCGTCCTCCCCCCAAGTACAAAGACTACGCTACGGTGGCCGTTGGGGAGACGGATAAGGAGGGCGCGGCATTTTGCTTCGCAACCAAGGGTGATGATGAACAAGCAGAACCTCTCATGGAACCACCCCCTAAAGATCAATCCCGTGCATACTACGAGCATGTCGGATTGCACACCTAGTGGGTTGGGTGCAAGGGGGACTGTTGGAGGTTGAGTGTGGTTGAAGCAAGTGGTGGTGGGGTGGTTGTATGCCCCCAACCCACCGAATTTGTTGCAGGTTCCAAGAAGTTGGGATTGACTTCGGAAGAACCTGCACTTCGGTCCCACATGGCAGCACAAGAAGAATCGAGACTCAGGGAGAATTCGATTCGGTGAAATTCGAGAGTCGAATTTCACCCCTTCGAAATGTTACTCGAACATTCGCGAGTGTACCGCGGTTCGAGGTTACATGTGCGATTCGACTTTTGCAGTTCATATAAATGTGTTTGCTTTGTATTGCATGGATTATAGTGAACATTGTGAATCACTTTGTGTGAAGTGCATTCAACTACAAATTCCAGAGAGCTCCTAGCCAACGTTCCAAGAGCACTAGCAAGCACATAAACGCCAAGAACTCCCTCGTTACTTGGGCGAATCGTGTGTTTGACGGCTCGTTGGAAAGCCAGCAGAGTGCTCTATTGTTTAGTGGAAATCCCAGTTCCTGCCAACTAGAGGAAACGCCTTTACAACAAAGTCCTCATCGAAACTTGCGAATCGCAAGTCCTGTCGAACCTTAGGATCTTTTGTGGTGCAGTGACGACCACCGCTAATTTCGTCTTAGTGCTTAGATTGTTTCTACAATTTAATAACAATGGACAACGGCATTATAAGTAACCCCGAACCCCCATCAGGTGCGGACGACCCGCTTGTAAACGCGTCGACGCAGCAGCAAAACGCTTCCACGACTGCAGCTGTTCCCGAAGTGGTTGCATCTGTTACTGATGCTCCTCCTGAAGCCACGACTGCAGCTGCTGCAGCGGTAGCAGCGACTGACGCTACAACCGTTGATGCGAATATGGCTGGACCAGACGCTAAAAGCAATTTTGAAGTTCCAGTAGGCGGTGAAACTAACTCTCGTGTCGGCGATGAAACCAAGTATGACGGTGATGCTAAGGTCGATGCTAGTACTGTAGCTGGCCTAGTAGTGCATGACCCGGCTAGTACCGGAGAGAAGACCGATACCGGAAATAATACCGATGCGGCTGCTGTTGAAGCGGATGCTCCGCCAAAGACCGATACGGCTGCTGTTCGGGATAAAGCTGACGACAACTCTAACCCCGGTAAGGCGGGTGATAATGAGCCTCAGGCTGAGGCCGACGCTGCAGTCACTGACGATCCGTGGGCTGTAGACATCGATCCACCCGCAACAATCGTCGAACCGGCCGTTACATCTGTCCCACCAGCCGCTACACAGGGCGTGGATGGCGGGGAGGGCGAAAAGGATGGAGAAGACGGGGACGTGGATATCATGGATGTAGATGGCAGTGCGCCGGTCGCCGGAGGTGGTGCGTCGCTTGCCGGAGGTGGTGCTTCGATGATACAAGGGAATAAGGATGCTGCTCCTGCTGGTGCTGTGTTCTTGGGGCGTCTCGTTCGGAAGAGCTTCGGCGGCGTGCCGTACCTTGGGAGAGTGTTCCACTACGACCGCAAGGAGAATTGGTACAAGGTGAGAGTTGTTCTGTGCTGTTCCGAGGCGGATGCTATCGCGTATGTTACGCGTGTTGTTTAGAAGTCGCTTATGTTTTCACGGTTCGTGTTCGCATCTCCCCTTCACGTTCTGTGTCAAGAGAATGATGCCAGGTCGGAGAGTCACTGAATGAGGAGTTTGGATTGCTACTTCTATCTTTGCCTGCTATCGTGGTTCTCTATGAGTCCATGTACGCGGTTCTGACAGGTTCGCTATGAGGATGGTGATGCGGAGGATCTGGAGGTAGCTGAGGTGGAGCGGTTGCTATTATCGGAAGATGAAGAGAAGGCTGCTAAAGCGGACATCGAGACCTGGTGAGTGGGTTCCGGATGTAAGAATCGTTTCAGAAATCTTTCACAGTAATTTTAGGAATACTTGAATTTTTTATGAAAAAGGGGCGGGTTTTACGAGCTGTTGCTATTGTGGGGAGGGTGGAAGCGAGTGATGGGGAAGGAGGGGAAGGATAAGTTGAGTGTAGCGCACAGGGCTAGGTTGGGAAAAGAAAATGCTGGGGGTCAGTTTTAGAGGCACCTCAGAAAAAGAGTGTATCTTGCAGAGGAAGGTTAGGGTTAGGGAGAAGGGGAGGTGGAGGGGTCAGGTGGAGGACGGAGGCTCTTAGTTTATTCCCAGCTGATGCAGAGTTGCATTTTGCTCTCTAATCTCGGGTCCGAAGCCAACAAAGCCATGTTGTTGGATTAACGGAGTGGGGTGACCTTGCAGGACTCAATGCAAGCTGTAGTCTTTGGGTCCAAGTGGTGCTTTCGCGCTGTTGGCGCTTGTCCACTCCGTCCCCTTCCGTCGCCCACCTTTCCCTCCCCTCCCAACCCCTCCATCTCCCGCCCCTCCCCCCGCCGCTTCATCCTCCCCCTCAAATCCGAGGCCAATAAGGCGACGCTGATGGATGAACGCACGGAGGTAGCTGCGGAGGAAGAGGAAGCAACGCCTGACGTTGCTTGTGCATTCCCTCTGCCATCCCGCCCCTCCTCTTTCCTCCCTCCCCTCCCCCTCTCAGGTCTGAGGCCAACAAGGCGACGCTGATGGATGAACGCACGGAGGTAGCTGCGGAGGAGGCAACCCCAAGCAGAGCGGGGGGAGGAGGCAGGGGCGGAGCAGTGAGGGGCAGGGGCAGACTGCGGAAGAACCCAGACAGCACCGCTGCTGGTGCTGCTGCTGCCCCTGTTCCTGCTGCTGCGGCTCCTGCTGTTGCTGCTGCTGCTGCTGCTCCTCCTCCCGCCTCTGTAGCAGACGCTGCTGTTCCTACTCCTGCCGCAACTGCAGCGGCTGTTGCAACACCTGCTCCTGCTCCTGGTGTTAAACCGCCTGTTGCTGCACCTGCTTCTGCTCCTGCTGCTAAGCCAGCTTCTGCTGTTCCTCCTGCTGTTCCTCCTGCTGTTCCTCCTGCTGTTCCTCCTGCTGTTCCTCCTGCTGTTCCTCCTGCTGCTCCTGCCGCTGTTTCTGCTCCTCAGCAGACCCAGACTGCACTCACGGCACTGGGAAAGCGTGTGCGGGAGCCAGGAGAAGATTTGATTTTATATCCGGAATCGGTGGCACCTGGGGGGGAAGAGGAAATGGGGCCTCACAGCAAGCGCGGAAAGGGGGAAACTGGGGTAGGTACTATTGGGAAGAACGCTGGTTCGCACATCAGGGTTCATCCCACTGAGGATTTTGCGGCAACAGGCTACGATCCTTACTACCAAGGGGATGACATGGGTTCGTATCCAGGCGCTTCGGCAGGAGGAGCAGGTGGAGGGAGAGGGGGAGGGGGAGGTAGAGGAAGAGGAGGGGAAGATGAGGACTATATTCCAGGAGGCCTGTATTGGGATGATCAGATGGGTGTATGGGGGAGTGGAGGGAGGAGAGGGAGAGGGAGAGGGAGAGGGAGAGGGAGGGGTAGGGGAAGAGGGAGGGGGAGAGGGAGAGGGAGGGGAAGAGGGAGGGGGAGAGGGCGAGGCAGGGGGAGGAGTGCCTATGGTGCGTGGGCTTATAGCGAGGGCTATTTTGCCAGCGGAAACGGGAGTTACCCAGGAGATGATGCTGATTGGTCCGCGTCAGGCGATTGGGGGGCTGGTGGTATGATGGGGGAAGGAGATGGATGGATGATGGGAGCACATGGGGCGCATGGAGTGGTTGGGAGGGGTAATGGTGTGGCGGAAGCGGTGGTTCCAGGGCCAGGCGCGAAGGTGGTGGGGAAGAGCGTGCTTAAGGATTTTGAAGGAGTGCTGACTGAGGGGAAGATTACCGCGTTTGATGAAGAGACAAAGAAATACACGGTGAGTTCATGCAGTGAAGGCAGAGAGGAGGAGAGGTAGGGGTGCACGCAGGGTGAAGAGCGTGCTTAAGGATTTTGAAGGAGTGCTGACTGAGGGGAAGATCACTGCTTTTGATGAAGACACCAAGAAATACACGGTGCGTTCATGCATTGAGGGAGGGTAGGGAAGAGGGGGAGGTAAGGGGGGGAGGTAGGGGTGCATGCGGTATGAGGGAGTGCTGAAGGATTTTGAAGGAGTGCTGACTGAGGGGAAGATTACTGCTTTTGATGAAGACACCAAGAAATACACGGTGCGTCTTGGGACCATGCTTGGATGCAATACACAAAAGGCGGGGATTGTTTGTGCGTGGAGAGCATTTTGGTGGTGGGGGAGGTGCATAACCTTTGAACAATGCTGGGTGTTTTTTCCCCCCGATTCCAGGTGGAATATGAGGGCACGGAGCACTTGTTTCTGGAGTATTGAGAGCATTGAGAACATTGTGGTGGGGTGGGGGAAGAGAGATTAACCCTCAAACTCCTTGCTTTCCCTCCGATTCCAGGTGGAATACGAGGGCACGGAGCATTCATTGCTAGAAGTGCTGGTGTGGAAGGGCGTGGAGAGCATCTTGGTGATTGGAGAGGAGAACTACATGCCAGAGGAGGATCTGGAAGAGGAAGAGGACGCGATTGCTGATGTTCCCCTTTTTCCCCACACGCTCGCAGGTGGAATATGAAGGCACGGAGCATTCATTGCTAGAAGTGCTGGTGTGGAAGGGCGTGGAGAGCATCTTGGTGATTGGAGAGGAGAACTACATGCCAGAGGAGGATATGGAGGACGAAGAGGAGGCGATTGAGGAGGATAAGTCAGGGGAGAAGGTGGTTCCTCCTGTGGTAGAAACTCAAGAACCAAGGGTCGTTGTGGGAGGGGCTTTAGGCGTGACTGAAGCAGCGGCGCCTCAGGTGGAAGCAGCGGCGCCTCAGGTGGAAGCAGCGGCGCCTCAGGTGGAAGCAGCAGCGCCTCAGGTGGAAACAGCAGCGCCTCTGGTGGAGAAAACAGCACCTCAGGTGGAAACAGCAACACCCCAGGTGGAAACAACAGCACCTCAGGTGGAAACAGCAGCGCCTCAGGTGGACACAACAGCGCCCCAGGTGGAAACAGCAGCAGCTCAGGTGGAAACAGCAGCACCCCAGGTTGAATCAACAGCACCCCAGGAGGAACTGACAGTATCTCAGATGGAAGTAACAGCGTCACAAATGGAACTGACAGCGTCTCAAATAGACATGGCTTTTGAGGCGACTCGTATGGAGGGGATGGAGTCACACAACCAGCAGGCAACTGATATGGAGGGGACAGTATCACATATCAAAGCAGCTCATATGGAGGTGACAGAGTCACAAATCGAGGCAGCTAATATGGAGGTAACAGAGTCGCAGATTGATGAAACCGCGTCGCAGTTTGAGGTAACCGCGTCGCAGATTGAGGTGGCGAATGCAGTGATGGAGGAGATGGGGATGGATGAGGCGACTGTGGTTGTGGCCACTGGAACAACTTCTGAGGTGCCAGTTCAGGTGCCTGATCAGGTGTCGGTTCAAGTGCCTGATCAGGTGTCTGATCAGGTTCTGGATCAGGTGGCCGCTGAGGCACGTGTTGAGGCTCCTCAAAGGATGGAGATGGGGATGGATGAGGCTGGGATTGTGGCAACTGGAACTGAGGGCGGAGAGGGGAGGGCGAGTGCGGTGGAAGGGGAGGTGAAGGGGCTTAGGGAAGGGGGAGGGGGACAAGGAGAGGGGCAAGCAGCAGCTGAGGAAGAACAAGCAGCAGCAGAGGCAGAAGTAGCAGCAGGGGTAGTGGAAGGCTCATTGGCAGGGGCAACTGGTGAGCCATGGCCTGCAGCAGAGGAGGCAGCAGCAGCTGTAGCGGAGGAGGCAGCAGCAGCTGTAGCGGAGGAGGCAGCAGCAGCAGCGGCTGTAGCAGAGGAGGCAGCAGCACCGGGTGGTGTAGAGGCAACCATAGCAGATAAAGCAGGAGCAGCAGTTACAGAGGCGGGAACCGAGGCACCTGCAGCAGAGGTTGCAGCTGTAGCAGAAACAGAAGCAGAGGGCATTACTGGAGCTGGTGCTGTGGTTGAGCCTGCAGCTTTAGCGGAGGGGGTAGCTGTAGCAGCAGAGGCTGAGCCGGCGGCTGAGACTGCAGTTGTGGCAGAGGGAGGGGCTGAATGAAGCTGAGACTGCAGCTGTTGCAGAGGGAGTATGTGGAATGAAGCTGAAGCTGCAGCTGTAGTAGGGGAGGGTTTATGAAGCAGCTGTTGCAGAGGGTTTTGGCTGCACTTAGGTGGACGCTGCTATGGTCTGTTGAGACTCCATTGGGAGGGACGGGTGCAGCAGATGGAAAACAGTTGATGTTTTCGAGTGCTGAACTAACAGTCCAGTTTGGAGCTGGGTTTCGGGTGAGGAACCCAGTGGATATGGAGGGGAAAGTTGAGAAGGTTGAGATAGGTTGCGGTTTCGTGAAGATGTGGTTGCATACCTGTGCATCGCAGATTTGGTTTGCATTTTTTATTTGGTTAATGAACCTTCTATTGATTTAGTTTAGTTTAGAAATCCATTCTACAGGTTACTATCATGATCTACTTTATAACATTTTGTGTCTTAACATTTTGTGTTTAACATTTTGTGCTTATTCACAGGAAAATGCTTACTCTATTTTCTAATGTTCTAATTTTCTAGCATTCTGGCAGTTAATGCGACGGGCAACTTTTGGCAGTGTTGGGTTCAGAAGTTTTTTTTTTTTAACCAGGCTTGCCAGCGCGAAAGTGTTGGCTGGCGAAAACCAGGATTTCGTGCAGACACTTTTCATCTGCAGTAACCGTTCGCCAGGGTTCTGGGTTTTGGGTGGCAAATGTGCACCGTCGCTTTAAGTGTAACACTTTGAGCATATTCTCAATAAGGACGCGGCACCTGTTTTGACTTTGCCAGGATCGATCGTGGGAGGGGATCGATGTGCCGCTTGTACAGTGTATTAACGACATCGCCAATGACTGGTATCCGTCTTCTGCAGAACGTCGAGAATGTACAGTAAACGGGGCACCAAAATGGTGGCACCTGTTACGAATAGTAACATTTAATTGTTACTGAGCACTCCTCACCGCAGCAAGAGAAGCACGCAGTATCGAAGCAAGAACGTGTCAAATGTTATAGCCCTTAGTGGGTCATACTATATGGGGTACAAACAGATAGGGTTAGGTACTTGTACCCCAACTCAATCAATGCAATCCATTCCGCTGTTCTCAGTTACTAAGATGGTATCAGCAGTAGGTTCGTTGTTCCTAGGCCTTAGTCACCTCCGTTCCTAGTCCTATGCCGTCCCTAGCCAGCGCCCTCGCCCACGACCTAGCTACCGCCCTAGACAACGCCCTAGCCAGCGCTCTAGGCTCTCCCCCCCCCCCTCCCCAGCAGGCCCGCTAGCGCCTTAGCCAGCAGGCCCGCCAGCGCGCCACGCCAGCGCGCACGCCAGCGCGCCACGCCAGCGCGCACGCCAGCGCGCCACGCCAGCGCGCCACGCCAGCGCGCCACGCCAGCGCGCACGCCAGCGCGCCCCGCCAGCGCGCACGCCAGCGCGCCACGCCAGCGCGCCACGCCAGCGCGCACGCCAGCGCGCCACGCCAGCGCGCACGCCAGCGCGCACGCCAGCGCGCCACGCCAGCGCGCACGCCAGCGCGCACGCCAGCGCGCCACGCCAGCGCGCACACAAGCGCGCCACGCCAGCGCACCACGCCAGCACGCACGCCAGCGCGCCACTCCAGCGCATCACGCCCCGCCCCGCCCGCCAGCGCGCCGCGTCGTCGCGCCGTCCGCCAGCCAGCGCGCCGCGTCGCCCGCCGGCCAGCGCGCCGCGCCGCCCACCGGCCAGCGCGCCGTGCTGCCCCCCCTGTGCGCCTCCTACACTGCCTCCTCGCCTCCTTGCCTGCGCGACTGCCCACGTGCCACTGACTGTCTCACCCTCCTGCGGCTGGTAGCCGCGCTCTCTCGTTTTTCGCCCCTTATGGCGACCACTCGAGTACTTCGATTTGACCCTGAGGGGAGACCGATTGATTTTAGTACGTGGCTTACGCAGGCGCAGCGCCACCTTAAGAGCCAGCGGCAGGATGGCGTGCACCTGTTCGCACACGCATCCGGTACTCAGACCGCCCCTCCTCAGCCTAGGCCGCTGCCCACCACCCCGTCGCCTACTCCTGAGCAGGAGGCCGAGTACCAGCGCCAGTTTCTTGCTCGCGACGTGTGGGAGTCTCGTGACGCCGCTGCCTGCCTCGCCCTGACCGACCTTCTCCCACCGACCGAGGCAGTCCACTTCACTCAGGTCGAGTCCGCTGCAGATCTGTATAAGGCTATTGTTGCTCGCTACTCCACTCCCTCCTCTGCCTCACTCAGTCGCCTCCTCGTCCCCTTTATCTACCCTGACCTCGCCTCCTTTGAGACTGTCTCTGACCTCACTGCCCACCTGCGCTCCCTTGACACTCGCTTTCGTGCTGCTTGCACTGAGGACCAGCTTGCCCTTGCCCCGCCCCCTATGTGGCTCACCATTCACTGGCTAGTCACTCGCCTCCCTGACCGCCTAGCCACAGCCCGCGACGCGCTTCTTCTGAAGCATCCCACTGAGCTTACCATCGATCTTCTTGAGACCGCTCTCTCGAAGATCGAGAGTAACCTCCTCGCAGTTGCCTCTGCCTCCTCAGCACCTCCTCCTCGTCTTTTTGAGGGGTGTGCGGTACCACAGCTTCCCACCTTCACTGCCTCCCTTGCCATCCCCGCGTCTTCTGCCTCTGAGGAGACGGCGGCTGTTTCTGTCTCTGGCGGACAGAAACGTGGCAAGGCTAGCAAGAAGGGAGGGAAGGGCGGGGGTACTGGGGGTGGTGTGGGTAGTGGTGGCGGCGGTGGGGCGGGTGGTGGGAGTGGTAGTGGGGGTGGCTCGGGCCCTGACGGTCCTCCTCTCGACGGTGGAGTTATCACTGGTGGTGGGGGGTTCCAGCAGCAGCAGCAGCCGACTTCTCAGCAGCTGCCACAGCTTGGACAGCAGCAGCAGCAGGGACCGCAGCAGCAGCGACAGGGCCAGCAGCAGCGCCCACCGCAGCAGCAGCCTCAGCAGTGGGGGCCTCCGCAGCAGTGGGGCCCTCAGCAGCAGTGGAGGTCTGTGGGTCCCCCGAGCACTGGGCGCAGTGCCCCCCCCTCCAGTCGGGGACCTCGCTCGGCCGGCCGCGACGTTGGTCCCTGTGAGTACTGGATCCTTACGGGTCCTCGACGGGACTCGTACTGTGGCCGCCCCGACCACTCTGCTGCACGCTGCTTCAGTCGTCTCGACGACCTCTACCGTTTGCACCACGGCCCCTCTGCTCCCCCGCCGCCACGCTGGGGGACGCTTCTTGCTCGTGGCATTGCTGTTTTTGATATGACTATGGATGATGCTAGGTCTTATGCCATGTATGCTGATGTTGACTATAGTGCTCCTGGATCTGTGTACTTGCCTGTTGCTAGAGTAGGTGCCAGTGTAGGATCTTGTTTAGCTACTAGTACAGGTACTCCCTCGGCGGACGCGTCTCTCTCCTTCACACTGGACTCAGGAGCGTCGCACTGCTTCTTCCGCGACTGCACGACTCTCTCTCCGCTACCGGCACCTGTCCCTGTAGCACTGGCCGATCCCTCCTCGGGACCGGTCATTGCGACTCACGCCACTACACTCCCGTGCCCAGCTGCTCCTTCTGGTTCCCTGACCGGCCTCCACGTTCCTACGTTCTCTAGGAACCTGGTTGGTGTGGGCACCCTGGCGAGACAGCACGTCGGGGTCTGGGTTGAGCCTTCTGGTGACACCGCAGTCTGCGTCGACGGTGACACGTACGCCCCCTTGGCCACTTTCCGCCAGGAGCCGGGCTCTGGTCTGTACACCCTCCGCACCGACCCCCGTCAGGTTCCCCCGTCCCACCAGGTAGCCGGGTCCAGTCAGGTTGCTGTGTCAGGTGTAGTTGCTGCGTCGTGCTCGTGTCGGTCGCTTGCCCACCCCACCGTTCTGTGGCACCACCGGATGGGGCACCCGTCCCTTCCTCGTCTGCGCGCCATGTCCAGTCAGCGTCTTGTCTTAGGCCTCCCCCGAGTCCTCCCACCACTCCCGCCGTCCCCAGCTCCTCCGTGCGGTCCTTGTGTCCAGGGTCGGCTTCGCGCCACCCCCCACTCCTCCTCCCTTCGTCCGGCCACCGAGCCCTTTGAGACACTCCACTTAGACGTCTGGGGCCCCGCCTCCCGCCTTGGCCCTGAGCGGGAGAGTTTCTTTCTGGTGGTCGTTGACGATTACTCTCGGTACACCACCGTGTTCCCCTTGGCGAAGAAGTCCGACGTGACTTCTACGCTGATCCGGTGGCTCCTCGCCACCGAGGGCACTCGTGGTCGTCGTGTCAGTTGTCTCCACTCCGACCGTGGGGGTGAGTTTCGCTCCGGCATTCTCGCCAGTTTCTGTGCTGAGCAGGGCATCACCCAGTCCTGGACTCTCCCAGACTCTCCACAGCAGAATGGGGTTGCTGAGCGCCGCTTAGGCCTGGTCATGGAGATCGCCCGCACCTCCATGATCCACGCTCGCGCGCCCCATTTTCTGTGGCCCTACGCGGCTCGGTACGCCGCTCACCAGCTGAACCTCTGGCCTCGCGTCTCTCGGCCAGGGGCTTCACCGACCAGTCTTTGGACAGGGTCCCCTGGTGTTGCGTCGAGGTTTCGTGTCTGGGGCACCTTGGCTCTTGTCCGCGACACCTCTGCGGACAAGATCTCGCCTCGTGCCGTCCCCTGTGTCTTCCTTGGTTTCCCAGAGGGCTCCTCTGACTTCACCTTTTACCACCCTCCCTCCCACCGGTTCTTTGACTCTCGTGACGTCCGTTTCGACGAGTCTGTCCCCTACTACGTCCGGTACCCCTGTCGAGGTCTCCCGGTTCCCCCCCCTCCCCTCTTCCTGGCTCCAGCTCCTCCTCCTCCCGCCCCTGCTCCTCCGGTACCCCCCCCTGGTCCTGCTCCGTCTGGTGTGTCCCACGCTACTCCCCCCCCCTCGGTACCCCCCCAGGTCTCTCCTCCTTCCCCACAGTCGTCCTCACAGCCTCCGCAGCAGCCGTCAGCGCTTCCTTTACCGGCCACTGCGGACTCTGAGGGTGTTGGTGCTCGGGGTGAGGGCTCTGGCGGTGCTCGCTCTGGGGGTGCTGGCGTTGGAGCTGTTCGTGCACCTACAGGAGCCGCCCGTTCTGGGGGTGTTGGCGTTGGCGCTGAGCGTGCACCTGCCGCGGCTGCCCGTTCCGAGGGTGCTGGAGCTGGTGGTGGTGCTGGAGCTGGTGGTGTTTCTGGAGCTGGAGAGTCTGAGGCTGGTGCTGGTGCCACTGGAGGCACCCCGACTGGGGGTGCGGGTCCACCTCCTACAGGTGCTAGTCGTGCTGCCGCAGGGGGTACACGCTCTGGGGGTTCTCAGCCGGGTGCTGTCGAGGGCGGAGCCGGTTCTTCTTCTTCGTCTCCTGACACCACTCCTCCTCCTCACCCCTACCTGACTCGACACCAGACCCGTCTTCGTCTTGAGCGTGAGGAGCAGCAGCGTTTGGAGCGTGAGAGGTTGGAGGTTCAGCAGCGGGTGGAGCGTGAGAGGCTGGAGTTGCAGCGGGAGCAGCAGCAGCAGCAGCAGCAGCAGCAGCAGCAGCAGCAGCAGCAGCAGCAGCCGCCGCCGCAGC